GAGTGGAGGTACCTTCTACTGCCAGGTGTTCACCTGAAATGATTCAATGAGAAGTACACCAGTGAAAAAAGAAAGCCCATGTAAGCAGTATAATGGTTAAGGGCTGCCAAAAAGTAGCGCTCCCTTTTAGAACCAAAGGGTTCAGGGACTGACCAGTAAACAAGGGCAGCCATAATGATCTGAGTAAACCATGGTTTAGAGGATAGGTGCATCCAGGCAAGAATTTTACTGTGCCTTGAACTGGGCTTCTGGATTAGGTATATGCTGAGCTGTCTGTCTCCCTCCCTCTCTTTCTCTCATTCAAGTTCATGGGACTTCTAGCCTGATCCCAAATGTGTTTATTCTCTAAATCCCACTGTGTTTAGAGGGACTCAACTCCACCATAAAAGTACATTTAGAACAACAACCTAAAAATGTTGACTGGATCATGCCCGAAAGCTTTTTAGCACAGCACAGCTGGGATTTTCCAAGCTCATCTAATTCATTTCTCACTTTGCTCCCTTTGGTTTGCCAGTTTAATTAAGCTTTCTTATTTCTAGAGACATAAGAATTTAGTAAAAACTTAAAAAATAACGCTGTGAACAAAAATAAAAGGGAGACATTAGCAGTTAACATCAATAATGCATACTTTAAGTGCCTCTTGGGAAAATGTACAATGTTAAGTTTAAACCTCTTGCTATGACTGGCAAAATATAGTAATGTTTTACTTTTTAGTTAACAAATGTGTTTGAAGAATAAGGTGTGTGCCATGCAACTAAGTTTCCTGCAAGGTTGTGACCACCTCTTAGAAAAAAGCAAAGTTCTAGTCCTCATGGTTGTTTCCTTCACAAAAACTTCTTCATTCACTTGGGACAGTTCCACACACAAGGCCATAAAAGCATGTGAAGTAAAGGTGACATTCATTCATGGAAGAACTCATGTACAACAGAGAGTGAGAGTTTGAATCAGGCTGGGCTATGGGCCATCAGTAGATAAGCTAAAACTTGCATTTTATAAAATGTGAAAGGGAATGTCTTGTTCTTGTCTTACCTTCACTCTCTTTGGCCAGAAAATTGGAAGACAGGGACAACTGGGCAGTTATGGAGGGGAAGGGGGCAAGCCAGAGGGGCAGTAGGGGAAGAAGCTGGGGCTTATGGGCGTCTGCAGTTGGGGTGATCAGGCTATTCCTTCCAAGGCTTAGTTTTCCTTTTCCTTTTAGTTGGTTTTAAGGAAAGGGGCCTGCCTGGGTCTAGGATTCCCTTCCCCTTCCCCATGCCTACAAATTGATGCCTTTGTGACTGTGGTTAGGCTCAAGCACAGCAGCTAAGCATCTCTGCCTTGTTCTGTGTGGTGTGGATTTTCAGTTTTCATATGGGCAATTTCATACGTCCGATTCTAAAAACTAAAGCAGATTCCTGTGAGTTCTTTGCACACTTAATAGAGTTTGCTGGAATGCCTTCAAATGCAGTCCTCTTTCTTGGTCACCTTTTTCACCACAGTTTGGAGAGGGCTGTGTCTGAGCCCTTGCTGGTGGATGCAGTACCATCTCCAGGTTTTGGAGGGTTGTGCCACAAGACTCTCTGCATGGGCTTCTCCCCAGGGCTTTTCACCACTCCTGTGATGAGCTGCTGTTAACTCCTTTTCTTTTCTCTCATCATTTCTATGGCCTGTTTGCTGGATAGGCAGAAAGCAGGGGCCAGGTAGGCAGTGGCATCTCCTGCTGCTGCTCCTCCCACCACCGCCATTGTCTGGGCCAAGGTGAGAGGCAGGTGAATAACTAGACTGCAAGGCAGAAGAGGAAGAACAGCTTGAGGGAACTTTTGTCAGTGGGCCACTACTGGCACGTGGGTTCTCGGGAGGTGTTGAATCATGCCCATCCTTGGCACCAACCCTGACCGGGCAGGTGGGAAAAAGCATAAAACCTGATCACTTCCCTGTGGGTATTTTGTCTGAGTACTTCATATAAAAAGCTGTTTTTTTGAACCCAAGCCATGAAGACGAGCTGTGGCCTGCCCAACACCAAAGTGTCTAAAGAAAAGGGAATGGGTTTATTGATAGGTGGACGAGTTCATTTTGGGCCAGGCTGATGGTTCGTTTGCACTGCCCTGTTAAGTCTGTCATCTGGCTAACAACCATTCTGTGATGCACTGAGTGCTTAGATTTATTTTGATAGTCTGCTTTAATGTTTTGCTGCTCAGGCCCTTAAAACAGCTTTCCAAGGAGAGGAACCATGGATCAGTTAGGCAGCTTCAGGCTCCACCTAGCGCTGCTTTTCTGTTCTGGTCTTCAGAACAGTTGCATTTATGTATCCAATAATAATAGAGACAGCCATGCAGCCATGTCTGATTCTTTTACTATTTATTATTTCAAATGTTTACATGCCACTTTTCTTTTGATTGGTTTCTGAAGAGTAGCAAAAATGAAAAAGCAGGTGTTAAAAAAGACTAGCAAACATGGATGTGGGAGGGAAGAGCAATATAAAAAAGTCAATGACTGAGAAGGACACAAGTACAGCAGTAAAAATATTAGGTGTTAACTTTGCGACTTTAAAAGCCTCCAAAATGTCTTGCAATAAAATACTGCTATACAGGATCAAAAATGGAGGCAAGTATTAAAACCGTGGCCACCAACTTAACACAGATAGATGCAAACAGGAAAGACTGTCAATGACAGAGCAGTCAGTAAAATCAATAAGTCCAGTAAAAGAGCAGAAACACAGTTCAGTTAAAAGCCTTGGTGAATTTTTTTTTTTTAAATAACAGCCTGGCACCTACACAGTAAGAATACATGCAGCTCATTGAATTCCTATAGGGAGGGCATTTCAAAGAAGGGCCATCCCTGTTGTAGGGAAAGTTCCTCTCCCTAACCTCATGGGGAGGGGCTCCTGGTCTCTCAAGCAGATTTCAGAGGGCAGGCAGATATAGGTGGGAGCTGAAAGCACTCACAAATTTTAGCCTGTTGTTAAGGTGTATTGAGTTCTAAATATGCTCACAGAAGTCTGCCCTTTGGCTGCTGGAGTGAGGTTTAGCAGCTCCTTCCTGAGATTTTCTGCCCAAAGACTTTCAGTTTCTTTTGTTCCTCAAAAGATCCACTAAAGCTGGTCCTTTATGCATGCTTTTTCTAGTATCTCAAAGCCAGCACTTCAAGATGTTCACCAGAAAAGAGTAGTCTTCGTAGATCTTTTAATAGTTTCAGAGTGGTGTATTCTAGGTAAGAGCCTAGTTAGCATGGTAGCCCCCCTTTTTGGCATCACGGGTACATTTGAGAGTCTCTGGGTCAGTGCCACAAATTGGCTGTCATGGCAGGCATGGCAAAGGGGAAGGCATCAGCCTGAAAGATTAAGTATAGGGTATTGCTGGGGTCCCAGCCTTGATGTACTGAACAAAACCATTCCATTGAACCCACGATGTTTGGCACTAATCTAAACCTATTCACAGCAGTCACAGCTGCCAGTATGAAAATGTGTTATTTATTTATTTATTTATTTATTTATTTTAAGTGAAAGGGCAGCATCCTGGTGGGCATCTTCAGAGCTGCATTGGTGCCAGTGGGCACCATGTTACCTGCCTTGATCGAATGCTTAAGGGGTTTTTGTGCAGTCAGCCCAATATACAATGCACAATGGCAATCTATGTTTGATGTTACCAGAGCATGATTAAGGGTGCTTTCAGATGACCTAAGCTTGTTTCAGGAAATAAGAACTTGTGTTTAAAGAGGCTATTTGGGACACTGTGGCTCCTCCACTCTCATCATTAGCACTTCCTACTTCTGGGTTAGAGCCTCCAGGAGCTTCTCTGATATGGAATTCAGCTACCAGATTCATACCCATGTGAGATTTTCCCTACAGCCACCCCATTTCATTATCTCCCACCTGTTGTTTCTGCTCTTTCCACCCTATCACCCCTCTGTCTCCTCCATTTCCTCCTTGTTTTCAAGTTTTAGCTTTTCAATCCACTCCCTCTACCAACTCCCGACTTCCACCTAGCCCATCTTCACCCCCTGCTGCTGAGCTTCTCTGCTTCCTGGGAAATTTTCTTTCCTTAGCTTTCCTATTATACAACGGTAGGGTGAATGCATCTCAGCCAGTCCTGTCTTGACCCTGTTTGACATTGCCTTTCACCCATGGGAGCTACTGTGGTGAGGCTCCTTCTCGTAATGCTCTGTAGTCCCAGAAGTCTACACTCATGTGGAACGGAGTCCAGTTAGCAGCTTCTCCTCATGCCTGTCATGGCATGAGTTTTCTGGAAGCATGCTGCAATGGGGGGGACGGGGGTATAGCACTGGCTTCTTCTATGGGATTTGAGGGTACTGCAGGTAAGATCCAGAAGTGAACTTCATCTGACAGCAGCTGAGTGCAACAAATGCTCAGTGTTTTTTAATGATCTTATACACCTTTGGAGATATTTTTTAGATATGGTAAGGGCACAGTCCTATGCCAGTTGAGACAGAAAATGCCCAGTAACTCCCAGCATGCCCCAGCCAGGTGAGCTGGGGATTGTAGCCCTTTATCTGTCCAAACCTGCATAGGATTGTGTCTGCAGTGTATTTAATAAATGTATTAAATAAGTATGCCAGCAGTCCCCCTAGGATGCTCATGAACATTCAAAGATTTCGCATTTATTTATTTATTTATTTTTATTTATTTTTCGATTTATAGCCTGCCTTTTTCCTACAAAGGGCTCAAGGCAGCTTACATCCTCCTCCTCCTCCATCTTATCCCCACAACAACAACCCTGTGAGGTAGGTTGGGCTGAGAGTCTGTGACTGACCCAAAGTCACCCAGTTGGCTCCATGGCTGAGTGGGGACTCGAACCCATATCCTCTGAGTCCCAGTCCTATGCTCTTAACCACTACGCCACACTGGCATCTGCTCATCTAGTGCCACAGAATCCATCCAATGCATTACAACATAGATAAGCAGAGATAAGCACAACCTGTTTAAAAATCTTTCTCCCAGAATGGAACCATTTCTTAACAGCAGCTCTCTGAACTGATGGGGCACTTTTTGCCTTCTCTTTTAGGAACTCCCCAAGGAAGAGGTCTGCCTAGAAGAAATAGTTGAACATGTGGAACCTGTGAGTTCTAAGACACCAAAACAAAAGGTAAGTTTGAGGAGTCCACTAGCTACCTAACTTAGACAACACAATAGTCCTTGATTTCAGTTGGAAGCTGCACTTTCTAGGGGAAATTGGCCAGGGAATAATACTGAGAGCACATTTGGGTTTGAGTGGTACACAGTTTGGATTTAATTTATTACTGGATATGCACATATATGCATGCATGCATACTTGCAAAGAGACTTCAGCTTTCACATTCCATTTTTAAAGTCTGGGTAGTTTCAAACTGTAGCATCTCAGTATACTTCTCAGGGAACTATGGTGAGTTGCAGCTCCTTGTTGAATGTGAACTCAGGCAAATCTTGATTTTGCCTCTGTGTAGTGTGTGATAGACTTAAAAAAAAGAATAATAGAATTGGAAAGGGCTGGAAGTCCAACAGATTCAACTCCCTGCCATTGCAGGACACTAAGTTAACCATCCCATTTAGATGACTGTCCAAACACTTTTTGAATGTCTCCAGTGAGGTAGAGCCCACAACTTCCCCAGACAATAGGTTCCATTGTCATACTGTTCTGAAAGTGAGGAAATTCTTCCTGATGTCTAGTCCAAATCTGGCTTCTTTTAACTTAAGTCCATTATTCCATGTCCTGCACTCTGGAATGAACGAGAAGAGATCCTGTCCTTTCTCTTTGTGGCAGTCTTTCAGGTATTTGTAAAGTGCTATCATATCTCCCCTCAGTCTTCTCTTCCTGAGGCTGAACATGCCCACCTCTCTCAATAATTAATAGTCAGCTTTCACTCCAGGAAAGATAATGTTTTGATGGTATTCTTGATTCTTTCCTAAGAACAAAAATAGTATTCATCTTCATATCATCCTTTTTTTTAAAAGTTGCAATTTACCATCCTTATTGAGTTCAGCTCCACAGCAACCCAAGGACCAGGTAGTTGTGGCTGACCCATGTTTTACAAATAGGGGACTTGTCATGAGACTGTTAGGGGGCTTAAACCCTGGGCTCAATTCCTCAGGCTACCAGATTGCACTGGCTCTCTACCATGTTTCTGCTGGAGGCTTCTTCCTTTTAACATTCTAAACTATTGTACTAAGCTCTCCAGGGCACAATAGTTTTTAAATTTGAATTCAAGTTACTGTGGATGTTTCACACAGGCATTGGAAAAAATATTCAGCCGGTGCCATCAGCCGTTCAGCACTTTACCTATAAAATAGTTGCATTATAGAATTTCAATTCCCTCCTCAGCCTTGCCAGATACCAAGGGAAACCTGTTCTGCTGGTATTATATTGTTTGAATATTTTGGTGGCGGGAGGAGAAGAGAAAACCAAGCAGTCTAAAATGCAAGGATGGGAAATTCCTACTCTTTTCCAGGTGCAGGTTGTGCTGGTCTATTGTAGCAAGAACAGCTCAGTACAGTCCTATGTGTATTGCGGCAGAAAAAACTCCTACAACTCCCAGAATGAGAACTGTAGGCATTTTTAACGTCTAAACAAGAGCAAGATTACACCGTAAGAAAACAGTGATGTGGTTCCTAGGCAACATCTGGAGTGCCCTGCAGATCTCCTATTCTGCTCGGTTAGGCAGCTATGAGTGCAGGGGAGTGAGTTCCCTGCCTCTCGCAGCTGCCACAGAAAACTTCTTATATACGACTGGAACCATAACCTCATAAGTGAAGTCAGAGAGGGAGAAAAGCAGTGTGTGCTGGTGGGCAGGAAGGGATGATGCCGGATACACAATATCCGGGGGTCTGTAGCCTTGCTCTTTTTCTCTGTTCCCAGTCCCTCTGCTTGCTCCTGTTCTTTCTCTCTGTCTCTCTCTCTCAAGTAGAAGCACCAGGTGGGGAGTGGAGTTGTCGAGCTGCAAATCAAGGTGCAGAAAATGATTTCTTTCGTTTCTAGAGCAGGGACAGTTTTCTTTTATTTGGAGTATGGAGAAAGGCTTGTGTTTATATGTGTATAGGATGAGTGGCTCCATCTTGCATAGGTCTAGTTGGAAGGGATTCCCATTGAGTTTCATGTAAGCATGCATAGGATTGCAACCTTAAATGTGCATTTTGTTGCACATCTCTGGGGTCAACTCTTTGAATTGGCTTTGGAAGCCATTCTTTGTTTTCTAAGAGCTGTTTTGTGGGGGTGCTCACAGTAGTTTCTCAGATACCCACATGTGCCCATGGGAGCCCCAAGGCTGAGGACCCCTGTTATGCTGCCTGTCCAGACCTCTTCCCGTACACCAAAAGTTAAGTGAGTCATGAAGTCTTAGAGGCTCATCTAGCTGCTTTTTGCATTTTAAGGAGCATGGAACCACCCTGTCCTTTCCTCACATTGTTTGGCTCCTGCCAGCAGGCCACAGAGGGCTCAGAGTGCAGCCTGCAGGATTATAAGCATGAACCTTGCAGCATCTTAGAGATGAACAAATTTAGTCCAGTAAGCTTTTCATGGACATAGGATTTTTGCCAGAGGCTTGTAACAGGGTAAAAGATTTTTTCCCACATTCTACATGTTGCCAGGGCATGGCCACTGTTACTAGTGTGATTGTCAGTGCCTGCATTCATTTTCCTTCTGACTTTACTGTTTACAGTTCTTCCTTCATTCTGTATGTGCTGTAAATATATCTGAAACTGGAGAATACTTTATGCAGCCGATGAATGGAGCCTGTGAAAGCTTGTGCCAGAATAAAGCAGTTTGTCTTCAAGATGCCATATGACCCTTCTTCCCCGCACACCCCAGAGTCTCCCAGCCCTAAATTCCCATCCCTCACAATTTGAGGATGTGCTACATGCCTCTGTGGTAATGCATTAAAGCTCATTTGGCTTTCACTTGAAATGCCTCAGATATTTTGCCTAAGGAGGAACTTACAGATTTGCTCTGAACACCCACAGTGACTCGACCCAAATGTATTATCTGCTAAACCACTTTGGAACTTGAGCTTTACTTACTTACTCTGCCTACTGTGTACCAGGTCCTCTTGTATTGTTTGCAACACAAAGGGCCATGAGCAGAGCCGTTTGCCTGTGCACGAAGGGGCATTTTTCTGTGCCCATCATTGAAATGGAATTCTATTCTTGGCTGGTGCAATGTGTTGAGCAGATGAGGAACTTCTGGTCTGTGGCAGATTGTGGCCTGCCAGGCACAATGACCTCCATAGAGACCCTGTGGCCTCCTGAAGCCCCGATCTCCTTGGAGAAAGATGGGGCCAGCCAAGCTAAAGCAGATGCCATTTGTGGGAATCTTTCCACCTCAAAACCCTCCCTCTGGTGCTGTCTATGTACAGTACCTGGAATGTCAGAAATAGGAAGTGCTCTGGCACATGTTTTTATTTAGTTATCTATTATTTTTCTCCTATTTCCTCCAAGAAGTTCAAAACAGTGTACGCAATCCACTGTTGCTCCATTTTATCCTCATGATGGCAACCCATCAAGGTGCATTAGTCTCTGAGTCAGTGACTGACCAAAGTCACCCAGCAACCTTCAGGTCCAGGAGGAGAATTGAACCCTGGGCTCCCCGTTCCCAGACCAACCCTCTGAACACCACTCCGCCTTGGCTTCCACATTGTCAGTCTCTGGCAGAAAGGGAACACTTGCACTGGCAGGAGCAGTGGTGAGTTAGTGAACTGAAAAATCGTTTAGCTTGCTATATCTGCTTAGGATGTAAAGCAGTATGAACATGTTGTAAAAACCTGTCTGCAAGATGCCCACTCAGTGCCGCTGTTTCCTGTCTGTCTGATTGGTCCTGTCCTTCTCCACAGGAAGCTGAGAAGAAACTCCTGCCTTTTAGACACCTAGAAAAGGATCTGAGGACCCTCCATAGAGACCTGCAACATACAAGGTAGGAAAGATGAGTCACCATATGGTGGCACCCAGGGGAAAAGCATCCCCAGTGCTGTAGATGCCAAAGCCATTGGGAATGGTTTTATGTGATTCTGAGCTCATGGCCAAGAGCCAGTGAGGCACTGCGCATCTCAGGAGCTCATAGGTGTTCCAGAGTAACCTGGCAACTGTACCAAAATGAAAGCTGCCTGAGACCAGTCAGTGCCTGAGTGACCAAGCTTTGAATTCTGTCACTGAAGAAGCTTGGGATATAAATATAATAAATAATTGTGGAAGGAAATCATTCCCTGTGGAGGAGGGGTGTGTCGCTGGCTTTTGTGCTCAGTGCCACATAGTAGCTTCCTCCCCAGTGGAGCCCAGACAGTGAACCACCCACTGTTGGAAGAGATGGGTAGATTTGACCCCTGTGCCAAAGTGTGAAATATTTTAATTCGTCCTCCCACCAACCAGTGAACTTCTGTGGGAGAAAGTAAAGCGGTCACAGGGGCACCGTGGATACTAGCTTGTATCCTTGTCCTCATGACTTCCAGGTCCAAGATATGAATCTGTTTTTGACCCACTCTTGGTGGTTTGCATCCTTTTTCTTTGCGCCACATAACTGAATGGGAGCCAGCAAGAGCTGAGCCAGTCTTAACCTAGAGACCAGCCCTTCAGTCTGCCTGCTGTTCCTTCGATCTGGATCTGCTGCTGCTGCCTCCACTGCCTCCTCCTCTTTGCTTTTTTGATGTGAAAATAGATTATATTCCCCGTGAGAACCATTGAGAACTGGGATCCTTCCTGGGTCCTTTGAGCCTCTAACTGTGCAAAAACTCAGTGACTCAGCTATGCAGCAGTGTTCCATGAAGTTGCCTCACACTGAATGAGATCTAAGTCCTTTGGTTCCGTCTGTAAGCAGCTGGCTTGGAATCCAGGTCTGCAGCCTCTCCAGCCTCCAGAGCAGCAGGTGGGGTGCTCCTGTGCCTGCAGCTTGCTTGTAGGCATCCCATAGGTTGGCCTTAGGAAGCTTTTGATCTGATCCAGCATGGCTCTTACATTGTGAACCAGCTTTATCTGAGATCCCTTAAATGGTTAAACAGTGGGACTTGAACCTGGACATTCAAACGTATATAAAGCAATAATCTGTGCTCCAACTCGACTGGTATACACATTGGTTTCCTGCCCAGAGTTGGACTGATAAGTAAAAACTGTCATGAATCAAGCAGCCTCCAGAGATGACACATCAAAGCTGAACAAAGGTAGTTTAAACAGACGTAAGGCTCAATTTGTGTGCTCTTTGCATGGATTGACTCCTTTGGTCTTCATACATTCTGAATGTATGTATTTGAATATCAGACTAGCAGTTTTACAGCACAAACATCAAATGTTGGTGCAAATGTCATGATTTACTGTTGGCAGGGTTTGCTGCTAAAGTAGATGCTGAGAAATGATCGCTGCCAATCTCAGAAGGGCGCATGTTCCAGTACAAGCGTTCCCATTCATAGCCCTTCATGTAACATCTTTAAAAGGCATTCATAAAAAGGGCTGTCAGAGTAAACAACATAAAAAGACAACAAATATTAGTTAAGCTAAGAGCAGCTAGGATTTTTGACCTTCCTAGACATGTCAGCCTAATTCTTCCACTTGGCTGGTTCAGGTCTCCTTTGCTTTAGCTTTGCTCAAGAAGCCTCTTTGTGTGGGGCAGAGTGGAACAGTTCTTCTGGACACTGGACAAAGGAGGTGTACAATTCTGGTTGGGAGCAGAACAATTGGTTATGGCAAGTAGTTCTAGATATCTGGAGGTTTACAGAAATGCGAGCAGCTGATACTGAGGGGTTTCTTGTACCTGCAAAAGTTGGATCCCAGTAGATGGTTCAAATTCTGTTGGGCTCTGTTATTTCCAAGCTGTGTTGATTTTTAAAAACCCCAAGGCATGCCAACTTTTCTAAAGAGGAAAATCCCACACAGGAGAATAGGCACCTTTTTGATCACAGGCAGGGTCCTGATGGATCTGGTAGTCCCTGAAGTGCATGGTCATCCACTACTTAGGGGATCCCTCCCCAACCCGGCACTGTCCAGATATGTTGAGTGATTCCTCCCATCATTCCCTGCCAGCGTGGCCAGTAGCTGGGGAGTTGCAGTCCGGCATGTCTGGAGGGCACCAGGTTGAGGAAGGCTGATCTGAGGCTGTACAGGAATGCCAGTACTAAACTGTGACCAGAAGGGGAGACAACATAACAGTTTTACAGCTATCTTAATACTCACTAGTCAATCTATAACTGTGGTAGTTACAGTAGTTAATAAGAATAAGATAAAAACTTTCCTCTGTAAATATGTGGGGCTTGCAGTTAAATGGATGATGCTAAAGGAAGGAGACATGGCTGTAAGATTGAGACAGATTGTACTACCCCTTGAGCCTCATTTTCTGCCTTGCCTGGTCTCTTCTCTGAATCAGCTGAAATCTGTTTCTGCCCATGTACTTTAGCCTAGCATGACTGGGGGGCGATTTTTTCCCCCCAGCAATCAGCCACTGCAGTGTATACACAATAGCTGCAGCACCACAGAGAAAATGCTGCTGTGGGGTTCAAACAGAAAGAGTCAATCGCAGAACACAGAAGTGGCCTGCTGCCCTTGAAGCTCCTGATGGACGCACTTAGGCATTTCTGGCTGCTTCTCTGTGCCAGAGTCACTTGGAAGTGGAATTCTGCCAGGCATAACTCGCTCTTTTCTGCTTTCTTTTCTCCTTCCAAAAATAGAAAAAAGTTGCTCTAGAAAACAGCCTGTTCTCTGTATTTTCAGTTCAGTGCTTTTCAGTCTCAGCTGTTGTAAGTCCCCCGTCTCTGCTCTACAGAGCCCTTGCTCATTTCCCTCGCTCAGTCCCTCTTGCCTCCTTCAGCCCAGGCAAATCAACTCAGCAGATCCGTCTCTCTCTCTCTAGTGGTGATCATGCTAGGAGGTCTGATTGGAGTTTGCAGGAAAGGAAGAAATTGTGCTGCCGCTTGGGATACCGGCATTATCTGCCAGCGCTCGCCTTGACTGTAGCTAAAGCTTAGTAATGCCAGTTGCTTGGAAACAGGTGCTCTGCTGCCTTTTTTCTTGCTGTTTGCCAGCCAACGCTCTAATTGGCATGCTTCTTGCACGGTCACGGCTAGAGGTTTGCAGAATGCTTTTCCAGAAGAAGCAGAAGTGAAAACTTTCTTTCCTCCCTGAATGGCGGCTCCCATTAATTAAAAAGCAGACACGAGCAGACAGCAAGCAGAGTATATGGATAGATAATGCATTGCCTGTGTCACCGCACATGAAGGGAAGCTGCTATTTCAGGTGCTTGTCAAGGGCCCTGCCTTTTCTGGCTGTTCAGTCAGGTCTCCATTTATCTGATGGCAGAACTCTGTTTCTATTTCATACCAAGGTTGCTTATTGGATGCTGTTTCCTATGCAAACATGCCTGCAAGTATTCCTTGGAAGGCAGCACTGTGCCTGACATGCTCCCTGAAGTCAGCAGCCAAAGACGGCTCACGAGTAGTTTTCTATTAGGGTGGCCAACTTGAATCAGTTTGATGGGTAGATGTATCCACTAAGACAGTGGAGGCGAACCTATGGCATGTGTGCCACAGCGGGCACGCAGAGCCCCCTCTGCCAGCACGCAAGCCAAGTCGCCCCAGCATCACCCCAGCAGCCGAGCATCGGATAACAACACACATAGGGGCCATGCCCACTCTTGGAAAGGAGTAGCGGCGCCAGGAGATGATGTCACAAGCCGCAACTCATCCGAGCTTTCACGTGGCCAGGCAGTGCACTGCCAAGGACATATATATATTTGCTTGGACTGGCTGTGAGTTGTTTTTTCTAAACTAAAACCTCAGTTTTCAGGTTTTATCGTGTGCTAAATAAGTGGGTTTTGGGTCGCTGTTTGGGCACTCGGTCTCTAAAAGGTTCTCCATCACTGCACTAAGATGTTAGTTATTTACTAATAGTCAGTCTTCACTTTAAAGGAATACTTGCCTTAATGTTTGAGTTATTTTGTTTCTTGTGTGTTATGATGCATCCATCTTTCAGAGGTGGGTTTAAAAGTAGGTCTGCAAGTTTTAGAGATCTTAAAAATAATATTGATGGTCTTCTAATAGTGTGGAGAAACTTTAGTCCATTCAGCTGTAATTTATCTTATTATAAGATGAATTATTGGTAAGCAGGAAGGTTTTGGTGTTAGCCGTATTTCTGGTGGTTCCCCAAGCCACCTTTTGCCTGACCCAGGAACTGAGAAAGACAGTGCATGTTGTACCCTGAAAATAATAACAAATAACTAGACTGTTCAGCCTCTCCTTTCTAGCTGTTGAAATTGTCCCATACATTTTAAACAGCATTTTTTTCACCCATAAGTACTTGAAACTTGTTGTGGTCCTTTTTAGGTTGAGAGGCTCAGGAAACTGAAATCTTCAGCTAGTCCCCTAATTCTGTGTTTTTCACCACTTTAATAAAATCACATTTCACTTATTATAGCCCTGCCTAAAGAGTTTGTAAAAGTATTTGGTTACCTTAGCAGAGATTCTGCTGAGGAACCATCAAGGAGGTTATGTAGAGAGGTGAAACCAGTTCATTGCATTTTTCTTATTGAAGTATTTATAGCGTGCCATTTGAAATAAAATCTTCAAGTTGATTTAGAAAGTGCTCTAAAACCAATAGGCTCCTATCATGTAACAGCAGTAACCATAAATGACATTTACAAAAAGCATAGTTGGAGTGCCCCTCAAAATGTCTGAGGTTTACCTATAGAAAAGTGAGCAAGAAGGGGAAGCAGGTAAGCATAATGGATGGAAGCACTCAGGTAACGTCATCCTGCAACTGCAGCCTCTCATGTTTGCCTTCTGGGGGTTATTTACCAGGCAAAATTTCAGGCATGTGGCATAACTAAACTACAGGCAAGATTAACCTGGCTTCTCTCAAAGAATCCTGAGAGCTGCAGTTTAGTGCAAGGGCTAAGAATTCCGGAAAGAGCTCCCCACCATCTCCACCTCCACAGAACTGCTGTTCCCAAGTCTTCCTTAGAAAAATGTGCACAGTATCTGTTGCTGTACCAATCAGTTTTGAGGCTCTTCACACGTTGTGATAATCTAGTTCAGAGGGGGACAACATGCACCTTCCACGCTTTGTTGGACTACTGCTCCCATCATTCTTCACCATTGCCAATGCTAGCTAGGGCTGTTGGGAGTTGCAGTCCAACATCGTTGGAGGGGTACAAATTGCAAGCTCCTGGGCACAGCTGAGCCTTTTCCCCATTTCTGTCTCCTTGCTGATTTTGCTTGCTGTTTGAAGGAATAAAACTCAATTACTGAATGAGTTAAGAGACAGGCTGATATAGAGTCATCTGAGCTTTATTTTCGAGCTTCTTCAGTGTTTTCCCGACATCAGAGTATTGGCCACAAGACTTGCATCACTCGGTTCTTGTAAAATCCAAGACCTTGCAGGTTTGCTCAGAAGAAAGTCCCATTAAGTTCACTGGGACTTCCTCCTAAGTAAGTATGCACAGGAGTGCATACATGCATTTTTATCTAAAGAAAATCCGCCAGGGCTCACTAATATTGGAGGGGAAAGCTTGGCTTTAATTCCACTGTTGTTCAGTGTTGCAGTTAATGAACTCCTCATGGGGGAGTAAAGGGTTTAAAATCATTAAATGCACATGAGATTATATTAAGTCCTAAAATTGTGCTCACACCCAATTTGGCTGTATATTTTGTTTTCTGTTAGGTCATTTTTATTTTGGTACAGCATGAGACTGACCTTTATCTATATTAATTTAATCTTATAAAGCAGCTGAAGTATACCACTGAAAATTATTAGCACTCAAAAAGCTCTCTTAATTTTCCTACTGACAAAGATATGAGTTTACAAGAAAGACATGCCCTTTGTCGGGAAGGTGGCAGAAAATCCGTGTTGTGACTCACAGTCGGCTGGAGCTCAATTACCGTAATAAATGCATTCCAAAGTTCAACTCAAATGCATTTGCATTTTAATGAATGATTCTTACCTCCACGTCAAGTTGGCAGCAAAGGCTAATTTTATTAAGTTGCTGCATAAATGTGACACTTTGAAACTAGAATTTTAAACGGAAAAATATTTACTTTGCTCCTTGTGTGAAAATGATTAGATCCCTTGTTTGTGCTACCTTGCCTAGGACTGCACAAGCACTGCATGGCCATATAAAAGGCATTTATTTATTTAGATACTTTGCTGTTCTTCTGTGCCATCAGGTTGTTGCCAACCTGTGTTGACTCCATGAGTGAATTCCTTCAAAGTGCCCTGTCCTTTTACAGCCCTGCTCAGTTCATATGTATTCAAGGCTATGGCTCCCTTCAGGGATAATGTGAGATGACTGACTAATGTGCGGGGCGAGGGGGGCAAGCAGTACATTCCCGCCATCTTCATCTTCATCCCTTTACATTGCTGCCCTGCCTTTCTTCCTCTTGCAAGGAACCCAGGACAGCTTACCGAGCTCTCCTCCTCTCCATTTTATCCTCACAGGGCTGTTGCTAGACTGTAGGCTAGACTGAGAGGCAGTCAGTGACCCAGTGGGTTTCATGGATGAGCTGAAGCTACAGCCCAGATCTCCCGAGCCCCGGTCCAGCACTCTTAGCCACCACGCCACACGGGCTCCCTTTTGCGTGTCCATCACACCTTGTGGAGAATTGCCACGAAAACTGCGGGAGGAATGTACATAGCCTTGCCAAGAAATATAGTCGGTCTCCTAGCACCCATGCCAGGAGGTGGGGAAACTGGGCAGGCCCATTCATGTAACGCCAGCCCATAATTCCAGAGAGCCCGAGAACTATGAGGGTCTTGATTTGCTTCCCTCCTCTTCTCGTAAAAACCCACGGCTTTTTCTCCAACCACCCTTCCCCTGCTTGGCAGCTTCCAGGTGTGTTAGACTGCAACTCTCTGCCAACATGAAGTTGTAGTTCGGCTCATCCGGAGAGCACAGGCTTGTGGGAAGGCTGCTCCACAGCCTTGCAAAGGGGGCTTAACTTTCTGTCAGAACAAGATGTCTGCTGAGGCCCAGGGAGCAGCAGAGGCTTGCGACAGCTCAACTTCAGAACGAGGCCTCAAGAAGCAGTGTGATCAGAGAGTCCCTGCAGTGAACGGGAGGTTCACCTGGGATTCCATCAGCCCGTCAGATCTGTGCCCTTTGTGGAGTGTCTAGCCTTCAGGAACTTTAATGCATTATTCTGAAGAAAGGGGTTGTTTTGAACCTGGTACAGACATTACTTTCAGAGGAGTGTTAATGCACGTGTCTGACTGGGATGGGGCAGAGATATATTTATTTATTTATTAAAACATTTCTATGCCGCCCCTTGCCAAGGCCTATTTTACGCCTAGACTGCAGAGCTGTCCAATTTGATGAATCCATTTTGCTGCCACTGTGAATCCCCTTCTGTCAGCCCACAAAACACTTTTTGTAATTTTTTTGGTGAATTTAAAAAATCAAAACCAAAAGCCAGAACGAAAAACCAGAACTAAAATAAAACAAAGCATTACAGTTGTCTTACATGAAGTAAGAGCTAATCTATTGCAATGCATAGCCACACACCATGCACTCCTATATATTTAAATATAGCAAAATAGGCCACTGCAATTAGGCATTTATTGTGTGCCCTTGAGTAATGGGAGTAATGACTGTTCATGGGTTCTTCAGGGGATGCTGTGACCCTCCAGCTTCCCTTTAGTTTTTTTAGTAGTACCCCTTGCACTCTTTTGGAGTTGGGGGAATGAAGTATTAGGGTTAGGGGAAGACAGAATTGATCACCTGCAGAGGGCCTTTGAAATGAGGCTGGGGTCTTGGGTTGTCCACTCTAAGTAAATGGGTCTGTATTCAGAAGAAGGGAGAAATCAGAGGCTGCCAGTGTAGCTTTTGGATTCTGGGAAGCCTTAAACATGCCCGCATTTATTCCTAGTAGAAATCACAGGCTGATTATTGTTCTCAAAGGGAGCAGTAGCAACTCTGTATTGTTGCATTTTAAACAGGTATTTGATCAACTCTGTGAAGATTGGGCGTGGGTATTTTCATACACTTAAAAGAGAGACTGCAGAGTGGAAGACGGCACAAAAGAAGGAACGGCAGAAGGAGGAGGAGAGGTGGAAGGCTGAATTTCAGCCCCCTAGATACCCCTCATCCTCATCATCTGACGAAGGGTCATCTGACGAAGAAATAACCGAGTATGTTTTCAGAGTTCCTTGTTCAGGTGTTTTCTTTTCCAGCACTAACCCACAATTGGCTTGATTGAGCAGAAGCCCTCCAGCCTGCCTCTTCTCCTCCCCTACCCCTCCAGCAGGACTTTATGATCACTCTGGCTGTTCGCTCCTCATTGGGCTGTTCCTAGTATTTCCCCACACACTCCTCTAGAAAATGTGGGGGTCGCCCAGGCATGCTGACACCCCCTTCTTACATGTGTGGATGGTGCACTTCTGGCTACGTAAGAACTGGCCCTCCGTGAACCAGCTGGCTTAGAGCATTCTTTGTTAAAAGAATTGGTGCATTCCAGAGGGCCACCTTCTCCTCCGTTCTTATGGCCATTTGGGGGCTTCTGCTGCCCTCACTGGCATCCCAGCTGCCCTAGCCTTTTCTTCAGAAGGCACAGTCAAGTCGTCAAAAGCCGTCAGTGCTCATTAAAGGAAGCCTCTTGCTTGCAAGAGCAGCTGCAGCTTAGTAGCAGGCACGTTCTGTTCTGTCCAGAATGCCCTGAGGTCAACCCCTATCACTTCCAGGAAGGTCTCCTGCCCAAATCCTAGAGCTGACAGCACTAGATATAAAATCAACTTCTGATGTTCCATCCTTTAATCAACAAGATCATTAAAGGAACAACTTTAGCTGGTAGGTGTGAGGATGAACAATGGAAAGTCATCCTCTATTATGGCAAACCTTCTGCACTTACTACAATATTTGGAGGATGGGTAAGAAAAGATGATCCATGGCACTGGTTACATTTATATTGTATATTCCTATATGTTAGTTTGTAATGGAACATACTCTTGTTAAGAAAAAAAAATTGCGCATTACCTTGCCAAAAGCAAAAGTCCATACATGTATCCATGCATGTATCAATTTGTAAATTACTAGTAAAGGCCACTTGTTCAGAAATCAACAATTTCATTAAATCTTCCATCCATTGTATTACTTCTAAAACCATTTATCCTTCCAGTTTTGTAATATTACTTCTCATGGGATGTGAAAAATCCATTTATGTTGACCTTGCATAAGATTCCAAGAGATGGGTAGGTCATGCAAAAGAACATGTGTATTCTTAAAGCACTTTCCATCACAAAGTTTATCCAGATTATTACCTCCTTCCAGAAGGAAGCTGCCATTGGGCATTGCCAAATATACAGAGAACCATAAGCAACACTATGCCTCCAGCAACTGGCAGATTTAATTAACCCATTTTGTTTTCTGACTCTTGTCCTGCCTTTCTCTTTCTTTAGTTTCTTTTTAACAGAATGTCCTTTCCTGAGAGGAAGGGAGAAGAAGAAGAAAAAGAAAATGATCCGGCCTTTCACTCCTTTCTATAATGGCCTTTTGTCACAAAAGCATCCGGATGCGCATTTGTAAGTCCACGGGCACAGTACCTGATCACTCAGTCTGCCCCTAAATAATGCTTTTGGGCATCCTGGTGCATCTTCCAGGACCTGATTATGAAAATCCATTCTCATGGATACTGGATTGCATCCCACAATCCCTCCAGAAGAGAAAGGGCTCTACTCATGGAAGATCCCCTCCCACTCCTGCAAGATCTCCTAACACCCTGACTAGCATTTCTGGAGGGATTGCCCCAGGGCGGCATGGGAAGGAAAGACCACTTACACCCATGTAGTGTAGTCGAACCCATGTGAACGTGGCCCCAAACTGCTCGTCCCAGTCAAATCTCTCATGTGGTTGTGGAGGCTTGTACAACTAGGGACGTTCCCATCTTTCCTGTGGAAGAAGATTGCTGCTGACACCCCTTTGGTGTGCTTCCAGTTTAGCAGTGGAAGCTGCTTTAAGCTTTGCAAATTCAGGGAAGGTTTTGGCCCTGGGTTCTCACAGTCAAGGAAGGTGGGGACAGGACCTAGTTTTTCCTCAAAGGAAGCTGCTAGGACTGGGGCCTGTAGACTAGCACAGGCCATCCAGTCCGCCCCCCCCCCGCTCCGCTTCCACATGGGCCACCCATCCGGCTGCAGGCCGGCACCTGTCCAGCTTAGCGAAAGTGGCGCAACATGCAGGCTTGATGTAGATTTGTGCAGGCAACAAGGAGCCCATGCAGGATCTCTGGGATCTGCCCTGGAAGGAAGCTTCTTTTTGGAGAGCATCTCCAGCAGTGTCTCTATAGCCAGAGGTACTTGTGACCGCCTCACATGTCTCTTCTTGGACCAGGAGAGCAGCTGATTGTCAGATGCCAAATGGGCAGTTGCAGAGGGGAGCGGCGTGCAGCAGGCGTGGGCACAAAGTGCATCTCCAGGCGCCTGGGTTTCAGCTCCAGCTGTCCTGCCAGCCAGGTCCGTGGTCAGGACTGCTGGGTGCTGAGAGCCAAACCTCTGGGCATTCCTTGCTTCCCACCGCTGGTCTGCAAGACCCATCTCAGCAATACTTGCCATTACACTGCTGCTGGGACATGGCAAGTCCAGAGCCCGGTGGCGTGTGCCTGGAGCGCAGCCCATTTGCCTCGCCTCCTCATCCGTCAGCTTATTGGCGCCTCTTCCTGCTTGCCAGCTATTCCATATTTCGGCAGCTCTGTGCCCTCACCTGGCTCTTGGAAGCGCTGACCCTGGAACCCAACAGCAGCATGAAGCCTGTGATCACATGTTGGAATCCAAGGTAACCCATCCGTGAACGGCTGTGCTGACACCTGTGCAAGGCCTTGGGGGGGGGGGATTGCAGCTGGTTAGGAACACCCAAAAATGAAAAGGCGGTGCAGCAAGTCTTCTCTTGGTCAGGGTGGGCCCAGCTTTGCTTCCTTCATTTTTGCATCCACACTGAGAAAGTGTCCAGGAAGGGGGACTCGGCAGCCTTTTGTGAATGGTCATGCTCAGCCATCCCGTGACGGTTTCTGTGGCTCTTGGAAAGTGAGAAGCATTTTACGTAGGGCTGCAGGAGAATTTTACTTAGGCTCTCAGGACGTGCACGCGTGCCCTGTTTGACCAAGCATGTCTGTTCAAAAGATCCACAATTTCTCTCACTCATCTGTCTCCCAATTCCCAGAGAGATTTCTGCAGATTTCCGCAGTCAGCCCTGCTTTAGCCTGTGGATGAAATTGGTGCACATTTTCTGCTTGTACAAAGCAAGCGCTGATCATGAATGCTGAGGGGAATCAGGCATGAGATAAGAACCAGAACCAGGTCCAGAGAACCCTCATGATTGCAAGCATCCTTTGTTTTCCGGTCCCTAGTTTATACCCCGTGTTGAAATGTGCAGACCACTTGTCCCAGCTCACTATGGGGCACCCTCCCCGCCTCCAGATCCGGTGCCCTGCAGGAGTTGAGCTCTGATGCATCCAGAGAGCACCAGGTTGCAGAAGGACCTCCCTAAGTGACCAACATGCAGGCTTTTAATATTTTGAGGTTCTGTGTTCTCTATGTCCTAATTGATTTGTTTTTGGGTTTGCTTCTTTTAAAATCAGTACACGCCTCTGTATCGGTTTTCACATTGAAAAATGAGCAGGAGCCCTAGAAGGACAAGAGGGGTCAGTGCGGACATATAACCAGCCCATCTGACCCTTGAAGAACTCTGCACCAACTCCTTGGTGTAGGCAGACACACCGCTGTGGCTGAGAGGAAGAGTGCTGTGCAGTGATCAAAAGAGCTGTTGCCCAGGAGCTGGGCTCCTCCTGATTCATCCCTTCTGTTAAGCACAGCGATCCGTGGTGCTCCAGTAGTGCTAAAAGCCACACCTCCTAAAAGCCAGGCTGTGCTAACACATCTCTCGTTAATGTCTTCCTTTGCACAGGGACTACGGGGGCGGGAAAAGCCCCATAAAAGTGGTCAATAAGGAAAGGGCCATGAGGACACGATGGGAACACTTCCTCCAGCACTCCAAGGTACTCTGATGTGGCTCGAAGGCGGCTTCCAAGGAGTGCATGCCGTGCACAGGTGTGGGGGTGTTCCTTGAGCTCCCTTGTGTCGCTTTGGAAACGTGGAGCCTGGGGCAAATGCACAGTGAGCACAACTCATTGAGCCTGGTCTGAAAGCCAGTCTTCTCTCCAGGGAATTCTGGGAATCGCAGTTCTGCAGTCAGAGGGGATTGTGCAGAGTCCCCCAGAAGTACGGGAAGGACACGCCCACTGCAGCTGCAGCTCTAGAAGCCCCCTGAGTTGGTTGCGCAGGAGAGGCACAGTGGCACCATCTGTTCCCGCAGTGTTTTGAGTCCAGATTGGATGCGGGAAGCAGCAAATGGGGGTTCCCCCCCCCCCAGCAGTACAGCCAAAGGGGCAATTTATACAGAGTCATGGAGCTGGAATGGCCCTGGAGAGCATCGACTCCAACCCCTGCTTAGTGCTGGCTGCGTATCACAGAGGGCAGCTTTGTCCCCACAACAGGTGCCTGTCCAGCCCGTGTCTGACAGCTCCAGGGAAGGAGAGCCCTCCGCCCCCCGGGCCAGTGCGTTCCACTGCTGAACAACTCTCACATTAGGATGCTTCTCCCACTGCTTAGCCAAAATCTGCTTTCCGCTGCATCAGGGGAGTATGTCAGGGCGGAAGGGCTGGATGCCCCCTCCTGGTGCCCTTGTTCCAGTCAAATTAGGAAATGAAATGAAATCAAAAGATCAGGTGATCCGATCGCAGTTCTTCCCACGTAACGCAGCTGTTGGTCCCAAGGCCGGTGTCGAGGTTAGGCAAAGGTGGGCACCTTTCTGCGGGCCTGCACCTGAGCGGGGGCACGCTGAGAAGAGCCCTGGAGCTGCTCCACCTCCTCACCCTTGCAGCCCGCTTGTTCCCCTGCTGCTCGTTCTGGCGCAGACAGTGGCACTGGGGAGCAGAGGAGGAGCCGGAGGGGCCGCTCTCTGCCTCTTTGCTGGTCCCCTGCCCATCAAGCAAGCAAGTGGGTGGGTGGCAGCAGAGACGGGAAGACGAGTCGAGGCAACAGCAGCCGGAGGCAGTGGCAGGGAAGGGACCCGCCAAGGCTGCCCCGCTGAATGGCCGTCACAGCCCGGGACCAGGAGTGAGGTGCCTGCGGCTGCCTGCTGAGCTCGTCACCCAGGGGAGCTCCAGTCAGGGGTGCCCTGGCCCTGTGGGGCGGGTGGGCAAGGCATCTCTTGCATGCCGCAGCTCCCATGCTCGCCCCCTGCACCACACCGCTCCACCTCGCGCGTGTAGGCCCTTTGTGCCAGACACACCAGTGTGGCTCTGTGCTCCTTGCAGGGCAGGAGGCCCACCCAGAAAACGGTGGTCCGCACCCCCGTTTGCAGAAAGGCGCCCCCGAAGAGCACCCTGAGCATGACCAAGCTGGACGGGCTGTCATCCCCGCACAGCAAGACCACGCTGACCAGCACCAGCTCCCTGACCCCCGCCTCCGATGAGGCCGTGCAGCTGCCTTCCGACAGCGCCAAGGACGCCGAAGAGATGGACTCCAGCTACAGCAAGCAGACCAAGGAAGAGGAGGAGCCGCTGAGCTACTGTGAGTCCTCGCGTGCTCCCCACTGCAAGCCGGGGGGCTCTGAGCCGCGGGACCCGGGGCAACAGCAGGGCCAACCCCAAGGAGAGTGTCCGAGGGCACCGGGTGCCCACGGTGCCACGTTGGCAGCCCTTGAGCTGCAGCTTTGAATTCACCGACCCCTTGGTGCCACCCTCAGCCGCCTGCAGTTCCAAGTGGGGAGCTGGCCAAAGTCCCCACATCCTCGCTGAGTTGCTCGGGAGGGCGGGGGCCACAACCATTGAACCATCAGGAAAAAGAGATGTACGCATGTTTGATAATGCGTTCATACTCGGTGTGCCGGGAGAGGTTGCTGATGATCCCAGGCGAGGCACTCGGAGCACTTTAAAGCAGGCCTTCTCCAGCTTCGGTGTTCTCCAAATGTCATACTACAGCTCCCAGGATCCCCCAGCCTGCTGGGCTGGGAGTTGTAGTCCAGCACATCTGGAGGGGCTGGGTTGGGGAAGGCTCCGTCAGAGTCCCAGCAGATTTATGGGAGCTGATCCTCTTATGGGCAGGGCGCATATGCTCTCTGCACTTGGACAGACGACCCTTGCCGATACGACCCCCTTCGCGCGTCTGGCCAGGGATCTGCCGGCCACCCCAGAGACGCCGTCAGGCTCCTCTCCTTTTACTGCGGCCCAGTAAATGCGGGAGCTGCCGCTCTGAAAGGCCTCTACTGCCTTGTCTTGCCTTGTTGTTCCTCAGACCTGCAGACGTTGCTTCAGATGATACACGAAGACGTGGCGAAGAATTTTAGTAAAGAAAACAGGCTTTGGAGCTCAAACATGCTCGGGTATGTCCCCTGCCTGGCTCTCCTGGAGGCAGAAGGTATTCCGCAGCTGAACGTCTTACCAGAACCGTCACCGGATTTCAAGGCAGCAGTCAAGGATGGCAGGGCTGTGTGCTCTTCCATTCCCCGTGCTGGTTCTGTTTGGAAAGCTGACTGGCAGGTCACATGCCCCTCTTGAGACGATTCCGAGTGTGGGCTCCACTCCAGGCATGTGGGGTGCGGGGGACTGGCAGCTCAGGGGAGGATTTTAGGGGTGGGATAGTTCCCCCTGTTCTTAGGATGCAGACACCATCTTGGAGTAGCTGGTCATGAGCAGCCAACCTGCAGCTCTGCATGGAAGGAGCCCAGTCCTTTCTCCCCACCAGTTTCCGTACAAGGCCTGGCCCAGAGCCCCGTGACTGGCAACATTATGCACTCACTGCAGTGGCTGGAAGGCGAGAGCTGTGTGTGTGTGCATGCGTGCGCTTCTTCTTGCAACTGGGCCTTGGGCTCTGAGCTCTGGGAGCGTGCAGGCATCCGATGGCCCCTCTTGCGTTGCAGTGTGCACACCTTGTCAACGAGATCTGATCCCGAGAGCGAATTATCCTTTGGGCAAAGGGCCAAAAGGTAAGGCACCCTTCGAAAAGAGCTGAATAGAGAGCGGCTTGGGAGACTTCCGTGGCGCCCAGGGGCACTTGCGGAACCTGCGCCTGGTCGTGCAGTCCTGCTCATGCCCCTGCACTGCTGCCACTGTGTCCACAGGCCGCCCATTCCTTCCGTCCCTCTGCAGCCTGTCCCAGATGCATGGGGCTCTCTCTGCCCTAGTGCAGCTTCATTGGTCTCGGGAGAAGGGCTGCTGGAACACTGGGGCTGCTCTAGAAAGCCACCGCCGTGTCCATCAGAGAAGTGCTGTGCTGAGCACCACGTTCTGTCTTTCAGTTCAGCCTCATCTTCAAAGGAGGACAAAACCAGCGTGGGAGCAGTGAGGGAAGGCACTCCGGAGCAGAGGCCAAAGAGGTAAGTTATGCCACACTGAGAACCTAAAACTCTGGGTTGTTTGCCTGGATACAGAGCTGGCAGGCAGGGCGGAAAGTAAACCCAGCCTTTTTGCGTGCCAGGACTGCAGCGCCACAAAGACGTTTGGCATATGGGGGGAGAGTGGGCAGACCCACCCCCGGTTGGTTTGGTCACCTGCCGGACAGCGCCTGGATAGGGAAGCATATGGTGGGCAAGCGTCGTGTGCGGACGAGACTGCCGGGCCACCCCTCTGGGACAGGCAGGAACGAGCAGCAGGCAGGGGTGAGCCGAGCCAAGGCTTGAGGCCCCCCGTTTTCACCCCTAGCTCTGGACTCAGAGCCTTGCCCAGGAGGGGAACTTGGCTTCTGAGTGCTTTTTCCGCCTCCCCTTTCCCATAGTTCCTTGACAGTGACCCTGAGAGAAGATAAAACAGTGACGGCGACGTATGAGGATGAAGAGTGCACAGAGCAGATTAGCCGGATCCATGAGTACGAAAGCAGGGCAAGGCCCCGCTGCGGGGTCCGTGAGGGGGGCTCTCTCTGTGGCCTCCCCCTTGAGCTGTGGCGCTCCTGCGTGGCCTCTTTGCCGGTGGCAGGGAGCAGGGTGGCCAGTCAGGGCCAGGTGGAGCGACGCACCAGGACTCATTAGGGATCCTACAAGGAGAGGCCGCCTCCCCGCCTTTGCCAGGAAGCGGCGATGATCCACATGGTCGCTGGTTGCGGGCACCACGGCCCGATTTTCACTTCTGCCTCCGGCCACGGGAGCGAACCGTCCGCCGTTCTCACACTGGCCAGCGGGGCTCTTGACAACGGTCATCCATCTGCAAGCCACCAAAGGCAGGTCCCCCCCGCCCCTTGCTTGGCGGGTGGGGTCAGGCAACTGACTGCCCCGTCTGCTTCTCTAGCTCCTTCATCAGGAGGAAGGAAGAGATGTGCAACGAGATGAAGGAGCTGTTTTACGACGTGGCCCAGGAAAACGCATTCAGGTTGCACGATCAGCTGGATGTCCTGGAGAGGTACCTCACGCTTCTCCTCTGCCTCGTTCCCCAGCCCAAGCACCCCATCCAGTAACTCTCCTCCCCGCGTTACTTGGTCTGCAAAGGCGAGTGGACCAGCAGCATCAGCTGTTTGGCGCCTTAAGATCAGGCTGCCTCCCCTTCTGCCCAGCAAGCATTGCTGGCTCCGCCAAGTCAGCGAATGGCACGCGTGCCCCCCGCGCCCCGCCCACCTCCAGGTCAAGGTAGCAGATTCAAGTCGCGGAATCTGGGACTAGCTGCAGAACAGAGTCTCCCAAGAACCCCAGGCTCAATTTGAATACTGAAGGAAGCTCAAGGTTTTAGCCCTTATGGTTGTGGAGGTGTGATCTCAAGTGCCTCTTGAGATCTCAGCAGGTTGGTGGACCTGCTGGGAAGATGGTTAGGAAGGTCCAGAGCAGTCAGAATTTGGGCCAACTCAGTGCAGAAATCCGATTTAGTTTTGTTTTCCAGCCTGTCAGTTTGAGTGGGAAAGTCCCACCAAGGCTCTGCTACACCCAGGGAACAGCTAACATGGTCATGGAAGGGGCACCACTCAGTGCCTGGCCCGAAAGCGCTTCTGGGGCACCTGGGCTGAGATGGGTGGCCTCTGGGGCCTGAATCTCGCCTCCTGCCCAGAGAGGGCAGCATGCAGCTTCTCCGCCCTCGTGCCAAGGAAGTGCTGGAAGCAAGGTGCAACCGCAGCAGGAGGGGGCAGTGGGCAGCTGCAGCCCAGAGGACGCCAGCCCGCAGGCCGATCAGAGCAGTGTGCATGGCGGAGTCGATAGACGCCACGGTGGCCACGTATGAGAGGTGCAGGTTCCCACGCGGGTCGCCTCCAAGCCAGCCTGGCTGGCCTAGGCTGCCTCCATGCTGGGGCCTTGCGAGATGCGTTGCGGCCACAGCTCCCATAATTCCCGGCCAGCGTTGCCATTGGAGTCCCTCCACACCTGGAGGGTTCCAGCTTGGGGGAGGCTGGACTACTGCTTCTGCTGATAGCCATTGTCGAGCTCTAGAGGCGCTCCCCCAGAGCTCAGAAGGATCCGTGCGCCTGCGTGGGCCATCCTGGCCTGCTGATCCCCTCCCTCCCATCGCTTTCCTGTTGCCGTTGCTTCTCCCTTTCCCCGCCACGGCTGGAGCAGCAGGCGAGGCACGTTGGCTGCTTGTGTTGAGCCCATCACCAAGCACGTGAGAGAAGCGTTGTTTCTGGCAGCCTGCTCTGAAGGGGCAGCTTCTAAAGTGTGCAAGCTCAATTGGCAGGAGGCGAGAGGAGAAGAGCATACAGAAATACCTGTGTCTGCAGCGCATCACGAAGTTGCGCAAAGACCTGGAGCGGATGAGGCAGTCAGTTCTGGGGCGAGAACCAGAGCAGGATGCAGAAGAAGAGAACTGGTAAGAAAAGGGGATTTGGCACAAGCTGCCACTGGCCCTGCAGTTGGGGCAGGAGGAAGAGGCTGTGGCGCTGAATCAGGATTTCACTTCCCAAGCCATAGTTCTAGAATGTGGAAGTGTGTAGCCATTGCCGTAGTAACAGAAGTTCAGAGGCCAAAAGGGTCATAGACCGAGATTTTCAGCAGCTGGGTAGCATGGATTAGAGGTGCTTCTCTGTGACCTGCAGAATGCATTGTGCAAGCCTTTAAACAGTGGAAAACGAATTGTGCAAAGTAGGAAAAATCACACAGAATTTCTGTAGGGCCCCATATAGCAGCTCCTCTGGACATAAAATAAGAACTGTCTTGATGTGAATGCCTTTTTGTTTTTAAGCCCTGGATTTAGCAGTGGCTGCTGAGCCTTCTGTGAATGTCACATTTTCTCTTCCAATCTGCTGCTTTCCATGTGGATTCCCAGGTGTCTTTGCCTCCTTGCAGGGAGTGGCAACATGTTACAGGTTGTAAGGACACGCAGGTTAAAATCTTGTTTTTTCTGTTCAAGGTTTTCCACTCTAATGGAAAGAATCCCAGATGAAGTTAAGAAAGACCATCGTACCCAGAAAGTCCTCAAGAAACTGGAACGCTTTGCAAGGAATCCAGACTTGCGCATCCGACCACCCACCTTCTTGAAAGTGTTGGGTGAGCTTCGGATCTGGGAAATTTGCTCTCCATGTATCAGTGCTGCTGTGGAGGTGAGTGATGTTTAGGGGAACCTTGAGGAGCCAAGGACATAAAGCCCTCCTCTTAGATCCCACACGTATCTACACCCATTAAAACAATTAGGAATTGACCTGCTGGGATCCTGACAAAAGTCGTGGGCCTTCTGGAGTGCTCACTTTTATGCATTCGAAGCATTTGTCGGAGCAATACTTTCAGAAGACATGTCGGCTAGGATGGCAAGTGTTATTCATATATTGCAAATGAGGGAGCGGAGATTTCCTCCCCCAATCCAGCTCCTTGGGTGCTGTCTCCTGCCCTAGAAAATTCAGAACGTTGGCTGCTTGTTGCTGGCCTGCCTCTGCTGGTAGATTGCTTGGTCATTGGCACCTGGCCATTGAGTAGCAACAAAAGAATTGCAAGTGTACACCGAAAAGAGCTCACTTAATGAGTCAGCTGGAGGGGATTTTTTGTGGAAAGTTCCTTGACTTAATTCTGAGTGGATTTCCCCAAATTTCCCTTAGTAAAGACCAAAGTAGATCTGCCAGCTTGAACTCAAGAGAATTCCCGTTGCAGAAGCGCAGCTGCCCCTTTTCTGTGTTGTAGCTTTGTGTGGTGTTGCCTTTCCACAGCCAGGTTGCTGCAGGCATAGGATCAGTCTCCAAATTCTCCCCCACAAACCGCCTTCAAGCAGAACTAGTGCCAGGGACGCTCGCGCTTGCAGTGTGCTCTTTTTACACACATTGCTTGGGAAATGGGGAAGCATTTGAGCCTGCGCTGCCAACCCGCAGCCATACTTCTCACCCCGCCTTTGCCGCAGTTCCTGCGCGAATATATTGTGGAGATGCCTGAAGAAGATTACAAAGAGTGGTTGCAGTCTCGCGTGCCAATCTCGAAACAGCGAGCGCGGAGTGCCCCGCCACTGTGCTGCGCAGGGCCAGAAGGCCACGGACAACCTCCTTTGCGACTGAGCGGACCCCCCGGCTAGCCAAAAGCTGGAGCAGGCATCGAGCGCTGGTGTGTGTGGAAAGGTAAACACTGATACCGGCAGGACTGGAGAGAGATGCCCAAGAATTCCCCTGAAGGGCATCACATGCTCATTCTCAAATGCTTGTCTAGCATAGCATTGCACCCACCCTGGTGGCTAATGCAAAACAACAGAATGAGAATTGACCAGCCAAAGACATTTAACTTTATACAATGCTTTTTTGCTTTGAATTGTTGTGTGTTTGAGTTTCTGTTGTTCCTCCTTTATGCAGTGCATGAGGTGGTGGGGGCAGGGGAATGTCACAGAAACGATTGTGCCTGTAGCAACGTTCAGTTCAGGGGCAGGAAAGGATCCCTTCGTTTGCTGCGATCAGCCACTTCTGCCGAAAGTGTAGTTCTGTCTCAGTTAAATCTCTGTGTTTGTGTGCTGTGTTATGTTTCTAACTGGTCATAAATTTCTGTACAATTCTGAAATATTAAAAATTTTGGGAACTTTCAGGAAAGACAGTTGAGGATTATATATTTAGTTTCCAGCCGGAGAGCCATCAATACCCAGTATCTCAGGAGTGTTTTGTTCTCTCTGGAGATAGGAGAGCCAGCACAACCCACCCTTACTGACATCATGTGAAAAGAATTGGTTTTCCTCTTAAGTAACACAACACAGTCATGCCTGCTGGCTGGGTGTTTGATGCAACACCCATCCTCCCCAGCCACCATGGCAAGGCTGGGGACTGTCGATCTGACATACCTTCCAGCAGCATATCATAGCACCCTCTCGGCATCTTAAGAAAACCAGCAGTTTTCATGCCCACGTGAGAACAGAAGAAATCTCTTGCTAAGGCATGTGCTGCCAATGGTTTCACCGCCAAGTAAAAATGTTTTGTCATTTTGGATCCATACAACTTAATTTTAGAAGCAAGGAGTCCAGCCCGTGTGACGATCTGTGCCAGTGGGTGCATGTGTTTGCAGGGCGGGGGAGAGTACAAGAATGTTCTAGCAGCAGTGAAGTTTGAAGCTTTTTATTAAACTGTCATCCAAGCAACCTATTTTTCATCCCCTGTTGCCTCTAATTTCTAAGGCCCTTTAAATAGTTTGATTTACAGAATTTGCAGCCTTCAGAGCTGCTGCAAACAGCAAATCAGCAGCACATTGAAGCCAACTGCTCAATTTCCACAGAAGTCTAATTTCCACCTAGTGTTAAGTGGAAACAGCTCCCTTAACCCAGAGGGGGAAAACTCGCCACAGAACCAGCTAACAATTATGTGTTACCAATTGGGCAGGACTCCTTGCTGTGTCCTCTGCATTTCAAAAACAGGTGGGGGTGGGGCAAATTCGTGTGATTTTTAAACTAGCAGGATTCTAATTAAGGCTATTCTGGTATATTAAAATACTCCGGAAGCCCTTTTCATAAGCTCCCATCTGGTTTAGCATTTTCAAAAATGAAAATGTTGCTCTTGATTTTGAGTTGCCATGTTGATGCAGAGATGGGTTTGAGGGCTGGCTTTTCTTCCGCTACTCCAAAATCACGTGAGGATAGTGTCATCGATTTGTTCGAAAGAGTCAGCTTGGCTAGCCAGTTTCTTCAAAGATCTGCGGCAGCTCTCGTTCAGCAGTTCCAAACTGGCAGTATCTAGGATCTTGGAGATGGCCTGCAGGAAGAACAACAAGGGGAAAGGCACGGGGTGTTGCGACCAACGCTGCTTCAAGGCCCATTAAAACCAAGCACAGGCAAAATCCCCCACACTGCAGTTCCCTTGTTTAGGGGTGAGGGGGAGATTGCAGGAACAGGTTAGGACAAGAGGCTGAGGCGCCAGTACCTGCAGTCCTTCCTCGCCTTCCCTCATTTTCAGCAGGTTCACAATGGCCTGGTCGCTGTAGGCTCTCACGCTGGTGTTCTTATCCTTCGTGTTGTCCAGAAGTGCCTTGAGGATGGGCTTGGCTGTCTGGGGTTCCAAGGGCGGGAGAGGACTTTTATTTGCCCACCAGATCATCTTCTCTGCAACTAATTTGATGTCGCTGGATGGATTCTGAAGACACTGCCGGGAAGAAAGGAAGTGCTTCAGTCCTGATGAAGGGCCAGGAAGTCTAAAGAGCAAGATTTCGGTGACGCGCGCGCCCAGCTGCTGTCTGCGAGCTGCCGAAACAGCGAGTGCAGATTGTCACTGGATGAATGCATGTCGCTGTGCCAAGAAAAAACTTTAGAGCCAAGAACCTGGCACAGAAGAGAGGATGCAACACACCTTTTCTTATGGAAAAGGAGTGGGGGGGGGGGACACCTAGAAACGGAAGCCACTGCTTTAGTTGCACTTCTAAAATAAAATGCCAGGCTGTACCCCTGTCCAGAGAAGGGACGATCAGTAACCCCACAGGTGGAGATGGTCCATTTGCAGCAGAAAGGACAGTGCATGATTAAGGATCAAGAAGAACTGATCCTGTTGTACAGGCAGCAAGGGCTCCACTGTCAGGAATCTTGCAAGCTCAGCACGGCTGGCGCTTGAGGCTGCGCCCACACAGGTCCCCACATCAGGCAGGTCAAATGCTCATACATCTCCTTGGCCACAGAGAGCACCTGTAACCCCTGGACTCCTGCAGTAGCGGCCCATCCCTGGATGCCCTCTCTCCACTAGGGGAATATCTCGGTACCACTGTAGTCCACGAGGAAAGCGCCACCAAGCAGACATGCAACCCCTCAGGACATTGCCTGGTAGTTCTCAGAAAGCATCTTTTCTCGTTGCCCAGTCAATCCACTCCACACAACTGGGAAAGCCCCAGGCTGGGGACTCACCTTGATGAAAAGGTTGGAGAGCTTGGGGGGCAGGTTCCCCCCACTGGCCTCTATGTGGTACTTCATAAGAAAGCCCATTCCTCTGATGCCACTGATAGCAATTGGGATCTGTATGGCAAAAGGAAGCAGCAACGTTACCGCCCAGACTACCTGGAGAAGGCGTTGGCTAGCTTTAGAACCTGGCATTATACCGGAACCGCAGGCGCTCGGCTCCAGTGGCACGGTCCTGATAATGTGGCCGGAGATCTCATTTCTGGCCCAGGGACTTTTGCCTGAAGCTTCAGGAGACGAGCAGCACAAAAGCTCCATTGGTGTTAGTCAACCTGCCATGCTTCATTCACACACGCAGGAATCCCATGCGGAAAATCCATGAGTGAACTCAGGCCCTCTCTCCCTGGGGCAGCTTCAGCATCCCTTTAAGAGGCGGCAGCTGTTGCAGGGGACCCACTGAGCCTCACCTGGGAGGGCTATTCCTGGCAGGCGCACAGGCACTGATCCGACAGTACTCATGCACAACAGAACCACCCTCTCATTTTGAGAGGGGTTAAATGGGGTTAACTGCTCCCTTTGCAGGAGAAACAAAAAAGATCCTGCACATGATGCCAGACTGTCTGTCCCCGTGCAACTGGTAGCAGCTCAGGACTATTCCAAGCTGTGCTTTGCCAGATCTTTCTGGCTAGGGGAAACTGCCTCACTCTGCTAGAAATGGACCTGGCTCCTCCTCACTGGGGAGCTGAAGTACCCAACCCCGCCCCCCCCAACAGATCTGCTGCTCCCTCCTGTGCTGGACCCAAAGCTGCGTCTCCGGCTGGCCCATCTTTGCTGCACATGTGGTGGCCAAAGGGTACGAGTAGCGAGACCTGGGGCCACTCTTCTGGGCCAGCATTGCAGGCACTGGGAGAGAACCACCATGTGGAACAGGATCGTAGGACTGCGCCACTCCTGGACTGGGGAATCTCAGTCCAGGAGTGGGGGGTGGGGGACAGACCAGTCACCCCATGAAAGAAGGAACCCGCTCAGGGAAAAGTATCTGAGACCCTCCCTTATTCTGGCGCAAGCAGCCCTTGAAAGCTGAACCGCAAGAATGTGCTTATTGTTGAATCCAGCTGGGCATCTCCCTGACACGAAGCGTGCCGGGAAGCTATCAGGCAGCCGTCTGCTGCGCACGGGATGTTGGTCCTTACTCGGTCAGCAAGTGTATTGCTGTAGATCATCTCATGAACGCTGTTGCAGTATCTGGGGGCACACACTCTGCTGGGGGCCACGCTGATCGCCACGGAAAGAGCCAGGCTGCGCCCATGCCTCACCATCCAGTCAATGCCGGAGACGTCCGCTGCAGATAACAAGGAGAGAGACCCTGAGCACAGTGCCAGACCGGAAGGGGACCTCCTCAATCCACTGCCCCAACTCGGATCCCAAGAGCAGCGTCACTTGCCCAGCCGCCTCCTCATCTGGATGACAATACATGGAACATTTCTTCCTTGCCTTTTTCCAAAGGACTTTCAAAGTCCTTCAAACATCACCACTGAAAGCTCTCTCAAGGAGTTTTCAACCTTATTCCAGCCGAACTGCTGAACGGAGTATGATTCTGACCCTCGCTGGAGGAAGGATGGCGCTAGAGGGGCAGATGTTCTAGTACCTTGGGGATCATGCCCCTAACTCAGATGGTGCTGGGCCACGAGGCTCTGATTTTTTTATCATCATCCCACCATGGGCCTGTCAGGATGTTTAGATGCCAAGGCCTCACCAAAAATGACAAGGGATGCAGTATTTGTAGCAACATCTGTGACTCACCTTACAGGTAGCTGCTAGATGGTTTCATAAAACATAGACACCTTTCGGTATGGGCAAGATTTGAACACAAATTAAAGGAGCACATAACCTGCTCTTTGTGGAAGACTTTCAAGTCCTCCCCTCCTTTTAACAAAAGCTGACCCAGCAAACAAAGCGTAGCCAAGCAAAAATGCAAAGAAGGTCACTGCATCTGAGTTCAATATGTGTTTGGAAATATTAAAAGAGGGTTGAGGGAAACAAACCCCAGGAAAGCACTTTAGAATTACAATCCTTGAACTTTGCATTTCAGGCTCTGAAGTGAACTTTAAACGTACAAGCCATAGCAAGCATCACCTGCTTTGCCTTTCCTTTTAAAAAATGTAAAAACCCTTCTTGACAAAAAGACCAGAGCACTGAAAGAACTCAGTCCTTGGCACGTTGGCAGATTTTATGCACATGCCCTAATCTCTTGCCTCCCATGGGATATGGAGAAAGCCAGTCTCTGTGTGGTGATAATGAGAGAGAGAATGGCTCAGTTCCTCTCTCCAGAATAAGTCAGATGTGTTCAAAGTATACCTAGCAGATGATTCTGGAGGACATTGCCAAGTTCTTCTTCCGAAAGGAACGCGCACAGCTCTGCCACGCAGCCAGCTGAGGCCACCCGGGTGGCATCCTGAAGGAAAAAGAGCGGACACTTCAGATGATTTCTGGAAAGAGATTTGCTAAACCAGGCGCACTGCAGGGGAAGAACAGAACCTAACGGGGTGTCCTGAGTGCCTTTGAAGAAGGGCAGGGAAAAATTCACAATAAATCAGTATGTGAAACTGAGGCTATCTAATTTCAGGCACCTTGTGAGAAGGCAAGACTCACTGCAGAAGCCAATCATGCCAGGGAAAGGGAAAGGGAAAGGCAGAAGGAAAAAGGGCAAAGAGGAGATAATCAGTTCCCTAAAGGACAGCACGGCCTCGAGCTTGCGAGAGCTGAGCAGGGCTGCCAAGGACTGGCCATTTTGGTGGGCCATTCGGTGGCACGTAAGAGCGATCCAACGAACCTTGCCCTGCCAGCAGAACTTTGGCGAATCCAGGCCAGTGCTAGAGAGGCCCTTCCAAGCGCATCTTTCCCAGCAGAGAACATGTGGGAAAGAGTTTTCTCCCGTGCTGCTCCCAAGCTCTGGGACACTGCGCTTTCTGGGCTTTCAGGAAGGGTCCAGAGTTGCATCTTTTTAGTAATTTCTTCCTTTTACCTTCTGTAACTACTTTTTGGCTGTATTCAGTGGCCTAGCTTTAAGGTTGCGTTCTTGACCACTGTGCATCACAACTGGCTTCTTAGTAAATACAGAGGTACATAAATGTAAATAAAACAGCAGTAAATAGTGGTTCCATCTTACTCAGAGTCAGGCCAGCAGCCCCTCTGGCTCGGTCTCATCTGCACCAGCCTGTGCTCCTCCAAAGGAGCTGGCCTGCAATTCCCGGAAATCTGGGGGGCACCAGCTAGGAAAGGCAGTTCTACATGGACTGCAAAGAACTTGTCAGGGTTCCAGACAGAAATCTCAAGAGATGCTGAGACCAGAGCTGGGGCCCTTTACTGCCAAGGTGCAGCCCTTTCCCTACAGCTCTTCTAACCAGCTGCTCTCCAAGGCCTGAGCTGGAGGCCCTTTCTTAGCCAGGTTAGTAAGCGCCCTTTTCAACTGGCGTCGGCCGGGAATGGTCCCGGGCCACCTGCACAGGAGGTGCCGGCTGCTCCTCTGGGCAGGGGAGTGGCCACCTTTGCCCAGCTTACCTCATCATGCCCCAGCATGCCCAGCAGCACTGTGGTGATGTTCTTCCGGACCGTGGCGTCCACTTTGGCCCCAGCTCCTTGCGTCACGAACCGCAGGGCTTGCAACATCGTGTCCCTGCAAAGCGACACGAAGAAGAGGGAGTCAGAAGTGGAAGAGGATGTGGACCACCGTTAAAGGCAACTGAGGTGATGGCAGCTCTGACCCTGGGATACAACTCTGTGGGAACGTCTGCGGTGCCTGATGGGCTTTGGTGCATTTTGGTGGTGAGGGCAGGGCTGAGGGGAGAGAAGGGATGCTGCTGGAATGTTCCACAGGCACCAGAAGGTCTCAGATCAGCCGGGTGCCGCATCAAGAGGAAACATCCCAAACAAGCCATGAGAGCAGACTGGTTCAGCCGGAGCGCTGAAGCCTTCCCGAAGTCAGGAGCAAAAGAGGCTCGGCCTCCGTCTTTCTGATACCAGCCCACCGGGGGTCACATACCAGACATAGCGCTAACTAGTCTGATTTAGGGGTGTGCCGATGTCACGACAGAAAGGGGATGTTTCTTGCCGTGTGTCACTTTCTGTATCTTCTGGAGGGTGTTTCATGACTCTTGGGGTCACCCACCCATGAGACAAGAGGCAGAGTTCCACTGAGCAGCCTTCCCCAGGGAGCATGGCTACTTCCCCAGGAGGGAAAGAACCTAGGTGCCAACCAAAAATAACAAGGAATGCATCAAAGGAAAGCTCGTAGAGTTCATCTTGGACCATGTTTGGTGGAAGGCAGGCAGGCCAGTCTGGGGAGGACTGCTAGTTCAGGTCCTGCTTGCTGCCCAGCGGGACCGGCTGACCCCAGGGTCATGAAGTGCCCCCCAAGGAACACAAAGCCCCCGAGAGTAAAGGCAGGGCTCCCTGCGTCCGCCACTGAGACATCCTAGCCAAGCAGGGATGGCTGCAGGAACACAATAGCTTTATAGCTATTTTTCCCTAACTTGCTGAGGGCGGGGCAGGCATTCTGGTTCTGGCTGTTTTCCTCAAACGTTTGCCCTTCCGCTTTAACCCTGGATAAGAAAACTAAGCAACCTTACTGCACTTGACTGCCCCAATCCAATTCCGATGCTAAAAGAAAGTCTTTGGGGACAGACCCGGTGCTTCGGAGAGCACAGGATGCCCGCTTTGCTCAGGCAGTGCAGGCAGAACAAACGTGGGAAGGATCCCTTCCTGAGAGAAGTCCATGGAGCCCCTAGAAATCCAGCTTCAAAGTGGCTGGGAAGAGCTGCCCTTCTCAGGCTGTCCTCCTTTCCTGAGTGAGAAGCACAGTCCTCTCCCAGGAGAAAAGAACGCTGGCATTGTCTGCAGCCCCTGCAGCAGCCCTGTCTCCCTCCTGCTCCAGCCAGCCCTGGCCACTTGCCTGATGCCCGAGTCTTCGCTGGTGCGAATGCCGTTCAGCAGCTCAGTGAAGAGCGGGTCAACTTTGGCGTGGATGGCGATGAGCTTCCCAAGAGCATCGGCTGCCTTGAGGCGGACCAGGCGGTTGGGGTCCTGCAGCGCTTTGGTGAAGGTGGTCTGCAGCTGGGGCAGGAACGGCTTCAGGGCAATGCCCACCTGCAAACGTCAGAGAGGAACACCTAGTACTGCCAACATGGCAAGAGTGTACAGCAGCTCATCTAGTCATTCTCTGATTCCAGACGAAGAAGTCCCCAATAGAACTGAGCAAATATTAAAGAAATGTTGGCTTTCAGTGGCCCCTTTTTGAATCCAGAGAACACCAGCAGTACCTGTTTGTTTTGAGCAAGGGTGGGCAACCCTGGGAGAGCCAGGGGCCATTTTACCCCTTGGACAAGACCATTCCTCGCCTCCATGGGTCCTGAGGGAAAAAATGCCACCCGTAGCTGCTGCCAAAACATTCAAAAGTACTTTGTTTGCAAACTAACTTTGCAAACTCTGTAGCCTCTTTGCAGCCTTGTAGCAGCTGCAGATGACACCTCCTTTGGAAAAGCGACCTTTCACTTTTGCGGGGTACCCCCTACCTTCCAGGGTGTGTGGGGAACCATGTTTCCTGCCCTGCTTTAAAGTGCAAGCTGCCAGTTCTCATGCTGTTGGAGGCAAATTTGAGATGCAAAAAATAAAAAATCCCACTTAGAAGGCAATTAAAACAAAATTAGAAAGTGGTGTGTTTCGCAATTCACTGTGCCTATATGAAGATTGTTTCCAGAGCTAGACGGTGCTCCTTGCATTTCAAGGTGCCAATTTGAGACAGAGTATTACTCACTAAGTGGAAATGATTGCCACTGTCATTTGGCATCTGCCACGATGATGAAAACCAGCACACCAAATTATTTGGATGACAAACAACAGAAGCCTAAAACGTACCTGCTGGAAACGCAGTCCTGTGAATAGACACATTTCTATGCTGAATAAGTTACCTATCGTTGCCCTAGAATGATGCTAACATTTCTTTTTATACTGTTTGGGAACTGGAAATCCAAGCAATAGCTTCCACTCTTTTGCTCTCCAACCCAGAAAGAGAAGTTGATATATTCAGGCTATGTGAAGATGAGACAGCTACCGGTCTCTAAGTGTTCAGAAAGACATCTTGCTAAGAAAAAAGGCCTCATATACATCTCAGCAGCAATCAATTAAACAGAGAACAGGCAATGCAATTTAGATGCAATGAGAAACCCTATTATGAGGATGCCGGGAGCATTATGCAAATGACCCCAGTCTCCCTGAGGCTCACATGTTCCCCACTCTCCTTTTGCATGACAGTGAGGAAGTTTGGACTTCCAACTTTCCATTTTGGCCTAACTGCAACTCATTATTGCAAGCTGCCCTGAGACGATGGTAGTAGGCAGCATATAAATGAAATACAAACAGACCAACCAACAAATTTACATAGCTCAAAGGCAGGCAACAGTGTTTTCTCCTAAACAAACCAACTTCAAACCAGGGGTTGTTTCAACACAGCACAGGTATGATTAACTACAGTTCAGAGTGCAATATGATGTGAGGCTGAGGCAGGGAAGAGGTGGAGCGCTACGTCTGAGCACAGCCTGTACCTGGAGCGTGTGGGAGAATGACTGTCTTCAGGAAGGGGACTCGGGCAAGCCCTTTTCTCAAAGTGGATGTCTTTTCCTGGACAGAGAGGAGGCACCCCGTGGCTGGGCTTGCCTGAGTGCAGGGAGAAAAGAAACCCCGGGGCCTTCTTTTCCCTGCCAGTGGGACATGGCACAAATTACTTATTTAACTTGAGGCATGTGGCTTCCTGGTTAGGCTGAACCTGGAAAGGTGCATCGCAGGGAGTGGCTTTAGAACCCCGCATAACCCTACAAGGAGCAATGGCTTCACGGGCTGTCAAAACCACCCGTCATAAAGAGGCTGTCGATATGAGAAGTCATGTGCTTGCAAATCCAGCCTAAGCCTAGATCATTGCAGGGCAATGAACGGGGAGATGAAACTGGTCACCCCGGGTGAGTAAAGCCTCTTCTATAGGTGATCAGGCCAGGAAACAGTATTACAAAAAAACTGGTCCTCTTATAGCCCACAAATAACTGCCTCAACTGTGTTATGGAAAAGAAAGCTTGTAACGTCTCCTGACTCACTTGCAGAGCCCATAGGGGGATACCACCCCTAAATATTTGGAATGTATAGGCCCATAAAGATTAGCAGTACGGAAGAAAGAGGTGTGTCACCTGTAGGCACGACTTCTTAGACAGTTAATCCACATCAACTAATCCCAGCTACAGCAATGCTGCCAATATTTGGAGATGTCTCAGAATTCCAGCCCATCTTACCTTGGCCAGGAGAAGGCTCAATGTTTCGAGCAAAGCCACCTTGACGTTCCAGCTAAACCTGTCGCCCAAGATGCGGATCAGTGGCCCCGTGATGCTCACAACAGAAGGTTTCAGTGCTTCAGAGGAGGTCAGCTTAAGCACAAGCCCCAAAGCCTTCGCAGCCTCTTCTTTTTGTTCGGAGTTGCCTGTCAGGACTCCCTCCCGCAGCACAGGAAGAATGGAAATCACCCCCTGTGCAGAAGGAATCAGAACAGAGCTGTTAAAAGGAAGCTGGCCTGCCCAAATTTCCTTTCTGTGCAAGTCAGCAGGAGAGCAAGCAGCGAGAAGGGCTGCCTGTGGTGCTACCCTTCCTGGGAAAGCTCTCTCCCCTCAAACTGAAAAGCCCTGGCCCAAAGTCAGGCCAGACTAGGGCCGAGGGGAAGCAGGTTCCAATCCCCACTCAGCCCTGAAGCTCACAGGAGAAGCTTGGGGCCAGACATTATCTTTCATCCAACATGCCTCATGGATTGGAAGACAAAACGGAGGAAGAAAAACCACTCTAACCACAAAAGCTCCCCACCATTTTTTAAAAGTCACTCTCGATATTAGACTGAACAAAAAGGGGCAGCTTCACCAGTGTGTTGCTTCTGACACGGTACAGAAATTTCGTCTAATCTGAGAAAGGGATCATGCACATTGTCTGCAGGATATTAGTGGATCCACTGCTGAAAATGAGCTTCCTTTAAGATTCCAAGGGCACGAAAGCCAGCAGCCCTTTGGAGAAGCCTCTTAGCTCAGCCTCTCTTCTCAGGTGGAAGAAAGGCCAGGCAGGCAGACGAGTCTCTTTGGCTGGGAGTTTTCAGCTATTAAGCAAAGACCTCTTTGGTTCCACTGGCTTTTTAGTGCTCTTTGATTTTAGTAGTGTTAGCAATCAGCTGTTTTTTCCACTTGATTTACAACTTAATTGTGAGTTTTAGTGTTTAATTTAAAACCCTAAAGCCATCTTTCAGGGCCAGCACTAAAAAAGCAAATGAATACAGGAAGTGCCCTTCTACAAAGTCCATGGGTCCATCCGCCCCAGTGTTCCTCTCCAGGACCGTAGCTGGGATGCGTTCCTAGCTGTGCCTGGAGATGTTGGGAATCAACTGCAGGGCCTTCTACCTGCTCCATCACAGAGCCAGGGAGCTGAAAACACCCAACTGTGTATGTTCAAAATATGTCTTCTGTAGATCGGGATTAGCAAATTGGGCTTGCATTTTGAAGTGGCTTTTTGCTCTAGCACAGGAATTCCTTTTTGAAGACGTGGCCCTGCCACGAGAGCCTCTGAGAGGCTGCCAGGAACATGCTGGCAGAGCGTGCCTGCCTGGCGGCCCATGGCCACATGTTCTGCTCCAGAGCACACGTGGCACAGGCAGGCGCCGCAGCGATGCGACCGGGCCGCGACCCCTGCACTCACCTTCTTCGGGATGCAGAATCCGGGCACGTGCTCGCCACCGGCGTCGCTCCCCACCATGCGGATGTCCCTGTGCAGATCCTCAATGAGGGCCAGCTGGTTGCCAGCATCCAATTTCTGGGAAGGCAGACGAAACCCACAGTGTGAATGCCCACCTGACAGCTTCCAGAGCCCCCGGGCTCGTCTTGCGGGAGCAAGAGCCCTGGCTTCCTCTGTTAGGACTTCTCCAGCATCCCTCCCCTTGAGATGTGCTGGACTGCACCTCCCAGATGTGGCTGCTGCATCCCCATCACAACCTGAGGTGAGCAGGTTGGAGAAAGATGTTCTAACACGTCTCAGTTCCCTAACAGAAGTTATTATCTGGCAAAACCAATGGGGAAAGAATTCCATGAAGCTGAAAATTTGTCAGAAATCTCTAGGCTAGGCCCAAAGATAAAATTAGGGTTGTCAGCTTCTGAGCAGGTTTTGCATTATGTTTGCAGTCCTCACGGTTTCAAAGCAAATCTGAAGTGCCCTTGTGAAGATATTTGAGAGGTTTCCTGTTTAAGAAGGAAAGACTGAAGTGTGCAAACACACTCTCGCAGCAATGCCACGAGTGAGGAACCCTACATACTGTGGCTACCATGCGCCACATGCATGTCTCATCTTCAGTTCTAGCAGGAAATAACTTGATAAGTGTTATTTTTCTTTTTTAATTTTCAGTATTTAAAACTGAGAAACCATAATAAAATTCCTTTTAAAAAAGGAAATTCTAGACATCGCAAGCAATGTCAATATTTAACCAATCAACTAAAGGTGCAGCCCTGAGCTGCATCTGCTGGGGATGCTGGAAACCAGAGTCTGAGATCCCCTGCAAGGCACCAGGTTGAGAAGGCAATCCAACCACTTAGCCACATGATCCCCTGCAAGTCTCGGCAGAAAAACGGCCAGGAGCTCCTGGCCAGGGCATGATGGGAGCCGGAGGTCTCCTTGTGTGCGAGTTCACAGTGGCTCCTTGGCCCTCCCGCATTTCCCGCTTCATTGAATCACCTCTCCCAGAGCCGGGCCGCTCTCCTTCCCAGAAACAACCCTTGCCAAATCCCACCTTGGTGATGGCATTGAGGGCATCCCAGCTTTCGTTGAGAACCACGGCGTTGGTGTCGTTGAAGAGCCGGATCAGGCCCGAGACGAGGCTGCGCAGGTGGAGAGTGTAGTCCGCCTTGGTCTTGGAGCAGTAGATGTTGAGAATGACGGCCGCGGCCTGCCGCATCCCCACCTCGGGGCTGCGGGTGGCCTCCAGCAGGTCTTCGATGATGATCCTCTGCCCGGCCTCATCTTCCACGGACAGGATGACAACCTGGCAGTTCAGCATCTCCTGGAAAAGTCAGGGCAGGATTCTTGCTCACGGTCCGTTTCAGCTCGAGCTCTGGGAACCACCTTCCCCAGCCAAGTATGTCCCTGGGATCCTGCCCCACAACAAGCAGGCCTTCCACTAACTGCCTAACGCAAGCGAGCCCCTACCTCTTGTGGCACTTGGCCTCTTTTGTCCCAGACGTTTAGGGCAAGAGGGCAGCGGTGGAGTGAGGTGCTCGGCAAACAGGAAAGTGTGCTGGAAAGGGTCTCGGGACGCCCACTTCCCTAGTCCCTGGAAGGTGCAGCTTCTTACCTGCCTGGGGCCTTGCTGGCAAGTGCTCAGAGACATCGGCTGCTCAGCGGCAGCCTGAGAGGCCGCCTCCCCTGTGGGGCAGCGAGGAGGGTGCCCCGAAACAGCGCTCGGTGGAATGCTTCAGGGCCAGGCGAGCGGCTCCCCCAGCCCAGGGGGCTGCCTCCAACCAAGCTGCTACTGAGGGGGGTGATGGGGTGGGATCCCAGCCAGGCAACACAGGGGTGCCTGGCATCTTTGGGCCGCGGGTGCATGTGCTGAGGCTGCTCTGGCACGGAGGGGCTCGCCCATGCAGAGTGGCCACCATGGTGGGTGCGGCACGGCTAGTCTGAGAACTTCCATTTCTCCAGAGGTGACCGAGACGACAGGAAAAGTAACTGGTGCACGAACTTTAGTAGAAGACCGAGGTGGAATCCCAGCACTCTCCTGAACCCAAAGAGAGAGGATGCCAGAGAGCAACCCCTTTAGTTCGCGGCATGGCAGCCATTACTTAAAAATAGGTCAAGCATCTCAAGACAGGGCAGTAAAAATGAGGAGGGCGAGGGAGCCTGGCAGGCATGGAGCACCCAACGGAGTGCCCATGGGCACCACACCGGTGCCCCCAAGCGCCAGGAGCAAGAGCCACACAGTTTGGGTGTTTTGGCTCCACAGGGTTCCCCAGCACTCGGCACTCTGATTAGTGGGTGGAAAGCCACATCCGCACGGGGTGCCCACACCTGCAGCAGTTCATGCCGAGGATCCACTCCCAAGAGCCACCCTGCTGCGGTAGCCCCCCCACGAACCACGGAGAGCCATGACCAGAGCGTCTACCTTGAGCGGTTTCCCCTGAAGCCAGCCTGTCACAAGACTGGCCCCATGGCCTGTCGCTGCTGCAGGCTCAGTGCCAAGGTCTTGCAGCAGTGGAAACAGGGCAGGTGTAGGAAGCACACAGGCTAATTCCACACAACAGGGCCAGCTAGAGTGTGGGTTGGGTGTGGGCAGAATTATGCTGGATTATGGATGCTGCTGCTGTGAGAACCAAGCCATACAAATAGACCACAGTTTGCTAACCATGAATAACTTAGGAGGAAAACCCACCATCCGTTGTTGGGTTGTTCCATGGTTTGTTTGTGTAACCACATTTGCATAATACAACAGCTCATGATTTAATCACCACCTGACTTTTGGGTTCTTGGCTCTAAGCCAACTGTCCTTACCTGCTGCTCTTCACCTGTCCCGAGCTTCTCCTTTAGTGCAGACATCATGGCAGGCAAGATGACACCCAGGTGTCGGGTAAGAGCATCACCAGCCACAGATGAGAGGAAAGCCAGGACTCTGGTATTTACAGGAGGAGAAATAAGCTGGGGAAACACAAAGAGTGACGTATATTATTCAGTTGACATAATCTAGCTCAACAGCATAGATCAGAGGCAGGCAGCATTTGATCTCCAGATGTTCAGGACTTCAACTCCCAGGAGCCCCTGCCAGAACCACCAAGGGGCAGAAATGCTGGCAGAGACGACATCTCGGCATCAGTATCTGTCAATAAAAAGTCACTCCTTAATCCAAACTGTCACTGACAGAAGAGCCGTGCTGGACCAGATGAGACCAAAGACTGCTGAGCCCAGCATGCCGAGGCCTGGCTGAGGGGCTTCCCACAAGCTTCTGGCTGGCCACTGGCCTGTGGGAATCCCCTCAGCAAGGAATAGCATCTTCCTGCTTTCCAAGCAGGGCTTTGTATGCTAGGAAGCAACCGGTCGGGTTCTGCTTTTTTGCCAAATGACAATCCCTACTGCCCTGCTCATCTGAAGGGCCCGCTTACAGTTCGTCATTGGGCTGGGAGGAAAGGGCTGAAGAAAAGGGGACATGGCCCGATGCTGCCTCTCTGGAGATGCCTGACAGAAAGTAGCGGTCTGCCTCAAAGCCACCTTGCCCTTGTGATGTGCGAAGAGGCACCGAGCCAGCGAGAGAGAGGACTCTGTCGAATGCCCAAGGGCTTCAGTAAAGCAGCCGTCAACGCACCTTTGGCACCAGGTAAGGCAACACCACCCGGCTCTTCACAGCCATCACTTGCTTAAGACCATCCAGGGCAAACTCTGATAACTCTTCGTTTTCCTAGAGGAAGAGAGAAACACATACAGAAATAAAGAAAGCTGCCTTGGGCCCATCTTGCACAGTAGGGCAGGCACTGACTGGCAGCAGCTCTGCAGAGTTCCAGGCGAAATGCTTTCCCAGCCCTACATGGGGATGGATGCCAGCTGGGGACTGAACACTCCTGATCTAAGCCCGGCGGGCACCCAGATGCCTCTAGCAGTCAGCAAGCAACCAGCCAGCTGATTCTGGAGGCCCACAAAGCAGGGCACATAGGGGCAGCCTTCCCAGGTTGCAGGTTCTCAAAAAAGGGCACCCAGAGATAGACTATTGCTGCACATGGAAGTTCCAGTTAGCTACTGCAATGAAATAACCTTCAATGGAACCCGTGGGGCTGCCATAAAGTAATTCCTTCCCCCTCAAGCTGCTGCTGCTGGACATTCTCCCGGCCTCTCATCTGGCTGCTACTAATCCAGCCCCGCTGAACCTTCTGCAGCCCCCGCAGAGAAACGATGCAAAGCTGTCCTGCGTTTAGGTCCCCAGGACGTGCCCAGTCCATCAGCCCCTCAGGGAGGCTTACCAGCTGCTTCAGCAAGAAGGGCAGGATGTCCTCAAGAGCCTGGTACCCGATTGTTGAGTGCAGCTGTTCAAACGTTTTGGCTGCCGCTTCTCGGACTTCTTCCAGGGGGTCACACAGCGCTTTCCTCACGGTTGGGACGAGTGACTCGGAGAAACACAGCACCTGAAACGGGACAGAGGTCACTGCAAGGTGGGGCAGCCACCACCTGGCAGCCATGCTGGGTGGAAGGGCCACGGAAGGCTCTCTTAGAACTTGCGGGAAGACTTGCTCATACGTGGTGCGACGCTGAAGGAAGTGTTCATTCAACTGCAGACTGACAGAGGGGCTGTTTCTGCAGGCCGGCATCTGTGCCATCAAATAGTCCCCTTCCCCATTAAGCCCATCGCCAGCTCTCTGCCTCCTCACAACAGAGGGGCGGGCCGGGCACCTATGTCTTTCCCTGCAGAAGCAGCAGGCAGTCTGCCTCTGTGGAGAATGTGGGCAATTGCCTTTTCGTTCAGCCCTAGCTAGGCTACGACTTTCTTTGAAAAAGCCTGGCCCAGCGAGCCTGCCAGAGGGAGGGCAGGAAAGGAAGACCAGAAATCCTTTAGGAAGATGGTGCTGCCCAAGGCCAGGCCCTCATTTACAACAACCCTCTTCCTGCAGAGCTTTGCCAGAGGGTCCCAGCGATTAAGAGGTTCAGGTTCTCCACAACTTTGCAGCCAGCACTGCTGGGGATGGCGACTTACCGCATCCCTGCTGGTGGACTTCATTATCTCACTGAGGCCGATGCAGACGCCTTGCCTCTTGTCGCTCTTCTCAGACCTCAGCCCTTCCTCCAAGATGGGGATGATCTCTGGCAGAATCTTCTCCCCCAGCTTTCGGACCAGGTCCCCTAACGTCCGTGCTGCAATCTGCCACCAAAAGATTTAGGACGGCCGGCCTGAGTGCAGGCAGCAAGATGCTTTCAGAGAAGCCAGCCTTCTGACCCGCAGCTCGCCCTCCCCGCTCCCTGATGCCCCTTCCTGTCTTGCAAAGCATCCCTCTCTCCCAAGGAACTCGACATCGAGGAGAGGAACGTGGAGGTGAGGCGAGGTGCAGGTGGCCAGCGAGGAGGAGACTGGAGTTCCGCTTACGCATGCGCACCGCCTAGATGTGACCTGTTGCGCCCGGCCTTGCCCACAACATTCCCCATGTGCCTGCTCTGGCTTCAGGCCAAGCAGACCTCTGAGAAAATGGTTTCTCTGTGGGCCGGTTTCCCTTATTCCCAGCATGGAGATAGCCAGCTATGAACTCGTTTTCACATCTAATTTTGCTTCTGCATTCAAGGGACGGATCCAAAGTCGGGCTGCGGCTTGGATCCCCTCCCAGAACCAGCCGGCTCCGTGCCTCAAACGCACGTCCGTTTTGTTTGTGGCCCTACAGAAGGAGCACAGAGGTACGGCGGTACCTTGGCCCATGGACTTAATCCGTTCCAGGACTCTGGTCGCGAGCCAAGCTGACTCTGGTTGTGAGCCAAGCTGAATTTCCCCATAAGGGTCAATGTATATAAGGTTAATCAAGTCTGTAAATTTTTTTTTTTAATACAGGAAAGACGGGCACAACTGCGATCGCGCTGTGGGGGGGGAGACAGGCGTGATCACGGCCTTCTCCCCCTGAGCATGACCGTGATCGCGCCTGTCTTTCCTGCAGGAGCATGCCTGCAATCACAGCCATCCCCCCCCCCCGCCGCAGTGCGCCCATGATTGTGCCCATTCCCCCCCCCCCGAGCACGCTCACAATCATCACCCAATGCAGAGTTTGTGATCTGAGGAAAAATTTGTCCTAAATTTCTGTTTGTGACCCAATTTGGTTGTGAACTGAGGCGTTTGTGAGCCAAGATACCACTGCACCTGAGTCCTGAATGGGAGTCCAGTTCCCAAAAAAACATTTCAAAGCCCAAGTACTCAGGAACTCCTTGTTCGTTTAAAGGTGGGCAGGGGGGACAGGCAGCAGAATCTGAGACAACCACAACTGAGTTTTGGCCGGCAGGAGGATGCTGTGAGGGCCCCAGGCTGGGGAAGCGGGGTTCCAGGGGAAGATGTGGGCATGCTAGCCCAGCACTTAACTGTTCTCTTGTCTGCGCAAGTGCTGGCCAAGAACCCCAACAGGAGACCAAAGAGGGTGGGCAAAATCTCACGGAGAGTGCGAGGTGTGTTTGAAACCACAATTTTCCAGACGTGCAGGGATGCCTGGCGGACGGCCAGCTGGGTGTCAGAGCGGCCCATGTACAGCCCGGCCAACACTCGGTTCCTCCGCTCCACTCCAAGCGCATTAATGATTGCCTGGAAAAAAAATAAGACAAAGACATCCATTTAGACTGAGGAAATCACTGGAAAAGCAACTGCTGGGTTTTCCACCGCACGGTCCCCTTTCTAGGGAGCAAAGCGTTCAATGGAAAACTATACTCAGATCTGAGGCCTTATTTTCTTTTCCCATCTCAGGACAAAGAGCGGCTTGGGAAGGAGGAATGTGCACTGCCCATAGTGATGCGCTCCAGATCCAAAGCAGGAGACCCCACGGCTGCTTTTAAAAATTAAGAAATCAAGGCGATCGGAAAGCCCAGCACAGGTTGTTGGCATCCTATCCAACTCGGCCTGGCAGCTCAGTGCCCAGGCACCGGCTCCGGCACAGCAGGCAGGAGGCGAGGCAGGGACAACTCGCCTTGTTGGACTGGGCTGTTCCGAAATTGTCATCCTCGGAGGCGGTCTCTGTTGTCATTTTCCCAGTGACTCCTGAGATATGGAAGAGGAGGTCTCCCAGAAGCTGCACTGAGCTGTACCTGTCAAAGCAACAGAGCAAGCACGAGGTGGGTGATCGGAGGCAGGATCTGTGCTGGAGGGTCCCAAGATCTCCTTTCTTCATCCAGCATCTTGGCAGCTGTCTACCCGTTCTCAGATGCTGCTTGAGTGCAAGCTGGGGCACAGGGTTCCAGGTGTGCTCACGGGGAAAGGCAGCATCTGGAGGGATTTCGTCTCAGTGCGACAACCACAACACGTGAGACGAGCAGAGGCCAACTGTTCCCAAACCGAAAGGAAACCCCTTCTGGCAGCATGCAAGTGAACAGATTACTACTACAGAGAACAAACGTTCTGTGGATTCAATTGCATTGACAGAGAACACGCGATTCCCAGGAAAAGACAATGTGCCGGTTTATTGTGCTGCAGAGCTATCAGCAATCTGCCAAGAGCAGCAACTGAGCTCAGCAGCCTGCCAAGAAAGCCGCCCCGGTTACCTGGAAGGGACTCAGCCAGACCTTTCATGCCACATGCCCATCTGTGGTGGCCAAGCCGGAAGAACAGCCTTGCCAGATCAAACCAAGGCCACCCAAGTCCCGCATTCCTGTCCCCACTGGCAGCCAGCAAGACGGCCAGAGAAGAGGGCTTTCTCCAGACTCTGCAGCTGGGAAGGGCAGGGCCCCTGCCCCTAAAGGCTCCATCCAGCTACACAGGTTTGCAGCTATGGGTAGACCCTCTCTCTCCACGAACCAGTACCATGAGTTTTTAAGACATCCCGGCAGAGAACGTCTGTTCACTTTCCTTGAGCAGTTCTGAGGCAAGCAAAAGAGGTTGTAAACCCAGCCCAGCAAGGCAGGGTGGTTTAATGGTTGGAGGGCTGGGGAGATCCAAGTTCTAGTCCTCACTTGGCCACAGAGCTCGCTGGGCGACTCTCAGCCTATTTTGCTGGAAGGATAAAGTACATACACAAACAGATCCAACCTCCTGACAGGCAACACTCTCAGAAAGATGCAACGTACCGGATTCGCCAAAGGTCGTCGAACAGACCTTGCTCCAGCTGCGGCAGGAGCAGCGCAATGGCCGTCTCTGCATACATGCTGATGATCCTCTGTCCGGCGCGCAGGGCTGTGTCCCGCACAAACTCATTCTCGTCGGCCAGGGCCTAGGTACACGGGCACACAGGACGTTCCCTTCAATGTGCCAGCCTCCTGGTCCACCAAGCCCGACAGTGTCAACCTGGACTGGCAGCAGGGGCTCTCCAGGGAGAATTAGTTCCAGCCCCAGCTGGAGATGCTCACCTGGGCCTTTCTGCCTGCGAAGCAGGTGAGCTGCGGGCCCTCCCCAGAGACAAGCTGCCATCAGGCAGGGGCTTGGCCGCTGGACAGCAATGGGCCGGGAGAGTGAGTGGTGAAAGGTGCACGGTTTTGCAGCTGGCTCACAGGCAGGCAGGCAGGCAGGCAGGCAGGCAGGAGGGGACGTGGCAGCACGGACGCCCCAACTTGTTCTTGCAGAAGGCGCAGCTGCCTGCATTTCTGGACTCCCCTTGGGGCCTGGCCCGGGCACTGCACTTCAAGAGGGATCAGCAACCCGACTGGACTGTGAAGGTCCTCGGTCTGAAGCGTGCCTCTGTCGTGGAGCCACCGGCTGGCCTTGGGGCAGCCCCAGGTTCCCATCGTAAGGGAAGGGCCACAACTGTGCACATGCTCCGCGGGCAGACGGTCTCGGGTTCAAACCCTGGCAGCCGCAGCCGGGGGAAAACACAGACCAGGCAGCAGGTGCGCAGGCCCTCCAGGTCCTACCTTAAGGATGCAAGGTATGATGGGCCCCACGTAAGGGGTGAACTTTTCGCCGAAGGTGATGGGCAGGTAGTTGAACATCATAATATAACCGTCCCGGACGTGGGGCGCTATGTCCACTTTGCTTGCTGTGGCAACGATCTCTGGCATCAGTTTTTCCAGCTTTTCTACTCCCAAACCAGCCATGACTTCCGCGAGGCCTGGAAAAAATCAAAGCGATCGGTAATTTGCATTCATATTTTTGCTGCTGTTCCACCCCCACATCATCATCATCATCATCATCATCACATCTTCCTGCCCTTTTCCTCTTCCAAGGAACCCAGGATGGCATACAAGATTCTCCCCCTCCCCATTTTATCCTCACACCACCCCTGTAATGTAGGTTAGGATGAGAGTTCATGACTCACCCGGAAAGGTTCATGGGGGGGGGGGGACTAGAACCCAGATCCTCCTCCTCCCAGCACAGCACTGGCTCTTACCATCATGTTTAGGGCTGCCGGCATTCCACAAATGCAGGAAAATGGTGAAATGTGGTACTGAGTTCAGAATTCAGTTTCTTGAGCATCTCAATTTTATTTTCAAAAAGAGAAACCAAATTATTGGCTCTTAAGGTGCTTGAATTGCTGGGGCACTATTTGATAAAATCAGAAACCGAAAAAGGGATGGAGAGGAAGATTTAGGGGGTTGAGGGGACTGCAATGGTGAGAGAGCTTCTCCCCACAGCCTGCGGTAGCAGAGTAAGGTGCAGCCCTACACACTTTCGGACAAAAAAAGCCCTACACCTCCCAGCATGTCTTAAGGACACAATCCTTTTAGTCACTCGGAGGACCCCAGCTTCAGAGGATTACAATCATCCTACACAGCAGGGAGAGGCGGCGGAAGCCACTTCTACCTCCCTGTCTGTGTGTCCTGCATTTCCACTTGGCTCATCTGGCCAAAATGTCTCGAGGGGGGAGGGGGTGGCAGGAGACAGGGAGGCCCAAGGACAGCTCACAGACTGTTCCCTCCAGTCTTCCGCCCTCCACCCCCGCAGGGTTGCATCCCTGACTTTGGGGAGGCTGCCAGCCCAGCTATGAAGGGGAGTGGGAGGCTGGTGAATCCACAGATTCCCCGCTCCGAGGGCCAAGTGCTGCCTTCAGCCTTGGATCTGGGAACTGGAAGCATCCTGCTGCCCCCAAAGGCGGCCTGCATTGCATTGAGGATTAAACATTGCACGGTGCCTTATGTAACTGGTGTGCGATTTGGATTATGAATACAGATGTCAGAGTGCAAATTAGTGTTTGAGTCATTTGGGTGCAGAAAGAATTTATTTTTTAGCATGAAGTTTCCACCACCCTGATCTAATACTAGCAATTTACTTAGCACATGAGGTCAAGGCAGATTTTGAAATCATTTAGAATTAGATGCTCTGGCTTAAAAGCAAAACCTCATCTTGAGAAGCTTTAGCAAACAGCAAACAGCAGAGCAGTTTGAAAAGAGAAAACCAGCATGGAGAGACAAACAATCAGATCCAGTACAGAAGTGCTCCCCGTGTTCCGTGCTCATGCGGACAGGCCAATGAGATCCATGGAAACCTGGGTCAGGGTCACTTGCTGTGCTCAAGAGCTCATCCGGGACCCAACACCAGAATCTAACCTTTGGCCAAATGACCCAGATGACAGAACACCACCCCAGGGCTATGCCAACTCCCCCGCTCTTGCCTTGCGCGGCACCGGATCGATCCACCGAACTCTGCTCGTACGTCAGGGTCTCCATCAGCCAAGGCAGCAGGTCCTCAAAGCAAGACTCGCCCATCCCCTTCACCATGGCGCCCAGCGCCTTTGCCGAGACGGTGCGCACCTAAGATTCAAAGGAAAGGGACTATAGGAGCTGAATCAAAGGTGAAAGGGAGAAAGGCTGCTCATGGAGACCCCGCAAGAGAGCGTACCTCAGGCACCGGGTCCAGGAGAGACGTTTTCAGCCCGGGAGTCACACTGGGCAGGTAAGGGGCCAGATCCTGAAACAGGAAGAGATGCAGCAGGTGAGTTAGGAAAAAGCCACGAAGTCTTTTGGCATCTGTGCAGCGGGACTAGAAAGGGTTCCTGCTGAAGACACAGCTGTGTGGCCCTCCAGGAAAGACCCGCTCCCACCAGCAGGTGTAATTTGAACCAGTGGCTTACAGAATTCCTGCTCTCAGAGAACCCTTTCCACATGGGTGTGGTGGCAGATCCCCCCAACCTCCCGCCCCCCCAGCCTGCTGCCCTTTCAGCAGTGCGCCCCAGCTCACAGGGCTCCGCAGCCTCACCAGGGCTCCTCGCCAACGAGGATCAAGTTCAGAGACTTGGAACAGCACCCCAACTGCTAGGGGCTAAGCGCCTGGAACAGCAGCCTGGCGGTGGTGGGCGGCCCTTCCCTTGTCAGCCTTCCCACCGAGGAACCGCGATAAGCTTCCAAAACACCCCAGGAGTTCCTCAGAACCAAGCCTGAAAAACAATTCTCCATTCTCTCTCTCTGATCCAGTTGTGGCCGGACGGGAATGCTGGGAGTTGCAGTCCAAAGGATCTGGAAAGCATCAGCCTGGGGAAGGCTGGTCTATTTCCTTTCCGGCAGAGAAGCACAGTGGGGGCTCAGCACGCAAATACGTCTGGGCCCGCAACTCATGGCCAGTTCCCCAGGGCTTTGACTGGGCCTCTCTGCCCACCCGCTCCAGGGCAAACTGACCCTCCACGCAGCCTACCTTCTGATCTGTCAGCGAGTACATGTTCCCGATGATCTGGGCAGCCATCTTCCGGGTGTCTGTGGAGCGATCCTGGAAAGCCCTCTGCACTATGGGCATGATGAGGGCCAGGGAAGGCGCGTCGATGAAATGGACAAATTTGGTGTCCAGCAGCGTCTGCAGGCACTTCTGGGTCTTCCTGGAGGGATCCGTTAAGGCATCCAGCAGAACCGGTGCAATTGCTGTCACGGTGGGAAACGGAGGAGGACGGGACAGGTTGGTGAGACGGCCCCGCTGGGCTTCGCACAGCCTGAAGCACCTGACCCTGCCTCCTCTTGGAAGATAAGCAGGGTTGGGCCTGGAGGGAATCTGGATGGGGGCCTGGAACGCTATGAACTGCCCAGACAGCTCTGGCTACAGGCAGCACAGAAATGCATGTAACAACAACAATATACTAACTACTGTACGTCACAGAATTCTGTGCAAGACACTATCAGAATCAGGCCAGAAGCACCTTTGCTGGATGAGACCAGAACTCCATCTCCATCTGGCATCCCATTTCCAAAAGAGGCCGGCCAGGTGCCTTTGGGCACTCCCAAGCAGGGGATGTGAACAGCCGCTTCCTGTCTGCCTGCGGCCCTCAGCAAAATACCGCCTCTACACATAAAGATTTCGCTTGGCTGGCAGGACTTGTGAGCACCCACAGCCTTACCCAAGATCTCAGGGTTCCGGATCACAGATCCGATCTGGCGCAGTGCCTGCTGCCCGGCCTTCTGGACCTTCACGTGCGAGTCCGTGAGCACTTCGGTGAGCTTCGGCACGATGTTTGGCAAGCAAGACGACAGCTGCTTAGGGGCACAGTAGGCCATGGCCCCCAAGAGTTCCACCGACCCTAGTGAGAGGGCATTAACCAGAGACTCAGCTGGGCGGGGGCAGAAGTCAGCACATGCAGAAATCTTCTGTGCCTCTTACTCAGAAGAACTCCTGCTGAGTGCAGCGTGACTTATTTTCAAGTATGGATGCAGATGATTGTAGGCTCAGCCAGTTTAGAAAAATGTTTTTTGGGCTGGGGTATGCGGGGGAGAGAAGCAGTTCACAAAACCGGAGCCCTTGCCGAATTATCAGTGGTCTCTTACTGCCAGACAGCCCTCCAAAGGTGCTGAGACAGAAACGCCATTCAGCTGGCTGGGAGTGTTAGCGCTCCCGGTGACCGGTGAGTACGAAGCTCTGAGCTTCTCTAACTGGAACCGCTTCCTGAACTGGATGCAGTGGTCCGCTTTCCTGAGTCAGGGGCCCGTGAGCACAGAGCCACACCGGAGAAGAAAAAACCACTGTGGGGGATTCCTTACCCTAGAACATTCTACGCCTCTCGCATTTTCTGCACAGAAGCAAAATGGAGAAAGCTAATGCTGTGCACTGGTGCATACAAGCAAAGGTTTGTAAACTGCTGCTCACTTGATCTTTGGTAAAGAGTGACCACTTCCAGGCAATCAGACAGAAAATTGGCTTTCTTCTTCTTCTTCTTCTTTCTTTTTTGGGAGGCAGTGTGCAAACAGGCATGAAGCAGGCGGTCTATTTTTCCCCTCGTTTCTTTGTGGGCTAGTGACAAGCTCTTATTGGATTTACTTACAGTGCTGCACAAGGTTTTGGAACTACGTAGAATTGCCTAATGGTCAAAACACAGACTGTACCACTCCCCGCGCGCACATACCCAGCACTGGCTCCGCTGCAGCCATGACCAATTAAAAATATTGCACTTACCAATGAGAACTAGAAGCTTAAATGCATGCATGCAAACATACCCCTAAGAAAGGAAACAGAACCTCTGACTCCAAGTGAGTTTCCAAACACCATGCTATTAAAATGTGAATATCACCCGGCCTGAAACTACCCAGCATGAATGCCAGAAACTGCAGCCTGTGTCCTGAAGACAAATGAGGCAGCTACCATGCGGAAGCTAAGCAGGGTCACATCTGGTCAGTGCTTGGAGGGGAGACCACCAGGGAACCAGATGTGGCCACCTTGAAAACCACAAAGGAAGAAAGGTAGTATAGAAATGTAATAAGCGTTAAAAATTGAACCATCGGAGTCACGGCCCCAGAGCACAGAGGTCTGAGCCAAATTCTTACCAGCTTTGGTCCGCCAAGACTCCTCCTCCAGCGCGGCCAGCAATGACGGCAGCACCAATTTCACGCCGTGGGCACTCAGGTTGCTCATCACGGCCTTGGCACAGTCGTCTGCAGCCTTAAGGAAGGGAAATGCAACATTTGCAGTCAGACTGTGATCAGTCCGTAGGCCTAACCACCACGTGCGGCCCCAGATTTAACTAGAGCCCATGGAGGCGGAGTGCTGTGGGATCCGGAGTGTGCAGGGGGGGGGGGGGGGCAGGAGGCGCTCCCACGGAGCAAAGCCAAGGAACCAAGGTTCCATTTGGGTGCCAGGAAGCACTTCCTGACAGTTAGGACCCCGAGGGTATGGCGTGGGCTTCCACAGGAGGCGGTTGAGGCCCCATCGGTGCAGGTGTTCAAGGATAGGCTGGACGTCCACATGGTGGGCATGTTGTGAGTGGAGCCAGCTGGAGCCGGGGTCAGGCTAGATGGCCCGGGAGACCCCTTCTGACTCGCTCTGTTTCTCTGTTTCTGAGAACTTGCCAACAAGAAAAGGGACACTATTGTATCTGAACTGGGATTCTGGGCTTGCCACACTTGCAAGCAAGCCAGAAGTTTGAAAACAAAGTCCCAGTTCGGAGTGCTTCCCCCCGAGTGTGTGCCTCGTTTTTGAAGCTGCTCCCGCCAGCAGGATGAGCCCAACAGGACCCGGCAGGCAGTGTGCGCAAGCACATCTGCTTCTGGGCGCTAAGCTCTGGAGCCTGGCTCCCCATTTGGGTAGGCAGTGTGCGCAAGCACATCTGCTTCTGGGCGCTAAGCTCTGGAGCCTGGCTCCCCATTTGGGTCACACAGGGTCACCGCCCGGGGGGAACCAGCCGCTTCTTACCTCCCGGACATACTGGTTCCCGTCTCCGAAGCAGAGCAGCAAGTGGGGCAAGACATGCACCACATAGGGCTCGAAGAGCTTCCCAAGCAAGGTGCAGAGCATCTCGAAGGCAAACAAGGCCCCTGCGTGAGACACAGAGAGGCCGTGAGGGCAAACGTCCCCCAGGACGGGCCAAGTGCAGGGCGGGTGTCACAGGCAGGCACTGCGGGCACCAGCCGAGGGCCCACTGCCCCGCGTGGCCCACGGACAAGGGCAGCCCCTTCTTTCCAGGGCCGCAGCCTGCCTCTTGCTCCGGTGGAGGAGAGAGGGGCAGGCGGCGCCACTTTCTGCTTGGTCTCGGCCCCACTGGTCGATGCGAGTGCGACTGCAGTGGCGAGAAAGAAGCAAGAGTGGCTGCTGAGGGTGGCAGGAAGAAGGGCGACACCAGGGGAAGGGCCCACCGAAGGCAGGGCACCCCTGGACCGCAGGCCGGGGCGAAGCGGGCTGCGTACGACAGCCCTGCAGGCAGCCAGGGCCGCGGGAGCAGACATCTACGCACCTTCTCGCCGCCGGAAGTTCTTCTTGTCTTGGATGGCGTCGGTCAGCCTGGCCATCATTTCCTGCTGCTTGAGGGAGAGGATCCCCAGGCCCTTCACCAGGCCGGCGAGCCCGTAGGCAGCTCCTTTCCGCTCGGCATACTTGTCCGACTCCAGCAGCAGCTGCAGCAGCTTCTGTATCATTCCCCCGGCATCCTCTCTTATCGCGGGCACAAGGGGAGGCAGGCAGCTCGCCACCGACTCCTGGACCTGCAGGAACCGACGCGAGCGTGCCGTCAAGCCGGGCCATCCTGAACTTTGGAGAGCGGAAGGATCGCTTCACCTCCCCACTTAAATAAAACACCCTTTCAGTGGGTCATTTTGTAAACTGCCCAGAAAACTTTGGCTCATGGGCAGTATAAAACGAAATGAATATCATTATCACTGTTGTCACCATTATTACTATTTAAAGGAAGAAGTACTTGGTAACTAATGTAATTTAGAGAGCAAAGGTTACACAACAAGGATAAAAGGGCTATCTGGAAACCTGGGACTCCGGGAGGAAAGCAGGATGCAGCGGCACCCCAAGAATGTATATTTTTTCATATATATTTTTATATTCTTTTACAGCATATATTCATTTACAGCAAGGGTAGGAAACCTCTTTCAGCTCCAGAGCCGAATTAAATTTTGGAGGCAATCCAAGGACCATATTCCAGTTTTAGGTAGGGCCAAGTTAGCAAGAATGAGGCTAAAAACACAAACACTACCCGCCTATTTTCATGTAAAGCTCTTTTTACCAGAAGGAGAGGCATTTCAAACTTTCTGAATGGGGAGAAAGACATCACAAAAGCTGGGAAGCCATCAAATGATCAGAGACTGGAAGAAAAAGGATGGGGCTTGGAAAGGGTCTGGATTCAGCCACAAGGCCCGACCATCCCTGCTCCCTGGTTTACATAAAATATGCGTCCTTCACTCCCCAACGGCCTCACTGCCATCAAATGCCTCCATCCGACTCTGAACTCGGTTTCAATCTATTACGCCCCTTCTAGGAAGAGGCACTGTTTCAAGGAAGAAACTGCTGCTCCTGCATTCATCTATCACCAGCGACGTCATAAGGCAAACGCTGTGCTCCAGTTTTCCCGATGCCTTCCAGATGTTTGGGCAAATCCTATCATTCCAGGCCCCTGACCACATGAGGTAGGACTGAGGGGAGATGCAGTCCAGAACATCTGGAGAGCCCAGGGTTAGAGAGAGGTGCTGAACATCCTAATGCCAAACCATACCCCCTAGCAGTTGCGTATTTAATTCATGTGTTTCTCAGGGGACACCAAGTTCCCCAGTGAACTACTGCACTGACTGAACAAGCAAGGGAATCCAGGGGAACCCAAAAGGTAAGGCTTGGCTCAGAGGTTCTTTCCCTGGTGCCTTGAATCCACCCACATACCATCATGGAAGAGATGGCAACTATAATCACACATGACACACGCGCTGGTGACTTCCCGCCTAGACTTCTGTAACGCGCTTTACGTGGGGCTTCCCCTGAAGACAGTCCGAACACTTCAATTGGTGCAAAATAGAGCTGCCAGGTTGCTGACGGGGACGGGGCGTTATGCTCACATGACTCCAGTCCTCCGTCAGCTTCACTGGCTTCCCATTGAAGCCCGGGCCCAATTCAAGGTGTTATGACCTATAAAGCCCTAAACGGCTTAGGTCCTGGCTACCTGAACGAGCGCTTACGTCCGTATATGCCCGACCGCCCTTTGAGATCTGCGGGAGAGTCCCTTCTCTGGGAATCCTCCATGAAAGAAATTAGGAGAGTAAGTACTCAGAGGAGGGCTTTCTCTGCAGTGGCACCCAACCTATGGAATTCACTCCCCAAAGATGTCCGCCTGGCACCGTCGTTACTGGTTTTTCGGCGCCAGGTAAAGACCTTTTTATTTAAACATCATTTGAATTGTTAAAACATATGATCTGGCCAGGGCAACTTCTTCTTCCTTCTCTTTCTCCTCCTATATTTTTATTTACTTAAGTTATACTGATAATTTTAATCTTATATTTGTAAATCAATGTATTTTTTGTATTTTGTATTTAATGGTAATTTATTATGTGCTATTGTATTTCATTGTATTTTATCATGTTGTAAGCCGCCCCGAGGTTTCGGCAAGGGGCGGCATAGAAATGTTATTATAATAATAATAATAATTATTATTATTATTTTGGACATAATTTTGGCAGTGGCGGTTTGGGGTCTCTCTAAAATCCAGCCCTAAGGAAACAAGAAACAAACTGTATTACCCAGAAAGCTATTGGAAAAGGAGATGGAAACGGAGCCAACTCGGTGATTTTGGGCCAGTCACAGACTCTCAGCCCAACCTACCAGATGGTTGTTGTTGTGGGGATAAGGTGGAGAGCAGGAGGAGGAGACTGATGTAAGCCACTTATACTCCAAGTATATGAGAGAAAAGCAGGATATGAACCTAATAAATAAGCCGTTGTTCACATCCCCAAATGTGCCCATGGGTCCAGAAAGGTTGCCCACCTCTGCTCAAACCGTTACAGCATGGTGGACCCGCAACACCTGAAGTAGCTCATGTTATGTAGGGAGGAATAAAGTCAAGGCCACGGGGAGTTCCTGTGCAAACGCCCACATTTCTACTCTGCCACGCTGGAAGAAGCGGAGGGGAAGGGAAAGGGGAAGGGAAAGGGAAAGGGTACCTGCTGGGACGGAGTGGAAAGTGCGGCAATGAGTTTGGCAACGATTGGCTTCACTTTTGGATCGCTCTTGTCCAAATGCTTGGCCAGGGAGCCCATCAGAATGACCACGCTCTGCCTGACAGCATCATAGCTGGCGTCATTGGGCGCGTTCTTCAGGAATTCCTCAAACACCGGCAGCAGGGAGTTGACGCTGTCCTGAAAGACGGAAAGCACACGGAGTCATTATCAACAGGACGTGGACAAGGCTGGGGCTGTAGGGGGAGTGAGAAATGCCGCCTCAGACCCAAAATCACACCGCGCATAGAACAGTCTGCCATTTCGGCGTGCGAGCGAATCGTTTTCAACATGCTTCATCTATATCCTGCCTTTTTTCTTACAAAGGACTCAGAGCAGCTTACATCATTCCCCTCTTCCTGCTCTCCACCTTATGCACACAACAATAACCCTGTGAGGTAGGCTGGGCTGAGAGTCTGTGACTGGCCCACAGTCACGCTACACTCGCTAGCATGGGTGGGCAGCCAGCACACTGCTCGGCCTGCCGCACGAGTCACTCTCCTTAACTGCTTGATCTCTGGAGACGCTACAAAAACCAGAATATTGTATTAATGATCCGAGAACACGAGGCCAGGCCAGCCTTCCCCAGCCTGATGACCCCTTGGTGTGCTGCACCACAACTCCCAGCAGGTGAATGGGGAGCACTTCTGAGGCCGGCCACCTGCTCTGAACACAGATGGCCCCAAGTTTCCTTCTCAACTTTTCCAGGCAGGGCAGAGAAAAACCTAAGAGTGACACCAAGCACCAATCGAGACAAGGGCTGAGCAGCACCGCAGGCTTCGGGGTCCAATTTCACCAGACAACCAAGGGCAGGCAGCTAAATTCGGCCTTTTGAGGACACCGCCATAGCTTGCCACTGTTATCCTTATTTTTATTTTTTTTACTAATGGCAGTAAACCAGCATGAGACTTTTAAGTACGGGACGGCATAGGCAAGTTTTAAATAAATAAATCGGCTAGCAAAGCACCCACAGCTTTGTAGCTATGGTGTCATAGCAACAACTTTAGCAGCAGGGGGCACAATTAAGGGCAGGGCTGCATTCCACCCAGGGCACACAAAACTAAGCAAGGACCACATACACAAATCTTAAGCACGTTCTCCTACCTTGCCGTGGGTATTGAGTGCCGAGAGCGCTGCATCCAGCATGCATTTTCGGACCTCAGGATTACGATCATTAAGGGCGTCTGGCACAAAGAACTCGAAAAGAGGCTTTATCTGCGAACTGTCCAGGTGCTCGGAGAGTTTGTTCAAGGCCAGAGCAATGCCGCATCTGGAAGGATGACATCCTGTTTCACTTTTACGCTTGCACCTTGCCCTATGCTAAGTAAACCCTGGATCGCCCCAGCTGGACGAAGACCGTCCACATGAGGAGGAGGCAAACCTGGCTTCCCACTGATCTGGTGGCGATTCGGAGATGACGCGGCCCAGAGCATCCAGGACAGGAGGCGGCCTCTGTGGGAGAGAAACAGGCAATGCCCCAGTTCACACAAGGTGCTAAGCCACCCTGCAAATGAGCTGCCGTGGCTTTTCCCCCCTCAGCCCTCTGGTATATATCCCAGTGTCCCCTCCACCAGAACTGGTCTTGGCAGCCCTTCCCTGCTTTGTTTTCATACTCGTTTTCATCTTCCACTTTTTTCCCCTTTTTTTTTCAGAGCTCCAACAAGGCACAACTGGAGTCATGAAAGAAATAAAGCAAGAAAGCAAAGAAATCGGCTCCAGAAAATTACACAACTGTGTTGACAATTTTAAATTACTTTTGTTGCTCTTTTGCAAGTATGGCTTACGGCCAACAATGTACGACTAGTCTTGTCATGTTCACGGCCTTGTAAGTTTCAGTTTTACAAGAGAAGCAGAACAGCTATCAGACTGAAAAGGCAAGAAAGCACACAGGCTAACCTGTGACCAGTTGGCAGCGATAAATTGCCCAATTTCCATTTGAAAAATGAAGGGAATAGCAAAAGCAGGTGCACCAGAAAGAAGTGGTGACAGTATCAGCAACGTGATTCTCTGACTTAAGTTCTCAGAGCCATCCACCTTTTCAACATTTCACTGAATGGGGAATATTAATTCTTCCCTCCTTCTCAAGTCTCCTTGCACAAGGTGCAAGCAGTCACTACTCATGAAAAGAGGGTGGTAAAATTTAGTTTTTAGAGTTAATATTTTCCCGCTCCCCGATCATACTCAGGGTGATATACATTTTCCACTTTTTCCCTGAGAGTTTATCTACTCAGGAAAGTACGGAAATGCATCCTATAGCTTTTCTAGGAAAAAGAACTTTTGAGCTAGCTGGCAAAACTCTGGGCCCCCTTTAGAAGGGTGATTGAACAGAGCCATGTCAAACACCTTGACAGCTATCAAAAGAAAGCAAAGGGAAACACCTACTTTGACCTTCTCTGGATCAGCGTCTAGGGTTAATACCTGCTGCACCCAGACAAGACTTCCCTTTTTGAGACTTGTGCAAGTCCTGACCTTAAAAGTAAATCCAACTATTCTTACCAAAATATGCAAATTGTATGTGATTCTTTTTAAAGGGTGGTTGGGCTCTTCAGAGGGGCTGTCACTGCTGTCAAATTGGAGACTGCGAAAGGCCATTTCTACCCACCCCACAAAAATGAGTAAGTTTAAAGGAAAAAAGGCTGTGGCAAGCCAAAAAAATAATTGGCTCCCAATCATGGAGGGCAGAGGAAAACAGTGGTTGTGTGGTAATGTGGCAGTGTCCCCTGGATACCAGTAGAAGGACAAAGAGGCAGATCACCTGTCAGGTGCACTGCCTGATGTTCTGGAATCAACCAACCCTTTGTGGCCCATTATCAAGTTAGTGTGACATACAAGCCCACCCACCGACAACAGGACAAGCCTGAAAAATGGAAAAAGCATCCACACCACCCTACCTCCAATTAGATCCCATTAACCATAAGCCATGAAGATTTAGAGAAACCCCACACACTCCATTCCTCACCACAAAGGGCTTACATAGAGTTTTTCCTGATAAATATCCATGAGTTTTGTCATGACATCCTTTGTTTGGTTTCGATATTGTTCAACGCCCTTGGAAAGCGCCTCAGCACCAGCCTGACGCACAGCTTCCTCATAGTGGATAACATCTTTAATGAGGACTGAACAGATGTCAGGTTGCAACTCCAAACCCATCGACTCCCACAGCCTGTAAGGAAGGAAGTTGGAATGTCATCCTCCAGACACCAAGTACATATTTTCATTTTTATCTCCAGAGGAAGACGGTCTGGGTCTGGTCTGGTCTGGTCTAATTTAGTCTACGCTCAGGGCCTTTTGCACATTTTCCTGTATTGAGGATGCACAGCAGAGCTGCAGAATGTGACACTAGTGAAACAAGTCAACTTCCTCAGAATCTCAGCTTTACTATTATTAGCTTATCAAAAGCAAGTTTCACATTATTAAGGCTGCAAAGACGTGTGTGGAAGTGTCTGGGAAATGCCCAATATGTTTTTTTGTGGAAAGGCGACGAAAGGCGATGCAGCACTAGACTGCAGGCAATCCGGGGCCTAGTCCCCACTCAACTATGAAGTTCACTTTAGGTTCAACTGACTGTAGGCCAGCTCCTGACTCTCAGCCTAACCTCCCTCACAGGGCTGTTGTGAAGATAAAATGGAGAGGAGGGGAATTTTGCAAGAGCCTCTAGCTCAGTGGGCAGGAATGCAGGACACAGCATGCAAAATGCAGGAAGCTACCTTATGAATCAGACCGTTAGCATTTAGCCCAGTGTCACTGATGCAGCCTAGCAGGGCCTCTCCTGGATTTTGTCCCGACACTTTCCCAGTTCTACCTGGAGAAGTCAAGGATTTAAGTCAAGGATTTATTTAAAAGGGCCTCAAACAATCAGGATGGAGAAAGACCCTGCCTGAGACCCCGGAGGAGCTGCTGCTCGTCAAGAATAGGAAATACTGGGCCAGGGAGTTGTGATACCACTAGGACAGGACTTTGGAGCAGAAGTCCAGGGTCCTACTCAGCAAAAGGAGCAGAAAGGACCTTGAATGCAGCAGGGCTGACATCTGCTTTTTCGTGCTTTGCTACAGAACCAAACCAAATTATTCCTTCAAGAGAAATAAAACAAACAGGGTTTTTGGGTAAGATTTAAAAAGACTCATAAACATTACATATATGTTCCAGATCCCGATGCATTACAGTCCACAGCAAAGCCATGCTACTGTTCTTAAAAATAATGATGCACAAATATATGAATATTTAGACAGCTTTTGTCAAGTTTTTTTTTGTCAAGTGTAATTATGCAGAGATTTCTGTGTAATTATGCTGACTTACCATGTTCTGAAGTGAGTCATATGCATGACTTTCTAAAGGAGAGCTTCTGATCCAGAGCCTAAAATTGTTTACCTGCCTCATTAGCTACACGGACAGAAGGTCTTACTCGCTGGAGGCAACACTGCAGGTTCCAACATCTAGATGCGAGCTCATGCCCCAGAGGGGGAAGCTCATTCCTGCAGTGGGAATGAGCCCTCCTTTGGGAGGGCTTCTGGCAGCAACTCTCACCTTTCAGCTAACGTTCGAATGACTTCTTCTCTGTCAAACTTCACCACCCAGAGACGGCGCAAAAGGTTCAACCCATTCTCCTGATCACTATCTGGAGTAGGCAGGACCATCTGCAGCTCCATCAAGCCCTGCAGGTCAAAGTGGAACAAATCAGTACGCCGTCTTTCCTCCCCAGCACACTGTATCGCAAGCAATCATGAACAAGAACACAGAAAAGCTCGAGAACAGCTGAAATGCTCCTTTGCATGGTGGGCAGTTTACATGGGCTGGGGCGGTTTGCACAGTTTCTGTGAGCACATGCTCCTGGCAAGTCTGGGTGCCCCCCTCCCCATCTTTTGGGAAAGCAACTCAAAAGAAGAATCCCGAGATCTTCCGAGGAGGTGTTTCCTCAAATAAAGGCACGATGCAGGTCTTCTCAGGAGCAGCACCTGCCCACTGCAGTGCCTGCTCACAAGTTGCGCAAGGCAGAAAGTGTGCCATGCTTTAAATGTCTCTTGATGACACCTGTTTGCACAGACTTGTGACACTACTCTGTTTTATGACTGCCTCGTGTTTAAGTATTATTGTACTTACAAAGTTTTTTATACTAAGCAGATACTATATTTAGATACTATATTTTATATGCATGTATGCACTGTGAACCGCTTGGAAATTTTAGGACAAAAAGTGGTATATAAGTATACATGAATAATAAACAAACCCATTTTATGGACCTTCTGGGCTGGGTAAAACAGAGGAGAGGCATAGTGGAAAAGTGAGAAGCAATTACTTTAATGAATAAAACTTTGAACCGACTATGCTACCAATTGTTTGGAGGGACATGATGGATCTTGGCCTGGGGACATTAAAAGAGCTGGGATCAGACCCGCACTCAGCCTTAACCTTGGTGGATGAGTTTTAGCAACTCAATCAAGTTCCAAGATGCTGAAAGAGAAGAGCTGCATTCCCAAACCAAGCAGTGTGCATTGGTTGTGCAAAGCAGTTCAGTAACACTGCTGGGGGATTGCTAAATTTTCTGCTGACCTCCAATGTTGCACTAGAAACACAAAGTTCAAAGCCTTCCACACTCTATGAGCTGTGCGTTCTCGCCTTGGTGAAAGTTACTGTGAGCCAAGGCAAGGAAAACATTCCTCAGCTCTGATTAGCTGAATGCAGAAGGGAGGGGATAAAGCAAGGGGAGGATATTTCTTTTAGCTCATAGGTCAAATTCAGTTCAGCTCATGGGGCCCCATTTCAGGTGGTGGGCAAAGGCAACAGAAAAATGGTTGAGGACAAGAAGACATGCATGTTTCAGCTTAAACTCTTATTTGTTAGTAACTAAGCAATAAGAGATGCATTTCGACATTTAGAAAAACTGCCTAAAATTCGGAAACCTTCCTAGAAGGATCAGTAGAAAGGCAAACCAGGAACTTTTGGGGAACCCTGGGGGGATTGTCAACCCAGAGAGGATGGATTTGACCCTTGGGTCCTTGGTTCAGCAACTCTGGAATGAAACACATGTTGCTTTCCTGTTCAGAAGTAGATTTCAGTAGTCCTGCTGCCCCAGTGGAAGCAAGACGGAAACGAGGAGAGAAATTCCCCCACCCCACCCAAGCTGGAAATAGGAAAAGTCCGCCACTAGTAATGGAGAAAAGATTCCAACAGACCCGGAGAGCTGCATCTCGGACATTCATGCAAGGAGACTGGAGGGCCTGGAGCAGCACGTCAATTTCTTCCTGTTCTGCATAGGCACAGCCGCTCTCTCCGCTGCTGCTGGCACACAAGGCTGTCAGTGCTGTGGAAGCCAGCACCTTCAACAAACAGAGAGCTTTCATCAGACCGCAGAGACCTATTGGCACCAGATTCTCAAGCTACAAGTTTAGCCACCACTTTGGCCAAGAAAACAGGTCAAATCCCCCCCATTATTAGGAAAGCAAGTTTACCCTTCCTCTCTCTCTCTCTAGGAACAGAAACAAGCAGCCTATTCCACTGGACCAAGGACATGCAAGTCAATGGACATAAGCTGCATCAAGGGAGGGCAGCCAGCCAAATATGCCCACTCACATATGGCCCTTCCAGCCCTCCAACCTAGAGGGACTCTTCTTATGCATTCGACCAATTTGCATTTAAGCATTTAATTTGCATTTAATTTAAATTAAATTTGCATTTAATTTAAGCATGTCCATACTTAACGTGGACTGAAGGTCTTTGTGTGCAATGCCAGGACCAAGGACCGAGTATTTTTGGTCCACCACTGATTATGTTCTTGCTGAGTTAATTTAAAGAGGTGCTCTCATCAAGTTGGCCACCCGTGTACTAGAAGAGAGACAGGCAGTCTCTGTCATCTTGATGCCACCACTCCCAGAGCAAGCAAATAATCAAATTAAAGTTATAATGGAATAATATTATAATTACAATATAATAATAAAATCAATATATTAGTAACACTTTGCAATGATCTATAATAGAGATAAATAATAGAGGCAAAATAAAGATAAATAATAAAGGGATGGAAGGTTCAAAATTATTCTGAATGTATGCATATTTTAAGATGTATTCCTACCCAGGTTTAGACTTTAAAAAGGCCTACAGCTCCACTGGCTGGGACACGCTGGGAGTTGTAGGCCGTTTTTCTGCTTAAACTTGTCTAAGATGGTGCAATTTATGCCCAATAATTTTCAGAGGGCTAACCAAGTTACTCTATTGCAGTAACAACACCTAAAATTATGGCAGCTTGAAAACTAGCACGCTCATTCTGGCAGAAGCTTCATCGATCGGATCAAGTGGGCTACAGTCTGCAGAATGCTAAGCCAGCCTGAACTTGTCATCTTCAAAATGCCCAGTAAAGCTTAGAAGCAAACGTGTCACTTGCTAGAGTACTTAAGCGGCGGCTGATGCACCCCTGGATGGACCAGGTCCACAATTTGAATTACGCAGTAAGAATATGATCAGAGGAACAAGGCATCACATGCAAAGATCGTTAGTACATGGTTAAGTATGGCTATTCTCTTGCAAACAGGTTGAATGCATATTGAATCCAGCCATAAACAGTCTGATAAACTGCCCAGGGGTTGCTTCTGGACCACCAGCTGCCAGTCATCCATCTCTGTCCAAGAACAGCTCACCTGTAGGCGTGGCGAGCCAGTCCCAATCACTTTAGTCAAGAGCGACAGCATGTCTGTGCGAGGCAGTAACTCAGGACCATTCTGGCAGTTGGATGGAGAACAGGTGAGGGGAGAAGGAAGGGGGAGATGAGCAAAAATTCATCATTAAAATACAAGGAATGCACAGCCACATAAGGAACATTAATTAAAAGTAACACCTGTCGAAGGAGGTGGAATGCTTTGGAAAGGGAAAGAAAGTGCAGAAATAAAAAAGGAGATGGGGAAGACAACACTGAGATACAAAATAAGAGCATCAGAATAGCAAAGGAACATCAATATCCCTCTGCTCTCTTTTAATTTTAGTGTATGTTGTTTAGAGAAGGAGCGGGGAGCTTTGATGGGCAAAATCCTTCGCCAACAGAATGCAGCCTCAAGAGGATCTCCAAATTCTCCAAATTTTGGAAAAGTGCTCAGGGGCTGCACTCTAGTGGTGGCTTGGACCAAAGACAAAAGGAATGAGAAAAAATTACCAACATATTATAACTTAAACCTTTTACTCCCATTAATCAAACCACAGGAGGGGCATTTTAATCACTTAGGTTAAATGCACAAAAACTGTGAATCTATCAAATATTCAATAATTGGGTGAAAGGGGTTAGGGTCAGGGAATGGGGGGGCTAACCCCTTTCGTCTAATGGGCCACACACCTCCATTCCTCTGGCCCTCATCCCTTTCCGTCCAATTATTGAACGTTTCTTAGTTTCAAACAGGACCCAGGAGGGCTGGAGTTTCCCTGCCCTGCCTTAGAGACTGCCCTGGTGTATCTGGGTTTGGAAGAGAGAGATCTTTTAAACCAAGACACACAGGAGCAGAGGGTGTGGAAGAGGGGATAAGGTAAGGACTGTAACTTTTTACATTTAATGTGGGCTTCTGCTGTACACGTTCCCCATTACTAAAAGGGAATGAGTAGGTTAGAGGGGGGAAAACCTTCCCAAGTGAAAACCGTTCTTCACTTTTGGAAGCAAAGTACAGCAAACACTGACCTCATCCAGCAAACACAGGTTGTTGGAGAATGACCTCAGCTGAGCATGCACCGTGATGGTCTGCAGGGCCTTGACCATGAGCTCTTCCTTTTCCTCACTGTCATTAGGAGTCTGAAGCAGCACCATTTTGAGGAGGGGAAAGACTAAGGAAAACGCAGGGGCCGGTAAGGGCGTGGGACCTGCAGTGGGTAGAAAACAAGGGAATATGCCAGCAGATAAAAGGGCATCTGTACAGAACATCAACACGCAAGACATGGCTGGGTCCAGACAACACAATAACAGTCACTCGCCCTTGAAACACAGGATGCCGCCCAAATGCAGGTTGTCGTGTGGTCTGGTCACAGCCATGCTAACCAGCAATGGTTCGTTGACCAAGAACATCTCCAGTTTGCAATCCCACACAAAACACGGGCTTTCTTCCTGGTTAACAAACCACTGTTGGCAAGCATGGTTGAGTCCAGACAGTGCAGTAATCTAGGTTTCAACACCGTTCGTGATTCAGTGACAACTCACACCCACCCTCTACTCAACCACCGAGTCTGAGTTGACGCATTGCCTGCATCCGGTCGGTGGGTAGGCTTTGACCTGTTTGGATGCCGAGCACCCTCCCTTCTGGTGGCAGGCACGGAGAGAGCCAGGGTCTGGAGCAGAGCGAGCTGAGATGCAAGGGGAAAGAGGGCCGTTCCACCAGCCCTGCCTGAAAGACTCCATTTTCCCACGTTCCCTCCCTTTCCCTTGCCCATCATGCGTTTTTGACTGCAGACATGCAGGCAGGAACTTCTTTTACTGATTATGCATAAGCTGTACTTTTGGCTGGGGTGTGGAGCAAAAGTATTCAAATGAATAACGCAATAAATACATAAGCAGAGAGAACTGCTTGGCTTTAAGCAAGTGAATCGTTCTAGAACTGTATCATTTGCTCGGTTAAGATTTATAAGCCCACTCCCAACTAAAAGCTCATAGTGGTGAGCAAGAGAAGAAAAGGAAAACTCAGCACACAGGGCAAAAGCATCTTCCCAGTTCGGTTTCCCGGAAGCCCAAAGAGGCAGAATCAATAGCACTTTCAAATAAAGAACAGAGTTTCCGTGTCAGGCCTGGTGGCAGCCACCAAGAATGCCTCCTTGCTGACCAAGCCTAAGGCATGGATGCTATCCTGGGCCCCCCAAGATGGCTCTTGAGACCTTGACACCCATACAGATGCCCTGAAATGGTTTGAGACTTGAAAACACGTGGAAAGCCAGGCATAGAGCCTCACGTGCATGCATGGAATTAGCCCTTTTTTGACAGGGCCAGTCATGTCGGGAGGGACGGGCGGTGCTTTCCGTCCTCCACTCCTGAACAGGTCATCTAGGGCAGGTTGCAGGACTACTTCCTTGTGTGAACCTCCTTACACCTGACATGGCGGCAAATCAGAGAGATCCGCCCAAGTCCTCTTGCAAGGGCCTGTAAAGCAGGGAACCATCCAAACGTGTGAAGCTGCACTCATCAGTCCTAACTGCTTTGGGTCTCCCCTGCCGGCACTTCGGCTCTCCTTCCTGCCTGCCACCTACCTGGCAATGGAGCACTGACAGACCTTCCTGATCTACACCAGCTCTAGGAAACCTCGGGGTCCCCATCTCCGTTGACTCGAGGCCAGCTCCACCACCTCCCACTCCCGCTGCAAGGTTAAAACCAAACCCATCTGCTATGATCTCTCTTACTTACTTACTTACTTACTTACTTACTTATTTATTTAGGAAATGGATAGGCCATCCATTACTGTTGTCTCTGGGTGGCTTACAATATATTATAAATCCTAAACAAAATAAATTGGCTACACCACGACTTCTCAGCCCCTTCCACTTCCCCATCCAGACCATTCTTTCCTCCCCCAAATCTTGCTCTGCTGTTTTCATCTGACAGCTGTGCAAACCCCACTTTCTCCCCAAGGTCTGAAATAAGCGTCAGAAAAGCTCTCATGGTCCAGGAGCGTGTGAGGCAAAAAAGCAGGCAGGGCTGAAATACCGAACATCTCAACATTCTGAAGCCTGAAGTCCTTACTGCCAATAACTGAGCCATGAAAGGCAGAAGAGACGAGAGTGAAATGATTAAGTGGAGGACTTGGTGGGGGTCCTCACCTGCCTCCCCTTTGCTCTGCCGGCCAGGTACAGTGTGTGCATGCAGCAGGGTAATGACTCGGTTCACAGCAGTGGGCAGGTCCTCCTGGCACCAGGATTCATCCAAGCGGCACTCTGGTTTCATCATCCGCAAAGTCACATGACTTGCTACGATGCCTGGGGGTGGGTGAGAAAGGGAGGAGAACGACAGCCAGTCAAGGGGAATGAACCAATTGGCCAAGGTAATCGCCAGCAAAATAAGTATTATCCACTGATATGGTACCTAAATCTAAAATGCAAAGATGGACAAGGTGAAAAACATTAAGGAACTCACTCAGTCCTTACAAGAACCTTTAAAGTCCAGCCCCTATCTAGACCTAAGGTAGTCCTCAGCACAGTGACTTTTTATCAAAGCAGAAATCCTGTGCATAATACTGGATAATACTTGTGTTATGTACATCTGGTGCTATGACATTTCATAATCTTTTATGTCATGAATAATAACTCAAAAACTCAAACCAACATTAAAGCAGCAACAACAACACCTATGTGCAGGTTATTCTTTCGGGTAAGTAGATTTCAGTGTAAACATGGATGATTAAGGAAGTTTGCCATGATGTTAATTCTGAATTTTTTGGAGGCAGAAAAAGTTGGCTTTGACCAGCAGTTAAAAAGCAGAATGCAAACTGACTTCAATACAGTGGCTTTAAAAGGCTCTTGCAATCAATTCAGGTGGCCAGACATACATTTTGACATAGTTCAGATATCCTGGTGGCAATTCCTAGGTTCTTTAAACCAGGAATTGTGAGGAGAAGCAGAATGTACAAGTTCTGTACTCACTATTTAAATTTTCATTTAACAACACAGGCATACCCACGAAGTGCGTGCCAGAACATTAATTCATAAACAACCCAGAATTCCTGGGGTTACATGTCATGAAAACAACCCAGAAACAAACACTTCTGGTTTGTTAAGTGACAGTTGAAATGAAAGCATGTGGCTCCTGTGCTGCCTTCCCTCACAACAACTCGGTTAAACAACCCCGTTGTTGCCATGAAGTGCAAAGCAGATCGTTTTGTTCATGAAAGAAATGGACACCTGGGTCAATACAATTGTTCTGAGAACTGGAATCATGAGAGGTTTTTTGGGCTCAGATTGAAAGGCTGAACTTTTGATAAAACTGTTTATTAGGGTTCAAGATACTCACCAAATGTCTTCAACCGAGCAGGCATCACACAGGATGCCAAAGACAGAAAAGGGTCCTTAATCCTTGGAGCAGCCAGAGGGGATTTCAGCAGAGGCATGAACGAGTCTACGAGAGCTGGGATGTACTGGGAGAGGCCTGGGGGGTTCCTCTTCAGAATGGCACCCAGAAGACCCAGTTTGGATTCCAGTTCACTGTCAAGCTGTAAGAGACACCACAGTGTTTACTGCTGAAACATAGCCAAGAAAAAAAGCGAAACCTTTGAAACAAAGCAGGCAAATATATGCATCCTCCGTTTTTTTCCCCTGCATTGATATTTTCTGGATGTTAACACAAAAAATGTATTTTCTTCTCTCTTGCTGCAACTCTAGATGAGTTGACTAGATTGTCATTGAGTAGCACCTGGTTGACTGATGCTAACACAGCAGGCCAGATCAGCTGGTTTTGTGCTGTCCAAACCAGAGTATGTTTATTTATTTATTTTTATTTATTTAGAATTTTTGTATGCTGTCCCATTGGCTGAGCCTCGGGATGGCTTACATAAAATAGACATACAAATAGTGCAAATAAAATCCAGATTCACCCTGGCTGCAAATTAAAACCTATAGATGATATTAAAAGTTGTTAAAATATTGTTTAAATAAAAAGGTCTTAACCTGGCGCAGAAAAACAAATAACGACGGTGCCAGGCGGACCTCTCTGGGGAGCGCATTCCATAGGTGGGGCGCCACCACAGAGAAAGCCCTCCTCCGGGTACTTTGCCTCCTAATGTCTTTCACAGAGGGTTCCTGGAGGAAGGCCTCTGCTGCCGATCTCAGGGGGCGGGAGGGCAAATATGGAAGAAGGCGTTCCCTTTAGGTATCCAGGTCCCAAGCCGTTAAGGGCTTTATAGGTAATAACCAACACCTTGAATCGAGCCCGGACTTCAATGGGGAGCCAGTGAAGCCGGTAGAGGACTGGGGTTATGTGAGAATAATGCCCAGTCCCTGTCAGCAATCTAGCTGCTCTATTTTGCACCATCTGAAGTATCCAGACTGTCTTCAAGGGCAGCCCCACGTAGGGCGCGTTACAGAAATCCAACTGGGAAGTAACCAATGCATGTGTCACTGCCGCTAGGCAATCGTCCTCCAGGTAGGGATGCAGCTGAAGGATTAACTGAAGCTGAAGGAAAGAGCTCCTCGCCACCGCGATCACCTGAGCTTCCAGGGACAGCTCTGGGTTGAGGAGCACTCCCAAGCTGTGGACCCTGTCCTTTAGAGGGAGTGCAACCCCATTCAGGGCAAGGTCCTGAATGTTTGAAATGAAGAGAAGTCACCATGAAGAAAACATGCCTGTGTATGTGGCAGATGGCCAGAAAGAGAAGCCCTACTCCTTTTTGTAGGAGGATCTGATCTCTCCCCAGTCCTTTTCTAGGAGTTGCCTCAGGAACCAGGGACAGTGAAATCCTAGTTCATGGGTAGGCAGAAGGCAGATCTCTGGTTGTTTTGGACTGAACTTCCAGAAACTCCCAGCATCATGGCCAGTTCTGGGGCACGAAATGCAGTTCATCCCCTTAATTTCCCCGTTTTCCTCTCCATTCCGTATTCCTTGTGTCCTTTAAAAAACAAGCCTGCATGATGATTTGTTTGACTGATTGTACACTGATCCAGGATGATGTTTTGTCTGAGCAGCAGGTGCAAAATGCACAAATAGCTAAATAGACAACTGCTGGTTGGGTCGCTCTTCCTCCAGGCTGCTGGCTGAAGGTAGGAAGTGAGCAAGGAAGAGACGGCAGCAACAGCCAGGTCCCCAGCAAAGCAGCAGGCACAGAGAAAGAGGAAGGGCCTCAGCAGTGAGCCAAGTTCATTTATTTTTTCAGGTGCCAGAGCACCAGATCCCCCCACCCGACCACCACGGATCTAGTCACTCGCCAAGGCCCGAGCACAGGTGCACATTCCCAAGAAAGAGAACCCAAGGAGGTGCTGCCAGCAGGGCAGGGTTCAGAATTTTAAAGAAGGGTTATGGCGGCCCCCATCCTACGACTTGGCTGCCCTGTCAGTGCAGCGGTTCACGGTGCGCAACACAGTGAGAAAAGAAAGAGGGCAGCATTCATTTGGGGAGGGAAAGAGCTGTGCACTTGCTTGTATGCTCAGAGCACGCACACGTACGCACGCAACAGCAAAGGTGGGAACGTTTCATCCTCAGGCAATGAGCGGCTGGTAATGTCAGGCAGAAAGGAGGAGGGAGGGACCTTGTGAGGCGGCAGCGGCACCGAGTGAAGTGGGTGCACAGGCGCTCTGGTGGGCATATGGGGGTCTTTGTGGGCAATCCACTGCTGATCCCTGACTTGAGAGCAAGATTCAGTCTCAATGAATTCATCCTCGAGCAACGAACAAGGAAATGCTGCTTGCTCAAGGGAATTCCCCAAGTGAACCACCTTCTTGGATGAAAAATAAAGAGTGGCGCCTGCCTGGGAACCCGTCCGCGGCAAGAGCAACTCCCCTCTGCCTCCCAGACTTGGGTGGCCCAGCCCTTGCAGAAGGAAAGTGCTACAGGAAAGAGGGCCCAGGCTTTCCCCCCACACAGATGGGCCCACTGGAATATAAAAGCCTCCAGCCACCAGACACCCCAGCTGTCACATGACCAAGTGTTTTGCTAGCACTGTAAAAAAAGGAACTCAGTCCAAATCATAGCCCCTTTAACTTGCCTCCTGCAGTTGCTTCCTGGTGTAAGATTCCTTCTCCAGCTGGGCATTCAACATCTCCTTTTGTTTACTAGTTAGTTGGATCTCTTCCTTTATTCCCTTCTTCTTCTTAATCTCCTGTAGAAGACAACCATTCCTTCTGTTAAGTGGAGGCCCTTACTACAAAAGGAAGCTGCTTCAGTAATTCAAGGCTTATGAACAAGAGGAAAAAACAGAATGCAAGTTGTGTTTAGAGATGGAGAAGCTGATGACAGCAGGAAGCAGCAGCAACTCTCGGCTTTAGGAGACCTGGTATATTTCAGACAGCTAGGCCTTCTCCTGCCCATCCTTCAACAATAGTGGTGCTTACAGAAACAGAACTCCTGATTAGGATTAACTAGACAATGGAATGCAGGATCTATTAAACATGGATAAGCAAAGACATCAATGAGAGCAGCTAATTAAACACAGCAATGCAAAGACCTTTAATGACACCTGGTGCACTTCCCTGGAACTCAGAGATAAACACTTCTGATTAATGTTCCACCTTCATGCTACTGAACACTTCTACCCTGCTAAAATTGGACAATGATTGCTTTCAGAGCAGTCTGAAAGCAATCATTAGGAAAGAATCTGGCCCCCTACTGCTCTTTAAGTTCCATACTTTTAACAGTTCATTTCTATTTGTGTCAAAAGAAGGGATGTAGCTCTGTGGCAAAGAAGTTCCTGTACATGTTTTATTTAAAACTTTTAGAACTGTCCACTACCAAGTTTTTGGGATGGTTTGACAGTAAAGCAGAATAAAACGAAATAAAACACAGCATCCTAATTAATTTCTAGTGATAAAACACATATTAAAATGACAATCAAACCTTAAAATATCAGGAAAATACAAAGGTTTTAGCCTGGTGACAAAAATAATAAAGTAGACGGTCCCAAGCACATTCCTCAGCATCTCCAATTAGTTCGGAAGCACATGATGTGGCGGACCTCTGCTGCCAGTCAGAGTAAGAAAAACTGAATTAGATGGACTGAATTGGGATACTCACTCTTGACATTTTTCTAAACATTTTCAAAAAATACAATACGCAGAAAGCAATGAAAAACAGTGCAAAAGGACTACAGCATCAGTTCCAGCTACTGTGTTGTGCTAACCTGGCCCTCTGAAACACCCAGTCTTCTTCTTTCCCTCACCTGCATCTTTACCTTCCAGTGAAGTCTTCCTCCAGCTTTCCCTTGTGAGGTACCTCAGGCTGAGAAACCAGGTAAATTCATGAGGAATGAGGCCATCAATAGCTACAAGTCCTCAGGGCTCTGTGCTACCTCCAGGATGAGGCAATGTGCTGCTGGGGAACACGGGCAGGAAGATACTGCTGCACTCCTGCCTGGCTCGTGGGTGTCATACGGGCAGCTAGTTCGAAGATGGACCCTTGCCTAATCCAGCCTGGCTCATCTGAAGTTCTTACAGTGAGTGGCCTGAGCGCAGCTCTCCCCGTAATGCACCGCCACATTGCATTATGCCTGGCCCACCATGCCAACATCCTGCACCCGAGTCCTCACCTCCTTCAGCTCCAGCTCAATGATCTGCTCCTTGAAGGAATAGGCCTTGTTCTCCCTCTTCATATTGGCCTTCTTCAGGCTGTCCTGCTGCGCACTGAGGCGGAAAAAGAGAGGCGTCAGCCCAACACAGTGAATTATTCCAGGCCGCAGCTTTAATGACCTCATACCAAAAATAAAAAACAGGTGGCTGAACTCTATCACATGGGGGGAGGGGGCAACTTGAGGCCCTTCAAATATTTTGGCTGCAAGTCCCATCAGCCCTAGCCAGCATAGCAATGACGACAAAGGCAGGCCAAAACTTCTGGAGGGTCACATATCGCCCACCCCAGTTCTACTGCGAATGGCACAGCAGCGACCTGTCCTGCCACCAGAAGTGTCACTCTCCCATGCTCACCTGTGCAAGATGGATTTGTCATACAGCTCCCCTTCAGGTGTCTTCATGATGGCAAATTCCTCCTGCGTCACCAGGCCCAACGCTGGGTTCTTCAGAGAGGCAGAGATGGCGCCAATCAGCCGAGGGAGGACATGGCCAGGTGACAGGGCAGAGAGCAAGCCTGCTGCATTCAGGGACGACTGCAAAGGGAGGAGGAGGATAGAGAAGGACGAGGGAAGACGGGTGCGTCCCAGCACCATGCAAAGCCCCTCTCAGAGCACTCACGGATGATCCAGGACCAAGAGGAACAGCCGTCAAGCAGGCTGTGTCAAGCCAGGATGCCCATTTTGCAGAACAGAGGCAGCAGCAGGAAATTTTTCTGGCCTCGCTCATCAGCCTTAGGGAAGGAACTAAGCTCCAACCATGGGGCTCTCCCTCTGCAGCTTCTAAGATTCCAGGTGGTGTTGCCCACAGGCCTGGAAGCAGAACTCCCCAGTGGGCAGGGGGGAAAGGCTGGGATTCTCAGGGAGCCCAAATAGGCTCTCAGTGCCTTTCTCACCCTCTCACGGAACTCTGGCAAACACACACCTTTGTCATCGTCATGAACTGAAGGTAATGCAAGGGTGGGGAACCTCTTTCAGTCCGAGGGCCAAATTCCATTCTGGAGAAGCCCTCGGGGGCCGCATTCCAGGGGCCAAAGGCAAAAAGAGTCAGGGCCAAAGAGCAAGCAATACCAGCCTATTGTAAATTTCAGCAACAAGCACACCACCCATCCCTGATCTTGTATGCTGGGGGCGATGGAAGCTGTAGGCCAATGGAGGACATAAGATTGGGGGAGACAGAGGTAACAAAAGGAAGGCACAATCCAGGACTGGTGTGAGCAAAAAAAAGGTCTGGATCTACTGGCAGATCTCTCTCGACAGTGGTTCAGGCGGAATTTCACACTGCCAACTGTTTAATGATAGCAGCAGTAAAACAACTCCTCCCACCCTAAAGTGTAAAACTGAAACAAAGAGAGCCAGGGTTAATGAGGAAAGGATCTTTGTGTGGCAGATCTGGAACTCAAAAGAAAAAAAAATTCCCTGGGAGTGGAATCTGGTTGATGCCTTTTTCATCAAGAAGGAAGGGAATCCTGGCAACCTGATGATGGGTCAAGTCCTGGTCTAAGGTTGCTTAATACTCCCCCAGCCTCCCCTGCTTAGCCAGGGATGGCCCTGGAAATCATTGTCAAGGAGTAAATCGAGTCACCTTAGTCATAGGGCTTTGGGTAATGATTCGGTCACAGATGTTTTCCAGGTATTTGGTGATGAAGTCTACAGGGTCAAGCGTCATCTTGAGCAGGAGGGCTGGCCAGAGGCCAGGCTGCACCGCGACTGAAAGAGGGAGAAGCAGGCGTGACTTACAACAAGGCCCAGCAGAGGCCATCTCGCCACACGTACACCCACCGGCAACCTCCCCCTTCGCTCACCTAGGCAAGGGTGATTGCTAACTAGCAACATTTCCAGGGCAAGCTTTTCCTTCTCTTCCAGATCCCCTTCCAGCCCAGTCATGCAGATCACACACAGCGTTTCCTGAAGGATGCGAGGGGGGATGTGCAGTTTCCCTTGTTCCGACAGTTCCCCTGACTCCGTTTCCAAGGCCTCGGCGGGCAGCACCTAACCAAAACCGTGCATGGAGAGAAGAAGCAATTCAAAACCTTCCAGAATGACACACAAGAGAATCTCACAATCGGGGCTTTTAAAAGTCACCCAGTTCCACTGCCTTGTCACCCGGCATGTTGTTTCATGGCTCCCCCACAATACTCAGACATCCAGTTGCTACCCACAAACCTTGCTAAAATTCTGCATTCTTAAATTCTCCCTTGAAGCTGACAGGTGTTGCTTTTTATTCCAGATCTGACACACCTAGTGGCATTATGGCGGCACAACAGCCTTCAATACTTCGGAAGTCAACTGATTAAGGAAACCTCTGTTGATTGATTTTAGCTAATGACCTGTGCAAGAAACCAATGGCTGGGGGATGCTGGGAGTTGAAGGGCATTTCTGAATTGATATGCATGGAACTGCACTCTCGGCTGCCAGAAATGTATAGCCCAGCCTCCTCTAGACTGGCAGCTTCCAGATGTGTGGGACGTCAACTGCCATCATCCCCACGAAGCATGGCCCCACTCACTAAAGATTACGTCAGCTGTAGCCCAAAATATCTGGAGGATGCCAGTTTAGGAAAGGGCGCACTGGCCCTTACCGAAGAACCATGAAAGCAGTGACCGCGAGGAGTAAGCTACAAAACGGGCTTTGAGAGCTGCAGCACTTGCAAAGGGATTCATGCTTCGACCCTGAAAGGACGAGTGCCCACCATCTCTCACTCACCAGTCTGAGGGTCTTACTAGTCTTGATGCACTTCAACGGGCTGTCTCCTATACACATCAATCCCAAACAGATGCATAGTTGTAGCCACATACACACTTGAAACAGAAATGTGAAAACTTTGTATGCAGCTGCAAAGTGTTATTGTAGATGAACATGAGGGTTCATGCTCTTTTTGTCCCTCATCCCCAAACTTTAGTTTTGTTGTAATTGCAAATTGTGTAAAAAACAAAAACAAAGCATTTACCCTGTGAGAACTGAGAACCACCTTTAGTTCTTCTAAGAGTCCATAAGCTAACTTGAACCCCCTGGGCAAGGACAAGAGCTTTCTCACAGTCTGCTGGGCAAGCCTTCGGACACACCACGAGCGGCTGAGGAGCACTGCGGCCAGGGCCTTTTGATACTGCCTGGAAGTGGGAAAGGATCAACAGGTTGAGGAGGGGCTGAGCAGAGGCCATTCAGCGCCATTTTGGGAGCGTCCACCATCCCCAAGCCTGGCTCAAGAGCTTGCTGATGAGCAAGTGAGACAGTCCAAGCCATACATACTGGACTTTTGCGCTGGGTAGCCGACACTCGTGGTCCAGGAGGAGGTGCTCCGTCAGCTGCAGGACAGTGCACATGGCTGCAGTGGGAAGGGGAGAGACACAAAGACCAGTGGATGTCAGTCTCATTCTTTTCTTCCCAGCTACGATAGTGAGCTTACTGCAGTCCCAGAGGAGCCCGGCCTCACTTTGCTTGAGCTCTCCTCTTTCATAGAAACAAAATGCAAAAGCAACTTCCTAGACTATATGGACGGTGGAAAAGCATGAAGGCGATGAATGGTACCACCTCAAAAAGCAACGTTTTATACAACACAAGCCATAGTTTCAGTGTTTTACTTGTGTTATACTGGCATTTTATTGAAATTACTTTTTGCATACTGCCTTCATATGGAGATAGTGAGGCACAAAAATGTTTTGAAATGAATAAATATTGCAAGAATCCTAAGAAGAGCAGCAGAGAAAGGCAAGGTTCTTCCAAGGCAATTCAGCAATTAATCTACCTTTGACTGGTGCCCTAAGGAAAGGGGAACGTTGGATTAAAACTCCCATCCCTGACTAACAGCCATACCAGCAGGGACTGATGGGAGCTGGAATCCAACAGCTTCCCAATCCCTGCCTGCAGGGGAAGACCTGTACACACAGTCCCCACTGCCTGAGCCAGGAGATAAATTTGACCAAATGCTTTGCAAAACCAGTTAAGCAAGTCTGAGAATAACCCCTTAATGAGCTGTGCAGCCTCACCTTCCTCAGATGCAGACTGCAGGAACTTCTCAGAAGTGAAGATCTGCTTCTTCTCATCCAGAATGAGCTGCCAGAAACTGTTCAGTTTGCTCTCTGAGGATTAAGAGAGTTGGTGTATGAGTTGGTATATGAATGAAAACAAAGCCTGTTTTGCATCTTGGGAATCAAGCCAAGTTTATCAACGGTAATGCCTTCTACCACATCACACACAGACACTCACACACACACTTACTCATCACTCCATACTAACAGATCTGGCGTGACTACCTTCTATTCCATATAAATAGCTATAAACAGAATCTTTAACCACCCCAAGAACTGGTTAAGTTCATCCTTTTACACTCAGAAAGATAAATAAAGGGTTTCTGCAGCCTACCCTAACCCTATTTATCTATTAGATTTATACCCTGCTTTTTTTTTTTCTTTTAAAGAATTCAAAGCGGCTTACATCTTTCTCCTCCTGCTACTCTCCATCTTATTCCCACAGCAAGAACCCTGTGAGGTAGGCTGGGCTGAGAGTCTGCAGCTGGCCCAAAGTCACCCATGTTGGCTCCCTGGCTGAGCGGGGACTCAAACCCGGATTGCCTGAGCCGCAGACCTGCACTCTTCACCACCACACCACGCTGGCTCTCCTTTCCCTCTTTCCAACCACACAGAGAGAAGGGCATGGAGGTTGATGCGTGTTCACAGGTAAATCCATGCTGATCATAGAATTTAGCATCTTGAGAACCAAAGTTTTCATTTTAAAAAGCACATTTCTAGCCCTCCTGAGTGCCAAGATAGACTTGATGCCCATAAAAAGTTCAGAAGCTGAAGGAATCGCTGAATGAAGATTTCTAGTACTCAGTAATCCAGCCTTCCCTGCCCTGTATAACCCTTTGCCCTGTCTGTTTGTGACCAGCAAAATAAATCCAGCAGTTGTGCAGATCTGCCTCACTATCATGAAATACCATGGGATGAAGAGTCAAGCTGTTCCCGTTCTAAGCATTTAGCCTACCCAGTGAAGGGAAATACAGTGCTGTGTTGACAATTCTGAGCGCTGTGACTTTGCCTTTTCTGACAAAAGTTCATCAGGGTTCACTTCTAACTCAACCCCCAGTTGATGGCAAGCCAGGCCACCGTAAACCAAAAGTAGCTCAGGGCCTTCTACAAATGGTTACTGGTACAGGGGAACTGGCATATGCTAACTTGTGGTTGCGTGAAGTGTCCTCAGCGTGGTTAAAAGGATCAGAACAGACTCCTGCAATGACCATGCAAGAAATGCAGCTGTGCAAACCAATCTACTGCTTTTCCAAGTAAAAGCATAATCCAGTAGCAAAACGTCCTTAATTAGGAAGACTACAGCAGTGGGAGGCACAGAGAGAATGTGTAAGAAATGCCTCTGAAGTAGCTGAGTGGCAGAGCACCTGAATTATACCGTATCTGGATGGGAGACCTGAGTCCTGCACTGAGCAGGGGGTGAACCTGATGGCCTTCAACTGTATGAGTCTATTTTTTGTACAAGAAATAAATCCCTACTGATTACTCCTAACAATCCATCCCTAGTCTCAAGGAAACCGACTCTGACTTGCAAATAAGCCACTCCGGTCCTTTCTTAAAAATAAAATAAAAAGACCGCCATCCTCCGGAGTCTTACCTATTTGTGCATCAGCTACTGAGAGTCTGCAAATCAGCAAAGCGGCTGCAACACCTTCTGTTACCAGGGGAACCTGAGTGCTTTGTGCTGCGGCTTTTTCAACTGCCTGGTTCAGCAGGGGAAGCATGTCAGTGCCTTGTAGAAGTAAATTGCCTATGGAAAGGTAAAGAGAACCGCACACAGTAGCACTGTGAATTTGGACTGAAATGTGGCCAGAACCAGAAGGACCCACCTTCAAAGCATCCTGGGGAAAAGCTACATCAGTCCCAAATTTCCTTATAAAAGGAGCGTTTTCATTTCATTCAAATCTGCCCCATAATGGAAGCTCTCGTAGCCCAGCTCTTGCTTCCCACGGTGAGCAACCAAAGAGGCCACCCAGAAGCAGGACACGAAAGCAAGAACCTTCTCCCATGGCTGCTGCTCCTCAGCAACTGAGATTCAGCGGATCATTAGCTGCGAAACCAGGAAACAGCGACGAGTCACAGCGGCAAGCGATACCCTGCTGACTAGGGCTGAGGGGAGATGCAGACCAACAGCATCTTCCCTGCTTCTGGCCTAACTTCCATAACGCCGGAAGAGCCAAGTTGCCTTTTCCCACTTTGGAAGCCTCCAAGGAACAGGGGTATCTCTCACCTTTGAAGGATGCCAACATGCACTGGAGATAAGCATGCCTGACCGCTGAAGTGCAGGTTTTAAGGCTGAAGGCTTTCTTGAACCACTCCATCAACTCCTTGGGTACTTCAGTGGTGAACCGATTACACCAAAGAGCCAGGACAGAGATGGCATGTACTAGAGTGCCTTCATGGACTGAGGGGAGAGGAAACAGGAGTGAGTGAGCAGATCAAAACAATCCATCTGCCACGTGCTCTCGACCGAATGCTCCCCACAACGATAATCATGTTGTTGTAGCTGACAGAGCTAAAGGCCGTCCTTACTAGCCACAAGGACGAAGCAAGAGGCAGTACCCTAAAGCCATTCGATCCTCACAGGATAAGCCTGGGTCAGACTGTTATGGGAGACGGAGAAAAAGGTCTCACTCTCTACTTTCTCCACACCAGGCATTATTTTAATATCTCTATCATGTCTCCCCTTCCTTGCCCTTTTCCTAAAAGCTGAACAGTCCCAGTTGTTGCAGCCACTCATCACAGGGGAGCTGCTCCAGCCCTCTGATCAGTTCTGCTGCCCTTCTCTGTACCTCTTCCAACTCAGTAATGTCCTATTATGAAAAAGAACCAAACATAATATTCCAAATGTGGTCACACCGAGGATTTGTTTAAGGGGAAGTAAGATTTTGGCAGCTCGACTTTCTGTGCTGTTCCTAAATGATGCCTAGCATGGAGCTGGACTTCTTCACAGCCAGCACTGTTATCACGCTGCCCTCCCCAGATCCTTCTTGCCTGGCCGCAAGGTCTGCTGAACGAGGGCGAGATCCCTTCTGCCAAGGCTCTGGCCCGACCACTTGCAGGAAGGTCTGCAAGTCTGGTCAGGGGCTGCTTGTGGTCCAAGGTTGCCAGCCTTGACGTAAGCCCTTGAACGGCTCTTGAATTAATGCTGCGTTGCCAGCAATCTGCTGTTTTTATTACAGGGTGGCTTGTTTTACTGATACCCCCTGGTTAGTGGTTTTCATGGAGTTGTGCTTTTCTCTTAAGCTGCTTCTCGAAAGAAAGGTGGTCCACCTTTGTGTACAGAGGGAAGGCAAAAAGAGAGACAGTGACACACCTTCCTGCTGAAGAAAAGGGATGAAAAGTTCTGTCATGGATTTGCTTAGAGCTTGATTGGAGGCCCCGGAAACTGCATGACGGCTACAACTGCCAATCCCTAGAAGCAACGAGACATTTCAGTTACACTTCTCCTGACATTTAAACAGAACACTAAACCTTTGCCTCTACAGGATCACATCTTCCTACATCAAGGACACTGCTGAATCTTTCTCTGTTTTCTGACTGGTTCTTCAGAAATCTCAAAGTAAGTACCAGTGAGCTTTCTGAAAAATTGTAGATCAGAAAGCATCCAACTATGGAGGGAAATCTAGAACATTTTCTGATGCTCTAAAATCAACAGAAGTCAGATGTCACAACTTTATCTGATTTGTATCTAGTAAACAAAAAAGGCATTTTTTTTCTTATAGTAACTGAATTTTAAAAAAACACGAGTTCTTTAACAGACAAAAATAATTAAGGGCATAAGAAGAGTCCTGATGGATCAGACCAAAGGGCTTATCTAGTCCAGCACTATGGGCACCCAGTGGTGAACCAGCTGCCCATCAAAAGCCCCCAGGAAGGATTGGAAGAGCACCTTCCCACCCATGTTCCCCATCTACCAGTGTCCACAGACATACTGCCTTTGGTACTGGAGGCAGCATATGGCCTTCGGGACCAGCAGTCACTGGCAGGCTTCTCTGCCATATACTGGGGCATACTGGGAGTTGTAGGCCTGTTTTCTTTCTAAACATACCTAGAATTGTGCCATTTGGCTACAATCCTATATCCACTTAATTGGGAATAAGCCTACTAATGGAATTTAGACATAATTGCAATGCAGATTCCAAATTTGACCAGTATTACATCCATTCACATTTTCCTTGCATTGTATTCACCCAATATGTTATATACTTGTTTTAGTAAACAGTATATATAATGTTTATAATGCATTAATAAAACCAGATTTCCCACAGGGATTTTTATATGAATAAGCTGCATGAATAAAAAACAGTGCTTCTGAAAGAGTAGATATAGAGTCATGGTTTCCTGGTCACCCACAAAGGTGTCACAGAAGCACCTCTGAGAAAAGGGCATAGCTTTACATATGAGAAAGAGAAGACAGAAGCAGCTTGTGAGCTCTTGTATTAACACTGAAAAAATATGCTACCCAATTAGTCAGGGGATCATTTTAGTCAAAAGGGTTTTAATTCATTAGTTAAACAAAAGCAAAAATCTTAATATAAGTTTTCAATCCAAAAGCTATGGACTTCTTGCTTGTATTACCTCTGAGCCCAATTCTATACATTTTTAACCAGAAGTTTGTCCTGGTGATCTCTGTGGTACTTATTCTCAGTCAAACATGCACAGAATTAAAGCTCTACTGAGCAATCTGGGAGAGGAGGCATCACTCAGTGGTAGAATTCACAGTCTGCCCAGAGCAGGTCTCCAGATTCAATTTTTGGGATCACCCATATGAAGGTTCATGCCAGGAAAGACCTTGCCTGAAGGACTAGCCTAGCCTAGCCTAGCATATGGAGGATTCCCATGAGCCGAATCCTGTGCACATTTAGTCTGAAGTAGGTCCCCATTGTCCACGGGGGTCTCAGCTGTATTCTCTCGACAGAGAGGGCTAAGACCGTTCTGCAGCAAGTAACCTTCCATTCACATAAAGTGCATTTCTCATCCTCACTGTGATGGACAGCTCTTCAAAGAGAATGAATGCATGTTTTTAAATCAAGGAAGGAGGCAGGAGAAGGTACGGAAAAGATCAGGAATGAACTGAGGGAACAATTGCCAAGGAGGGCAGTGCAGGATTTCCATGATGTTAAGAGACTGTATGGTGGAGGTTTATAGCACCCTCTCCCAAGCTGTCACTGTGTTGGGTTAGAGCGATGGGAGTCATAGTTGGGAAACCAGGTTGGGAAAGGCTGGGTTACAGTACTGGGCAATGACGGGAGATGCCCAGGTTCAAATCCCACCTCAATTATGAAGTGCACCAGGTAATATTCAGCCTGGTGAATATACTTTCTCGGTATAGCTTACCTCATAGGGCTGTTGTGAAAAAAGGCAGAGGGGGACATGTGCCACCCCTTGGTCCCAGGAGGGGGGATACACTATGAATTTAACAATAAGGTATGCATCTTTTTAGTAGATATTCCTTGCATTCTGACAAGCTTTCTCTGGATTCTAAAAATGAGCTAACAAATGAAAGAGAGGATTTCAGAGTCTCTCACCAAACACGTTATGACTTCTGCCGGCAAGCCAATCCACGGCTCTCTTCCAGCACCCTTACCTGAGAGAACACTGATTTTCTGTGCCACAACCGTCAGCTTTCCCTCAGAACCTACCAACAAAAATATCAGGGGAATTGCAAAGTTGCCAGGAACATCAAAAGAAAATTCAATTTGCATATCAGCAGAATCCTGTACATATTTATTCTGAAGTAACCCTCAGACTTCAGTGGGAATTACTCCCAAATAGTGTACTCAAGTGTAAACCAAGTGTTACATGCACAAGCACACATGCATGCACATGGCACACAGGTGTGTGTCTATGTAAGCATGTGTCTTCTCCACAGCAGAACTCACTGTCTGGAAACTTTCTGTTCATGTGGCTCAAGAAACAGAAACTATGGCAAATTTCAAAATTCTACTGAAATTGTATCTGTTTGTTCAGGTTTCCCCTGACTTGCAATTGCACACCTCTGTTTTCTTCACTTATTTATTATTGTATGCAGTTCTTACATAAGGCTTTATACTGGACATCTGTTTTAATGGAAATAAAGCACTTCTCCCTTTGCTGTGGAAGCAAGCAAATCAGAAGTCTTCAATTAAATGAAGGTTCTCAGTTTTGGTTGAAAGTTTCAGAACAAACTAATATATTAAATTAACATTAAACCATGGCTTAATAGCTTGACCTATAAACAGGTTAACTGAAGCTTCCTAGTTTGTGACATGCCTAAGGGTAAGGAAACCTCTTCTCAACACAGCCAACAGCTCGCTGGACGTGTTCTCTTTCCTTCCGCTGCTGTCGGTTGTCCTGTGGCTCCTCAAACACAGCTTAATTCTTACTTAGGTTAATAGTTTTAGGTTATCAACAGAGGGATTTAATCGAGGCTTTCCTGCAAACTCCAGTACTGTTTCAGTATCATCCCACCCATCCACCCTACACAAGCAATCAGAGGTTTGGTGTTCAGCGCATCCTTGGACAGGATGTCCACTTTACTAATTAGGAAAGTAATAAACAGAACCTTGAATTGGATACAATGAGAGAGACAAGAGTGCAAGGAACTGTATAGAGCAGCAAGGATGCAAGCAATGGAAAAATGCAAATAATCGTATACCTGCAGCCCACATGATCCAGACACACCGTGTGCCACAAAAGAAGAGGTCAGGTGCCCATAAAAGAAGAGGGCTGCAGAGCAGAGGTGGCACAGGAGATCAACCAAGTCAGCAGGCAGAAAACCATCGGATGTTGCTCCAAAGGAAGAGCTACCCACCTCCTAAAATGGCGAACAGGTGTCTCCCAAGTGACTCCACCGTTGACGGGTCACTGCACTGCCAAGCCAAGTTCTTTAATGCGATGATGGCCTCGTCCATCAGCTGAGAACTGTTGGATTTCAACTGGCCTAAAAATCAAAGGTGGAAGCTGAGAGCACCAGGGCGACAGGTCAGTGGGAAACTTCTTCTCTGGCAGGCAGAATGGGAAGAGAAGAGACCGCACGCTGCAGCTCATGTGGGAGGGCCCCCGGCTCAGTGGGAGGAAGTCATGCTTTGCTTGCAGAAGGTCCTGAGCTCAAACCGGTGTGGTGTGAGGGAGAGCAAGTGGGGCTGGGGACCTGGGATGGCCGGGTTCTCATCCCCACTCAGCCATGAAGCTCACCGGGGAGCTTTGGGCCAGCTATTCATTCTCAGCCGAACCCACTGCACAGGGCTGTCTGAGGGATGCAACCAGAACTTGTAAGCCACCTTGGGTTCCCCACAAGAGGAAAAACAGCAGGATATAAATGTAATGTAGTAGTAATCATCGACCTGCATCTCCAGGTAAAGCTAGGAAAGCATCTGGCTTGAACCCCTGGACAGCCACCTCCAAGTCATTGCTGATCATATGGAGCTTGCATGGATCCACAGCCTGACTCAGGACAAGGCAATTTACATAATATGGTGATGGCTGCCTGGGTCATCTCTTTGAAAGCAGTGCTGTGAATTCACTGCTCCCCCTCCTAAAAACTGTCTTCGCTGATCGGAATTGTTCCTTGCTAAACTGAGGAAAGCTTAGGTTAGTAATCAAGCCATTAAAGGTGCAATCCTATGCAAACTCAGGCAGTGCTGGCTGGGCATTCTGGGAGCTGTAGGTCATTTTTCCCGGTCTCAACATGCATAGGATTGGGCCTGTTAAAAGGCTGCAGGCCTAGTTTAGCCTGATCCGTCAGAGCAGAATCTAAGGACTCCCTTTCCATGCATGCATTCCGTCTCTCTCTCCCTTTCACACATGTACCAGCTCACAGGACATTGCTCCTAGCAGGATCCTCAGTTCAACATGGGAATCACACCACTAAGCTGCCCTCCTTGTATCCCCAAGCCATACAAATACAAGTGCCTTCCCTGTTTGGAGGGTAGGAAAGCTACCAGCTCCACTAGATCCCCACAAAGGTCAACAATGCTCAAGCTGCCAGCCACAACTTCCTTAAGCAACACCGGCAGAAGTGGGAGGGCTGTGGGCAAGTACTGATAAGTTCTATTTTTTTCTTCATGCTAGATGTCAAACAGCCATTAGACTCCAAGTGTTTGCAAACGTCATTCAACGAGCATGCAGTTATCCTCCTCATGGCCCCCACACAGTCAGAAGGCACAACTCCAAGGGATACAGGGCACTGACGTCATAACAGTGGCTGGAAAGAATTCTCTCTAGTTTGTAAACAATGTGTCCACACACACAGAGGAACTTACTGGCCAGCCCTTTCACTATGTCTAGAGCGTACTGGCTGAGGTCAAGGGTTACAGACGCCAACAGACAGGAAATCGCTGGTGAGAAAAAAGAGAGAAGTGTGTTAAATCCATTCCTTTTCAGACTTACCAGGAACAAAACTGGGACAACCCACAATGGTTGCATTCCACACACATCTGATGTGCAAGGACCAAAATAAAGGAACTGACAGATGCTCAGCCTCCCAGCTCAAAGTGCTGGAGCAGCTGCCCAAAAATGCCACATGACAACACCAGGCCTGGTGGAGGGAGGGGCCTTTCGCTAGTGTAGGTATGTCTGAAGTATCTGGTTTGTGGCAACCTCATGGGTAGGTGCTCATGACTCTCAAAATCCACCTAATTCATAGCCAGGGTCCAAGGAATGTCACAAACCAAATGTCATCCCTCTAAACCAGCCAGAGCCACTGAGATCCCAGAAAGGGCTGCCATGCGGATCTCCACACTGCTGAATCCATTCAAAGCAGCCTTCCTCTGCAGCGTCCCCTTGGGGCCGCCTCCCTCTTACTCCTTCCAATGGCGTTGACCTTCTAACTATTTGCCTTTATGCAGTAATGCAAATCAGCAGGGCTGGCTTCGAAGTACAAATTAAGCGCACCGCAGAATTCAGCAAGAAAACACCAGTTTAGTTAGTGGTAGATAATCTATACATTAAGGAAAGATGGCCTTGTGAAATGAAGTGGAGGGGCCACCCTCCGCTTCCAAAAGCAAAGCATATATTTGCCTGTAAGGCCGTTCCTTTTGTTGCACAGTTGACCGCTTTGACTTTCTGACATTTCTGTGCTAACTTTCCCTTCTCAACTGCCACCTCTCCCTAGGATCAAGTCACGCTTATTCCCCCCTCCTGCTCCTTGTCGGAAGTGCTCTGCTTTCTTGTGGTACCTTGGGCTAATTAACCCTCCGCCACCCCGCTACTTATCTCTAGTTCAACTGTCCTGGGCGTGTTATCTGCGAGGTCCACCCCCACGCCCACCCCCCGGTCAGAATCTGTCCCTCTATCCCCTAAGGTTCTGCTGTAAGTGCAATGGTCCCAATCCCCCTACTACGCACTTTCCTGCGCAAGACACTCACTTTCAATGGCATTCTCAGGGCTCCGCAGCAGGGATTTCTGCAAAGCTGGCAGCACGAGGTCCTTGAACTCAGAATGGGACACGTATCGGAGCAGAGGAGCACAGCTGTCCTGCAAAAAACCACACCAATACTTGAGCGCAAACCATTGTGGGCCTGATCTCCTGAATCAGCAATCAGGATATCTGAAGGAGCGTTTCCTTCCCTACGAGCCCTTGCGCCCCTTAAGATCCGCAGGAGAGGCTCTGCTCCGGGAGCCCTCCCTGAAGGAGGTAAAGAGGGTGTCTCCCCAGAGGAGGGCCTTCTCTGCGGTGGCACCCAGACTATGGAATGTGCTCCCCAGAGAGGTTCGCCTGGCGCCGACTCTATATTCCTTTCGGTGCCAGGTGAAAACCTTGTTATTTACCCACCATTTTAAGAACTAGGAATTTTAATCTGGTTTTTAATAATCCACAGTCACATTTTGTTTTCATTTTTGACTTTGTTTTCATTGGTGAGATGTTACTGTTGGTTTTATGTATGTATGTATGTATGTATTCAGAGTACTTGTATGCCGTCCCATCACATAGCCTCAGGACAGCTTACACAAATAAGAAAAATAAAATAAAACATAATACAAATAAAATCCAGATCCACCCTGGCTGCAGATTAAAACCTATATAGCTGATATTAAAAGTTATTAAAATATTGTTGAAATAAAAAGGTCTTAGCCTGGTGCGGAAAAACAAATAACGACGGCACCAGGCGGAGCTCTCTGGGGAACGCATTCCATAGGCAGGGCGCCACCGCAGAGAAAGCCCTCCTCCGGGTACTTTGCCTCCTAATGTCTTTCACAGAGGGTTCCTGGAGGAGGGCCTCTGCTGCCGATCTCAGGGGGTGGGAGGGCAAATACGGAAGAAGGAAGAATGTATACAAATATGGAAGAAGAATGTATATTCCTCATTGTTGTTCATTGTTGTTTTGATTATGGATTGCTTGTTTTGATTTCTGTAAGCCATCCTGAGACACTTTGCATACAGGATGGGATATAAATAGTTTAAATAAATAAATAAATTTTCTATCAAACAAGCATGTGTTCATTTGTAGCCCAGCCCCTAAGAAAATCTTTGCCCAGATCAGAACATTTAACCAAGTGTTCTTACCAAGAAGGTTCTTTCTGGGTTGGTGTGCAGAGGGGACCCAATAACAGGCTAACTCCTAAAAAAGCAGGGACCTTTAATGGAATTATGTGGTCCTAGATTGCACTCTGCCAGTTCCATCTGCAGCGACAACTCAGTAACAGAATCCAGGAATACGTCCCCCAATATGAAGGGAAATTCATATGGATCACAAAAGAGAAAACTTTCCAGGGAGGACTGATAGGTCAAGTAAAAGGAAATTTGATCCCAAGATGAAGGCCTGACCCAGATGACACGGAGGCAGGCAATTATGATCAGAGACGGTCCAAAGAGAAAAGCAGCATAAATAGAATAATGGGGAACGATTTCCTTGCAGAAAATTGCAGAAGACAGGAGAGCAGCTCCATCTTGTGCAAAAGCAAGGAGAAACCCAGGACCAGCAAACTACAGAAATCCTGCCACAGGGTTCCTGCTTTTCCTGGGCCACAGAAGGAAACAACTCGTTCACAGGGAAGGCTTCCTCACAGTGATCTGGAAAAGAACCTGCCTCCAGGCGAACACAGAATTGCAGAATAGCGGTGTTTGAAGGTTCCGGTAAGGATGTGGGTTCTGATCCCCAGCTCGGTGAAGGACTGCAGCTTAAAGCATCCCTAGGTGACGGCTGCCCAGCTGCATCCTGAATGCCTCCAGGGTGGGAGAGCCCAAATTCCCCTCAGTAATTATACTTATTCTTATTCAGGGCTCTCAAACTCAACTGACCTGGGGGCAGTCTGGGTGAGATTCCACCACCGCGGTGGGAGTGGGCCGCTCATCCCGCGGCCGGCCTGGGCGCCGCCAGCGCTTTGAAGGCCGCAGGGCCCCCCGTGCCCCGCCCAACCCGGCAATTGGCCCGCGGGCCGCAAGTTTGAGACCCCCGTTCTTATTAATTATATTTCTATTACTACCCAATAGCCAATGCTCTCTGTGAGGTTCACAACAGCAGATAAAATACAATGGAATGCAATACAAAATAAATTAATAAAAGCATCATGAAAATTACAACACAGAATTTAAAACCAAGTGTGTAAAAGCTACAAAAGCTTACACAAATTAAGCCACAAGGCGTCTTAAGCAGTTGCCATAATTACTAAAATATAAATGACATTACATGCCCGATCATAGAGGACATTCTTAAGCTGGTCCCGAAATGATATTGAATTTGGCACCAGGCAGGCCTCGTGGGGACGCCTGCTCCATAACTGGGGGTCGCCACTGAAAAGGCCCCGGCCTTGCTGCCACTGACAGAACCCCACTTGGAGATGGCAATCAGAGCAGGCCCCCGATCTTGATCTTAATGGATGGATAGCTTGCAAATGGAAGAGGTGTTCCATCAGGTACTGTGGTCACAAGCCATGCTGTTGGTTTTATTATCATATAAGTCTAACATCAGAAAGCCTCTTTCCTGATGTCCAGCCAGAACCTGGCTTGCTGGAACATGAGCCTATTATTCTGTGTCCTGCACTCTGGGAAGACTGAAAAGAGATCCTGGCCTCCAGAGAAGGAATGCCCTGGGCTGCACGTAATCTGGGTTGGTCAGGCAATGAGTAAACAAACAGCAGCTTCTTTGCGCAGCTCCCAGGCTGCTTAGCAGTCAAAGCTAAATTAGGCAGGCCAGGAACTTTGGGGCTTAGTTGCAGGGCAAGGAATTTCACTCACCAGCAGGTGCTTCTGAGGTTTCATCTTGCTCATCAGGATGGTCTTCATGTAGAAGTCCAGGAGAGCACTCTGCATAAGCAGAACCACTAGTTACAGTCATGCAAAGATGCAGCACCCATCCAGGTCAAAGGACAAAGATTTCCCAAGGCAGGAGTGGGCAAAGGCAGGACTCCAAAGGCGCCGGACCAGCCTCACCAGCTCCAGCCAGAGTGCGCAATGGTCAGAAATGGAGGAAGTGAAAGTCCAAAGCACCTAGATATCTGCTTTCCATTCCAGTACAGCATTGTCTCTGTTTTCACACCCAGTGATACCACAGCGGAGGGTGAACCATGGGTAATGCATGGGGGGGGGGTGGATCAACCATGGTTCATTCCCCCACCCTGGACCCCTTGCAACCATACTGTTTTCCAAAACATAAAATTAAAACAAAATCAAGAATTTCTGGCCCTTGCCCATTAGAAAAACCCAGCCACAATGCACAATGCTGCAGAAACTGAACACGAGAAAAACACACACACACACACACACACACACACACAGAGAGAGCAAGAGAGAGAGAGCAAGAGAGAGAGAGAGAGCGAGCACACGCTATAGCTACAATGGCCAGGCCAGCTGTCTTAGATCCTCTTCACTGATTTCCCCGAGGACGAGCTCGGCCCAGGCCACAGCCAGCCACTGGCAAACCACCCACAGTGTTCCCCAGTGCTCAGCCCCACTTCCCTACTTGCCTTGTATCTGTTAACGATGCCAAGTTCTTTCTGGCTGGTACAGAACTGCACAAGCAGGCCCAGCATGACTGCATAGCCCTGGTTTGCCTCCAGGCCCAGGATGACAGAGAGGTATTGATCCACCAGCCCAGGATTCTGAGGAGAGGGAACAAGCAGCACAACAGGAAACGAGAGTCAGTGGGCCCAAATCAGCCTTCCCCAGCCTGGTGCCTTCCAGGTGTTTGGGACAATTCCAGTCACAGAGACCTTGGAGACTGGTAATCCCACCCTGGGTTCGATGCAGACTCCATACTGCAGGGCAGTTACAGCATTCATGACAAACATTCACTTCTTCATCCAACCTCTTAAATACCTCTAGCAAAGAACCAATCACTATCGAGCTGGGTGAGGGAGGGAGGGGATCAGGACAGAGGAGGCTAGCTTAAATGATCACAGCCTGTGTGATACTGCCAGAAGATGTACTGCACCTCTTTCCACAGCCTGTTCAGTTTCTTCACTGCTCCATCCACCATAGGCTTGCGAGAACCACCCAGAACCTCCAACAGAAGCAAGCACTGAACTTCCACCTGAAAAGGTAGGAGAACTGGTATGAAGGAGCAACTGTCCGCAATGGCAGTCCATGAATGTATTCCATCCTGGTTTGTACATACCCCTTGTCAGCAACGAATTCTTAACCAAGGCTGTAACCAAGAGAAAGAGCAGTGGAGCCAGAAATGCTGGCTGTCTGCTCCAGCCTTCCTGGAGGAGGCACCTTCCAAATATTTTAGACTACAACTTTCATCAGCCCCACCAGCATGGCTGGTGGTCAGGGGTGATGGGAGCTGTATAAAGTAGAATGCCATTGTACTTGCACAAATGTACCCTGGGACTGATGCACACCTAAGCATTCATTAGTCCTAAGAGCATTAGTGCAATTGTGTTTTTACCTCGTGTTGTGAGCTGCCCAGAGGTGCTGTGGCACAACTGGGTGGCATGCAAATGTAATTAATATATACATATATATCCCCTTGCCCCTTACAAGTGTGAAAGCAGCCTGCCAATCTGTGGACTCTCCATGATTCAGGAAAAGCTGGCCTGCAGCAGAATCCCCAGGTCCAATTCATAAAATTCTGACCTCATTTGAACCCACTGCAGATTTCTTCAGCACCCATCCTTTCAGCTGCTGGTTCCCAGTGTGTGAACAACACTGGGCTTATAGTCTCAGCCTCTGACTCCCAGTTGCACAGAAAGTACCTTTTCTGCCAGCAGCTACTTCCTCCAGTCCTGGTGCATAGAAGCAAGAGAGGCTCTGCCCAAGCCCTTCTCACATGCCCCTAAATTCCCAGGCACGGGCCGGGAAACAAGCAAATTTCAGAAAAGGAAAGGCTGCAGTAATGTCTCTACTGCTGTTCACACTGGAAGAGGTTCACTGTGGAGGTGGGGGATATTCAAGGGAATAAAAGCAAGGCTGAAGCTGAATTGAATGAGAGATTGTTTCTCATAGGAGCTAGGATGGCAGCAGGGACAAGGAATTCAACATTTTTCACTTGTGCTATATAGGATTTGAGTTACAGCCCCCAGATCCAGGCATCGCTTGCTAGCAGCAGAATCAGGGTTGCAAGAACAGGTTGGTGAGGTTTGGTTTGGTTTTGCACTCTGCCACGCAAAAGGGGTGTATACATATACGCTACTGGCAGGTGTTCCTAGCATTTAACTGAATGGCCATGGAAGGCGCATTTTTATATATGGCAATAAAAACATCCCTCTTCTCCATAAGATACCACAGGTTGGGAGCAGCAGAATTAAATGGCAGTTAACAAAACTCTGTTCACATAAACTTCAAGAGGGCACTGACTAGGGTGGCCAGGTGACCATTTTCTAGCAGATGGTAGATATTAATATAATGCATTGCTCTTAAGTTTATCCCTTTCAGCTTTTTACTGTTCATTGTTCTACAATCAGTCTAGATATGGCGTGGAATACAAATAATTCACATATATAAGTATTCCTAACAAATATTCCCAACTTCCCACTGTTTAACAGCAGCAAAATAGCTTCTCCCAACCCCTTAAAATCAGGCTGTTAGAATCCCTGATTTATATGAAATTAGATGCAGATTGATAATTATCTATGCCAATCTTCTTCACCTTGGCACTTTCCAAATGATGGACTAACACTTCCAGAATCTGCCAGCCTGGTTAGGAAAGACTATGCAAATCATCCCAGTGAATGATGCATGAGAGATATTTGCCAGCGCCACCCTCTGACTTATGTATATCACTCCAGTTACTGGAACTTGGGGGTCTGGACATCTGCCAACATCTAGCAGTAGAGCTGACATGAGACATGGAAGAGGCCTCCACACCTGCACCAGCACACCTTGTGCCTTCATACTGGTTATGAACCACCCACCCCAGTTTTGAGGCTTTTCACATACTGAGGGCTAGAACGCCAAGCCAGGCAATAATGGTGGCAAGACCAGGAACCTACTAAATCAGAGTCAAACAGCATAACAACCAAGGTCATGGATTCTTACTAGTTTCTCCCACGTTTCCCCTTGTCTCTTGTCATGTGTGGGGAAGACGATGCGAACAAGTAGACAAGTCCAGGACAGGGCCAGCAATGCGGCAGATCCACTGCTTTTACTGACACAGAGAGGGAAAAGAAAGAAATGAGAGGACTGAAAAAATCACGGCATCCTGATCACAAGTCAGGGCCGGACAGATATACCCATTTCTTTTCATGATGACAGTGCTTTTTGCCCCCCTTTTGCTTTTTCATGTGGGGCTGTCGTCTTTTCTTCCTCATACTGCCCCTATCCCAATGACATGACGTCAATGCACATGGAATGTTAATCACTACGTAGGTAATGGTCACCGTACCGCACATGTCCCCTATCACCTCACCCATCTTTCTCCCATTTTTCATAAGAATTCACCCCCCACTATGGCTTGGTATTACATTTAACCACCATCATCAGGCGAAAAGCCTGGTTAGCCATGCTCCTAAAGTAGGGTGACCAGCATGTGGCCTACCCTAACTCACGGCTTGCCATCATCAGTTGCTCTGAAACCTCAGTGAATGTGGCGGAAAGGAAGTGCTCGGGGAGAGGGTGCTCCACACTCTCCATGCACCACGTTTTCCAGTGAAATTGCTGGGATTCCAAAAGCCAATTCCAGGGGCAGTGGGGAACAGGGAGGGGTGCTGCCCTCACAGGTTTCCGACATGGCTAATGACATTCCACAATCCTCTGGAGCTGCCAACTCTGGTTTGTAAGGATCCCCAGTTCAGAACCATTTTAGAGCAGCACGGATCCGAATGAACAAATCCATAGTTTCTGGAAAGGTCAGAGTTCACCCCGAACCCTACAAAAGAGGGTTTGCTGGAATTTGTGGGAGGGAAAGGTCAGGAGAAAGAGAAAGACCAGGTCTCTGACAAAGGTATCCACCCTGAAATACCACCTCAGAAGCAGTGACGTTCAAGAGAAAACTGCACCTTTATTTCTAAAACTTTGCCTTGTCTTTTCTATCAAACTGCACCAGTAGAGAGCGACGAGCCTTCTCACAAGGACAAAGGTTGTATTCAAGGTAAGAATGATAAGCGGACAGCCAACTTTTGTGGGAAGTGCTCCCCCAAAGCGTCACACCTCCGAACTCTGCCCTCACCTGGGTCCACCATACTTGCTGCTGATTCCTGAAGACTGCAGGGACTGCAAGAGGTTCTTCGCAGTTGCTTCTGGCTGGCATTCTGCAAGCTGCTGAAGGGCTGCCTGGAGGGCTCTGCGGGATGCTGCATCTCTGATGACAAGAGAAATGCAAGTGTTTGCAGAAATCATAACCAGTGGCTTATACTTAAGATTTTGATTCCAAGCACATGTTTATCAGCCTAGTTTAGTGATTATCTGCATTTTAGCTGATTAACCTATTACATACAACTGTGTATCATCAAAGCTTAATAGAGGTGCCTTTTGTAAGATAATGATGCAGAAAGTAATTTTACAATTTGATAAGGAAAAGTTACCGCACATTTTTATAAAGCAAAACTATCTTTATTAATTTTCACAGGATAACCATGTTAAGTAAATTGCAGCAAAATTAATTATGAGACTTGTGGCACCTTAAAGACTAACAAGTTTATTAAGGTATAACCTTTCAGGAACTACAATCCACTGTCAGATTTAAATGTCCTATTAAAGGAACACGCTGGAACCAAAGTAGCCTTAAAACATGAACAAGTATCCTCTAACTTGCAGTTTGCTGAATAAAACTGACCTGCCAATTAAACAGTAAAAGTTGCAGATGATTATTCAATCACTTAAAGGTTCAGTGAATACCCCATCCATTGGAACCAGTTTGGAATAAAATAAATTTGCTGCTCTCCCTTGTATGCATATAGAAGAGGGGTCTCCAGTGCAGTCTCCCATGGGCATCCACAAAACCGGTTCTTTTTAAACACTCATTTTATTTTAAATGAATCTGCATAAATCCATAGCAATTAACACATGCGATCCTAAATACTACCTTCTAGCAATTCTGCACAGGGTTCAACAAAAGTGGACCAAATATGTAGCCAGTTCAAGGTGCCACCCATTTACATGCATGCCACTCCCTGAACTTGTGAAAGTGCTGGTTGCTTGGAAAGGACTAGATTTGGACCCCAGGAGGGCTGGATATGGCCTCTAGGGTTGAGATTCCTCAGTCCTACTGTATGGAGGCCACCCGATCTTACCCAAACCAGAGATGTTTAATTTGAATAGGAGGACATTCTCTGACCTCACACTCTTACCTGTATCGGTGCAGCGTGAGGCAGAACAGCTTACAGAGGCCTTTCACTGCACCCTCTGGCAGATCTGAAACAAAGTGACCCCACAGTGTTAGCAGTGAATCAAAAGCGAACTACATGTCAGATTATACACATGATTTAACAATGCATTCATCATTCATGTTTAATGTAATTAGCAGCCCTTGGTGGAGATGGTTATAAGTCATCCCCCCATTCCAGTCCTGATGAAAACTTCCTCCTCTCCCTTTATTACCTGGTACAGGAAAGAAATTTCCAGTGGCCAACCCCTTCAGTACCCAGTGTTTTGTGGCAGAATGCAAATACCTTTTCCAGTGATGGATCTTCCAAGTTCATTGAGGATCTCTCTTCGTTCCTTCACACTGGATGTAGTTACTTTCACTGCAAATCTCTTCAGTACTTCAGAAACCTAAACAACCAACCAAGCAGGGAAAAGGTGGGGCAGAACAATGTCACGTTCAGTCCCTCCAATGTGCAAAAAGCAATCTCTGGATGCAAAATCTCGCAACAGCCCCTTTGAGTGCCTAAGTGCTACCTTGGAGGAGGTATTAATAGCTTAACACCTTTTTTTTCTTTTTTAATGCAATACATGCATGAAATTTTTGAACCATCTTTTAAAATGAAGTTTTCAATCAGACTTGTGAATGCATGCATTTCCACAGGTCAAAAATGGAAAGTTTTGCCTGGGCAATTCCCGTGGGTGGTCTTAAGAATTTCAAACCTGGCAGCTAAAGACACTCCCTCCAATGTGCCATGTGACCACTCTGAAGGGACTGTCACTAGTCATCAAATCAGATGTCAATTTTCATTGCCTAAAAAAATGTATATGGAGGGGAAGAACCCACAAAAAGCACAAAAATAGACACACATTGTTGAAGAGAGGGCAGACAAGACAGGTCCTGCCACGGGGTTCCCTGGGATTCCTGAGGGAGGTCTGAGGGGGAAGGAGTTTAGGAAGACAGCCCACAGAAAGCTAAAGTGTCCCTTGGGCATGTTGTGCATTGTTTCATGAAAAGCCCACCCCACATAGCTTCTTCTCAGGTGGTCTGTCATACTTTGCAAAAATTGCTCTGTTTCACTTGCTTCTAAAACTTACCTTTGGCTTTGTCTGTTCTTTATCTCATCTCTAGCTTTGTCAGTGAAAGGAAAGTTAACACCATGTCTAAATAATAAGAAAAACACCTCCCATTTCATAGTATTGCTGTGTGTCCCAACCTCACCCACTCGACCTCTCTCTTCCTAGTAGACAGGGCGACAACCACTGCAAGTCCAGTGAGCCAAGGAGGTTCTATATCCAAGAACAAATATCAAAATGGCAGTTGGAGATTGAGAGAAAGGGTGAGAGGACTGGAGCATGGAGTTAAAAGTGTGTGGCACTGGGGTACAAGCACAAGAGTCGGTGAACTCATCTGGAGAGGGCATGCACAAGAACAACAGAGCTCCAAGAAATTCAGGGGGTAGGGAGAATGACAGAAGTCTCCCATACTAGAAACATTGCACAAACTGTTACTCACAAAGGAAGAGTGCCCACTTAGAAGAGAGTCACAGAAACAAGAAGAAAACAAGGTGAGGAGGCTAATCAACCATGCTGAGAACAGGTAAGACTACAGAGTTATGGTCATTCACTTTGCTGGCAATTTATATGAGATCAGTTTCAGTGGAATACAGAAAGTGTATTAACTTCTATAGGAATATATATGTTCATGGCACTTTAGAAGATCTACCTGTAACTCTTCACCTGGCAGCAAACTCCATAAAAGTCTCATTCATTATGTGAAGTATTTTCTTTTAACTGCATTGAATCTACTGCCCATTCCTTCTACCAAGATTACCAAGTGGGTGCTCCAAGTTCTAGGCCATAAGAGGAGGGGGAAAACATCTATCACACTTTCTCTACAATGCACATAATTTTTATAAACTGATGCGATCTTTTCTGAATGAAGATAACCAGAATGTACAAACTCAACTGCATCTTTCAACTTCCTCTGCAGGCACTCAGGAACAAAAGCACAAGAGCACACACATTGACTGTGTAAAGGCAACTCTCAAAAAAGTGAAGTAGGGAAAGTTGGTGGGATAGAGAGGCAACCCAAATTGGGAGTAGGCTGGATTCCCAGGTGGGAACTGTAGAAGCTAACGAACAAGCAGAAGTAAAAGATAAGAGATGGCAACACACTGGAAGTAAAACTCTCTGGAAGCAGCAGAAGAAATGAGAAACAGAGAGGTTTGAGGAGAAGCAGAAACTGTACAGTGCTGAAAGAATCAATGTAATGGCCATACAGAGAGAATTCCACAGTAAAGGAATCAGATGAAACTCAGTTGTACAGAATGACAAGTTTAATAGGAGCCACAGTAGCAATAGATAGCAAATACTACCTATTGATATTTTCATAGCACTGCTTTTTAATTTAATCAATTTCCCCCCTTCTAATATAAGACAGGCAGGGAAAGTACCATGGGCTCCCCCACTCACAATGTTACTAGGTAGGTTAAGCTGAACAATCCTGTGGGATACTGCAAACAGGGTATGAGTGCAACAGCATTCTCTTGAAACTTGTACAGTCACAACTGAGTTTTCCGTATCTTCAGTGAACTATAATCTCGGCAGTTTTATTTTCGATTCTTTTCCTAATTATGCCTAACATGGAGTTTGCCTTTTTCACAATAGCTGTGCACTCAGGCAACATTTTCATCAAGCTCTCTACCACAACCACAAGATCTTAAGTTCGCTTGGCTGCTACCTATAATGAAAAAGCAAAATAAATGAAGGACCCCCTTAAACGGGTGCTCCTTCTAAAAAGTAGTTCTTTAAAATAAACTGAGATGGCGGAGGAGAGGGGAAGGGCCACAGGCTAGAACATCGGCTGCTAAGTCTGGGAAACTACGCCTGTCTGAAACACAGAAGAGCCACTGCCAGTCAACCCGGTGCCTTCAAACTACCGTTTTGAAACACGTGCTGAACTACAAGGGCCAGTACTGACTGTGGGTGATGGGGCTTGTAGTTCGACGCCTCTGAAGGGCAGTGGGTCGGGAAAGGCCTGGTGAGGTGGGCCGCACTGAGGCGAATGCATCCGTGACCCGGGGCACTCCAAGACAGCTCCCCGCAATGCTTCGCGGCTCCAGAGAGGCCTCTTTCCGTGCCTGCTCGGAGGGAGCCGGGAAACGAGCGCGCCAGGCTCCAACCTCAGCCCGACCCGGCCATGGAGCTCCGCATGGAGACCCTCGCCCGCCTCTCGCGAGCCGCACCTTCCCTGCCCCCCACCTCAAGCGGCACCCACCTGCGTGTCAGCCGCCATAGCACCGGCCCCGACCCGGAAACAGCCTTGCATTACTTCCGGGTGCGCTTGGCGCAGTCCGGTGGCGTCACGGGGCTTCGGTGAGGGGGTCGGCTGAAGCGAATGCAAAAGGCGCATGCGCTGCTCATATTTCCTTTTGGCGGTTGTTGAGCTACTGCCAGGCCTGGCCTGGCCAACCCCGGAACAGCCCCTTACTAATCTCCTCCGCCTCCTGCTCACTAATCGTGGCACGTTGAGATATTTTGTTTAGCCGTATGTGGAATCATAACCATGGTTCACCTCCTCCTCACAGCAACCCTGTGGGGTAGGTCTGTGACCGGCTCAAAGTCGCCACCTGAGCTGCAGGGCTTTCAGAGTCCTGATCCAACACTATGCTACAGTGGATCATGTAAATACACATACTAATATACACCTGTCTATTCATGCAAATTTAGAATTTATTTAAATAGAAACATATTATGCACACTCATTTTAGAAATGCCTTTTTCTTCCTGAAAGGAACCTAAGGCATTATTTCCCTCTTCATTGATTCTGACAACTCCTCAAGTTATTTAAAACTTTTGTATACCGTCCCCATCACAGATCTCTTGGGACGGTTCACAACAAAATAGAAAAACAGAAGAGTAGCTCAGCATCCAGTATTGGGTATAAAACCACAGATTAAAACAAATTAGCAATTAAAATAGTGGGAGAATAAAAAGGTTTTCACCTGGAGCCGAAAGAAGTTTAGGGGCCAGGCGGCCCTCACTGGGGAGCATGTTTCAGTCTGGGCGCCACAGCAGAGAAGGCCCTCTTCCAGGTAGCCACCCTCCTAATATCTTTCAGGGACGGCTCCTGGAGGACCTCTCAGATCTCAAGGGGCAGGAGGGAACATAGGGATTATGCGAGTCTGTGGGACAGCATTTTGTTTCCCATTTATCATGACCAGCAGGAATACTTTCTTCCTACCCCATGAACTTGCCTTACCCCTTTTACAGTCAGGAACCCAGTCAGCACCCCATCTTGCGGCAGCAAATCCCATAATTTTTAATGCAGTGTGAACAGAACATTGAAGCATCCCCATTTGGTTTGAGTTGTTCTATACAAGACCCAGCCTCCCATTTCTCATTTCTACCTCTCTGCTTGTTTTTAAATGGCTTACATTGTATTTTGCCAAAGCTATGTATAACACACAGAGCTATCAGCACCTTGGTGGTTGTAGGACCATGAACTAGAACATGAGCTTGGCATGCAGCAATGGCTTACAATGTTGAAGTTTTAAAACCGGTTTTTGATACGAGGACCAGGGTAATAAGTCTTGTTAGAGATTGCACCAACCGCAACGTAGTGCGTTTATCGGCATCATTTCATGAAGAGTGCCACATCCACAAGTTTATTCCAGAATAAAGTGCCACAGAAGCCTTACTTGGTTTTGCTGCTGGAGCAAGCTAATGTGGCTAACCCCACCAAAGAAAAGGGGAAAGTAGCATTTCCAGTTTCACCAGCCTCTATGGTCACACCATAAAGAAGTTATGATGCAGGTTTTCATTTCCTAATTATGCCTGCTGTGAAACTTGTCAAATCACCAGAATTTAAGCTAAGCAATCTGAACTTTCATTTACTTGTTCAGCTCTCAGGACATAGAATGGCAATGCCTTGCTTCACCCAGCACCTTCAGTGGAATCCAGCACAGCCAGGCCACAGTGCCACCAAGAGGATCAGGCAGAACACTGGCAGAGTCAAGACAGTTCATCCCCGCTCATCTCCACCCCTTTTCAGTCACTCTGGCACTAAAGTTACTGCAGAAGCCTGTCTTTGCATGTAGGATTGGAACTTTATTTACATAGCCCTGCCTCCAAACAGTGGGAAAAACCTACTACTAGGTGATGACCAATTATTTTTAATGGCATTTGACAAGGCACTTGTCAGCTGACTTTTAAACAATTTTTAGAAATACTACATATATTAGGAACTGTGCAGGTTAGCATTTTCTGTAGTTTCATTCTCTATTCTTTGAAGTCTCCAACTGACTGCCTAGAGGGCTTTGGCTTTTGGGAAGCAGAGAAACATAGTAAAATCAAAAATCTGAAGGTAACTTGGAGTACTCAATAACCACAACCTGGCAAGTTTATGTAGGGAAGTAGCTAAATATCTTTAATTTCTTTCTATTCAAACTGAAAGATGACAATCCAGTGGTTAGGTTAGTCAAAGAGACCGAAACCCATGTCCTCATCTGACTCTTCTGACTCTTCCTTGACTTCCTCCTTGGCTGGGGCTGCAGCAGCAGGAGTAGCGGCTGCGGCTGCAGCTGGGGCAGCAGCCACAAAAGCTGAGGGATCAGCCAGGAAGGCCTTCACCTGTGAAGGAAGAAAGGGAGAAGAGTCAGCTGCGAAGAAAGGAGAAACATGTACATTTTCTTTGTTGAAAAAGGGCCAAGCAACTGGACCTTGCCTCTTTCCATGATTTATATATGCAAAATAAAGTATACTAACATACAACTACAAACATGGGTAAAATATATGCTTAATTCCTGTTACCATCCATTCCTCTCGGCAGAATTTGGGTTAAATTAAAAGTAAGTTTTTAAAAATAGCTAGAATAAAAGTAGCCCTATTTATGTAATTTCAGATCAACATTCTCTTGCTCCAAATTCCACGGTCTAAAAAAGGCCAAGAATGAGTCACATGCAAACAGGTACTTGCTGTGAGCATCAGCACTGGAATCGCTTTTGGCAGTGGAACTGAAGGCTACCATCAATATCGCAATTACCTTTTCAGCCAATGGGAAAGAGTAGTCAGTCTCCACAGCCAGAGCCAGGACTCGTTTGTACCCATTGATGATGGAATGGGGCACAGAGGCAACAGTTGGGTAGCCAATCTGCAGGCAAATGCTGGCAACATTACGGACACCCTGCGGGAAACAACACAAGTCAGGCACAGCCCCAGTCCATAGGTTCAACGCAGTGCAAATTCCAAGCCATCTGTTCTTCTCCCCTCACCCAAGACTCAGCTGAAGAGATAAACTACTGTACTGCCAGCTACTGTAATTCTACTGGCCATTGTAAAGGTTGCAAACACCTCTTGGTGCTGCACACAACTTACATTTCCTAAGGACCTCGTCAATGCTTGCCAGGAAGCTCCTTTGCTGGGGTGGGGGGTGGATCAGAAGCTGGCAGCAGTTCAAAAAGAAGCCACTGGTGTGCAGGGCTGTAGCCAGTTTCCTTGGGCCACTAGGGAAGTGACAGGCCATTCTTGCTTCCAGAGATCTCAACTGAAAGCTTAGCAGTAGGATTTCAAAATTAGGCCAAGGAACACTTTCAGACCTAGAAAGGCAGTCCTCCTGCCCCTAGGGAATAGGGGTGCAGGTCTGCTCACCTAACAAAACTACTTTATACAAAAGCAGACCATTTCCTTAATCAGTTGTGTTGGCAACACAGGGCCCTCTGTATGTCTCAGACTGCAATTTTCAAAACCCCTGCTGATGGCAGGTATAATCCAGACATCTGAAGGGCACTTGATTTCCTGTCCCTGATCTAGCTTCAAGGTCTCAGCTATGGTCCTTCTGAACCCTGAGGCCAATGATCCTTTCTGACTGGAGATGGTAACCACCAGACTGGAGACACAATGCCCATCTGCCCATGTGGTCAACACTAAGAAAAGGTACAGACAAGCCTCTCTTGCACGTTTCTCTGCACGCTGTTCTGTCCCATCTCTTGGACCAAGGCGGGCCTGGCCGGATTCACCACACCCATGAGCTAGGAGCAGCCACGCACCTCCAGGAAGCGCGCGTGCAGCGTCTCCTCTGTGATGTCCAGCACTTCAGGGTTGTAAATGCTGCCATTATCAAACACTTGTTGGATGACAAGCCCAAAGGAGAAGGGGGAGATGTTCAGCATGTTCAGCAGAGTGGCTTCGCTGGCACCCACTTTGTCTCCAATCTTGATCAACTGCACATCACTCTAGGAAACAAGGAAAAGGCAGCGTATTTTTAAAATACCAGAATTTAAACATTTCAGTACAGCAGTGTATGCTTTAATCAGGTTGCATCAGTTCTTACAACAGGAGGTAAGGCGAGTCAGTACGGATATGACCAGAGGCTTAACCAATCCAGCACTCTGTGCCAGCAGAGGCCAGTGGGAAATCCACGAGCAGGACCACTCCCCAAAAGGCAGCAGTAAGGGGCAAGGAACGCATCATCAGATGAACACCAACTCAGACTGAACACTGTATGGCCAAACAGCTCAGAACTAGGACAAAGGGAACAGTCACTTGGGCTCCAAGTGGGCACCTACCAGGATTTCAATGGTGCCCCTGGAGATTTTGGTGGTAATGCCCAAAGCCTGGAAAAAGGAGGTCTTCTCAGGGCCCAGTCCTGTGTTTTGAGCTGGCACGGTAACATCACAAGGCGCAATGGCACCAGCACGAGCAGCAGCAGGCACCTAGAGGGGGGAAAAACAAGCACCTGTCCATCCTTGTTGCACTGAGACAGAAGTCATTAACCCTCTTTTAGAAGTTCTCCTTCAGATGGAAGCAGCAGCAAGCGTAGGAGACACAAGGCGGAAAGACTGGACTCCCAGTTTAGATCCCGGGATGCCTTCCTGCTGCATCAGCACCACTCCGCCTTGGCGTACAATAAACTCCACAGCACAACTGCAGCATCTCAGAAAGTTACACTGCCAAATTATGCTGCCTAAGATTAACTACTGCTTCTCAAGCCAAATTTTAAGAACCTTCCTCAGGGAGACCTCCCACAAGGAAGACAAGGGATGTTCCCCATCTCTAGGGAAGCACTTTGATTCCTCTGAATCATCTGAAGAAGCCATCAGCAGAAGCAAAGATCTTTAAAGACTCAAATCACACGCTCATGTGGGTTTCTTCAAGTGCAGGGGCACTTGCTCAATCTCATTTTACTACCTGAAGCTCTAAAAGGTCTAGAAAGAAAAACCTCCCAGTTCTGCCTCCTGGCATTGTTCCACTTGTACACGCTAGGAAGGCGAAGGCATTTCAGAGCTGCATGGGCTGCCAGAAGGCATTCTGTCCATAGTGTTGACTGTTTCAGCCTGAGCGCATTTATTTCAATGTTATACCACCCAATAGTCAAGGCTCTCTGGGCAGTTAACAGAAGTTTAAAAAAGCAACACACGAGACAAAAAGCAATTTAAAACAAAACCGTAACAATGACAATTGAATGCCATTTTGCAGTTCTTGGAGGGACTGCATTCCAGAGGTGGTCAGGCATGAAGGCAGGTGGGACCAACAGGAAAAAATACCAGCATATTGTATCTTAAAGCTCTTATAGCCAGTAGCCAAACCTTAGGAGATGGAAGTTCAACCTGTTCAGAATGAGGAGAGGTTTCCCCACCAAAACCAAGAAACCACCAACTGACTAGTGGTTAGGGAAGGTGATGCTGCCATTTGGAGACCCTCGGGGGACCCAAAGTTCTGCATCCCTGCTGTACACACTCATCCCAACTATACTGTAAGTCTTGTTCCAAGAAAGAACACAAACGCTACGCTTACTACATTCTAACAGCTTTTTGATTTGCAAAGTATGTTAAACTGAATTACTCAGTTAATGCAGGGAAGCCAAACAGTACCTTGCCCAAAGCAACCCAATTCCCTCAAAGCTGGCCAAGCATTTGGAGCAGAGACCCTCTTGCTCAACCCCACCATGATGTGCCACATCCTTAACTTGGCATGCAGCACATTACACAACTAATCAATGCCCTCTTGGGCACAGCTGTCATTTACCTTGTTGGCTAACAGCATGTCCCTGATTTCAGTCAGATCCTCCTTGGTGAATACAAAGCCCACATTGCCACGGATATGAGGCAAAAGCCTAGAAGAAAAAGGATATGTTCTGTTTTCCAGCACATTATGCATCAACCAGTTTAAGAAACAAATGTAGAAAACATTAAGCTGCACAGTGACCAAATGTATCATAACTTCCTCAGTAATCTCTATAACAGCTCTTTAAGGCAGGGCAGTATCATCTCTATGCTATAGACTGTCTGAGAGAAAAGGGGTCAGCCAATAGCACCTCCTGAAATGCTGGAGAAACACTGCGTGTTCGCACTTTATGGCTGAAGACCGTTTTTCTTTCTAGGGAAACGTTCAGGGGACTGAAACCAGCAGTGGGCAGAGCTGGTGCCAAAAGCAGCTAAAGCTGCTTCTATCCTTTGTTTGATGTGGGAAAAGCACAACTCTTTCTCCTCAGCAGGGGATGCCTGGGAAACCCAAGGTGGCTTTGCATGACTCACTTCTCCAGAGCAGGGTTGTTTTCCAGGTGCCCCCGGATTGCTTTGCGCATCATAGTGTTCTTCCCCATCAGGACGACGGCCTTCCCACGCAAGGACATTCGGATCTGCTGCATCTGCTTGGAGCCCACATTGTCCGCTCCCACGATGAAACATTTCGGATAATCATCCAAGAGTTGCTACAGGAATAAAGAGCCATGGCCACCTGTCAAGCTTAGGATGGCCACTCAGTTGCCCTGCTGCCAGGAAAGTTCTCGAGGCCTTCAGGAAGGGATGTGAGATCCACAATGAACCTCCCACCACCCTTGAAAGGGCACCAAAAGGGTAAGCTCTTCGTGGACAGCACCAGCACCCTTTAATCCCCTCTTAGAATAGACCTGGAATTCTTGCACCTTGCATTCCAGGTGCAAGCCCTGACAGGACAACAAAATAATGCTCCCTGACCTCCATACCCAGCACTCTGCACATGCTCTGACAGGATGGTAATGTTGCCACTGCCAGTCACATTCTAGATATAAGCCCCAGTGTTGCTATATAAGCATGTAACTGTCTACATTGGCTTTGCAAGCCTGGAAGAAGTCTCCGCGTTAGTCCTACTGCTTCTTTTGAAACTCAATGTTAGTATTTAATCACTTTTTGGCATGATAAGCAATGCATGAATGTGTGTCTGGTATTACTGTTTCTTTTTTCTGTCCCACTGAGACTTGGTAATGAAAGCCATGTTGCCTCAGGTGCTGGCCATCCACTACTAAAACAATGGCCATAGGATGCTGCATGTATGAAGTTTTAGCTTCAATATCCAGCAGTTCCATGTAGAGCTCAAAAAGAACTGGCTAAAACCCTGCTGTTACCAGTCAGTCTCAACAATGCTAGCCTAGATCAGGGACGAATAGGAAGCAGTAGACCTGAATGTACTGGGCAAATGTAGATGATTTGCAACGAAGTAACAAGGATCTTACACTGTCAGCTTCATTAACAATAATGAGACTCAGTCCTAGAGGAGATCAACCCTGACTGCTCTTTAGAAGGCCAGATCCTGAAGATGAAGCTCAAATACTTCGGCCACCTCATGAGAAGGAAGGACTCCCTGGAGAAGAGCCTGATGCTGGGAACAATAGATGGCAAAAAAAGAAGGGGACAGCAGAGGATGAGGTGGCTGGATGGAGTCACTGAAGCAGTCGGCGTGAGCTTAGGTGGACTCTGGGGGATGGTGGAGGACAGGAAGGCCTGGAGGAATGTTGTCCACGGGGTCACAATGGGTCGGACATGACTTCGCGACTAACAACAAACTCTAGCTTATAATTGGGGGGGGGGGGGAGCTTGGGATAACCGGGGATGCATTGTCCAAAAAGAAACAATGCAATATATATATATATATATATATATATATATATATTGGTCCATGGTGGACTAGGGCAGAGAACACTTAGACCTCTCCTCCATGAAGCTCAATGAATGACTTTGGACCTGTAACTGTGGCTCCACCTAACCCACCTCACCAGTTTTGTGAGGTTAAACAACAACACAACAAACAACAACAAAAAATCATTTATTCTGCCTAGGACTGCTTGCAGGAAATCTAACAAACCAATATATGAATGGAGGCACTATGAGAGTTCCAAAAATTCTGACACCCCCACTCAACAAACCCAGGCAAGCAAGCTTGACATCTGCCCATCCCTGGGGCTGAACGGACTAACTGGCCCACTCTATTTTTTAAGGCACTCTGTACGTGTTCGGGAAAAAAGCCCTCCCAGCATCTCCTACTGTTTATTTTGTGAACATGTAGCCCAACAAAAGCAGGTGCAGTAACAACCCTGCCCGAAAAGCTCCCGCCAGCCGAGACTTAAAGGAAAAGGCTCTCTGCAGGTGCTCAGAGGCACCCTCGCCAGCGTCGCTGCATCATTTCCCGAAGAGGGAGCCTTTGAGCTGACCCCCCGCCAGGGCGCCCGGCAGCCCCGGAGCATCCTGGCAAGGGACTCACGATGATCTTGAGGAAGTAGTTGGACTTCCACGTGGCTCGGTCTTCCCTGGGCATCGCCGTGACCCAAGGATCGCGCAGCGGTCGCGGCGGTTTAAAGACGGCGGTGTTCCCTGCGGAAGGAGAAGGGGAAGGAGCTCGGGGAAGGTTCGGGTCGCGGCACCCGCAGCCACCGGCCCAGCTTAGGCCCGAGGCCCGCCGCCCCCAGCGCACGCCGCCCCGGCCACCTACCTCACGAGGCCTCCGTGGAACTAAAGGAAGAACGCCGCGCCCGCCCCTCGCCTTTATACCCCAGCCGGCGCGGCCAATCGGCAAGCGGTCACGCGCCCGGCTCTTCCGGATTGGGCGAGGCGATCTGCAGATGACGAAAGGGAAGTGGGGGGAGGTAGGAAAGAAGAAAAGGGGAATCTTGGAATTTCATTGGAGGAGGCAGCCGTCCTTCCTAAAGGAGAGATCGCCTTGCCCCGCCTTTTAAAATAGCCGACGTTTGACGAGGAGGAAAGCGGGACAGGGTGAATTACGGCGGTTGTCGTGTTGGGCGGGCTCCCCCTGCTGGGCTGGAAGCAGAACATGCGCGTGTAGTGCGCACCTTCACTATGATTTTCTTCCTTGGGACCCAGGACGGCTTTCCCTTCTTTTATTATATTTTTATCCCTTTTCTGCTGCAAGGGACACAAGTTAGCTTACATGGTCCTCGTCCTCTCCATGGTATCCTGTAAGGTAGGTTAGGCTGGGAGCCCATGACTGCCCGCAAGTCCCCCAATGAGCTGCACGTCTGAACAGGGGCTAGAGCCCGGATCACCCGACTCCCAGTCCAGCGCTCTCACTGCGCCACCCGGACTCCGCAGTGCATGCATGCGCGCATGCAAGCGAGCAAGAACAGCTCTGCCGGAGACATCTAGCCGCGCCTCCTTGTTCAGACGGCGGCCAAGCAGTAGCGCACCGGAGACCCACAAACAGGACACGAGGGTCGCAGCAGCCTCCCAACTCGTGTTCGTAGGCACACGGCCTCTGATCCTTGTTTCTGAGCACGCGTGCACAATAGTAGCCAAGGTTTATATAGTGTCTAGTATCAGTTAGAACCGCCAAAGCTCGCCAAATATAGTGTTCATCATTACTTTGTTGTAACTTTTTAACAACACGGTAAGGTAGATCAGCATTATTATCCTCTTCTGTTTTGTTTGATGCAGGCGCAGAGGGAAGCTGAGCAAAAGCGGCATGTTTACTGCTGGTTAGGGTGCTACATTTCCTTTTCTAGATAGGAAATTCAAAGCACCAGATTCCTCAAGCAGGTGGTCTAGCCACTATGCTACATTCTTTCCTTGATATTATTTGTACAGATTAAATATGATTATATCCAGCTTGCTTGTTCACATTCACTTGGTTGCTCAAGTGATGGAATGTTGACTATGTAATGCTGTGACTTGTCTTTTTCATGTTTATTTACCACACACCCAACACCTTGTTGCTATTCATTAAAATATATTATTCTGAATAAACACCTGCCTTTCAATTAATACAGAACAGACCGCTGCACGTGAACTGTGTTTTCACTTGTACCAGGCAAACAAGAGCTTTCAACAAGTCCATCCTTTAAGCTGGGGATATTCAGCAGTCATACTTTGTGTAACCAATAGCACCAAGTGTGCTCAAATTATTGTGTGACATACCGGAGAATCCTCACCCGCATCACTATTACCAGTGGCAATTGCAACAGAATGTTGCAGCATGGAAGCCTCTGGTTCAGTTCCCAGCCAGCCATGGCTGTTTCAAGGGAACAGTCCCTGGTTCCCAAAGGACACTCTACATTCGGTGGCCATGTTGCCTGCTCAGTCCTCCCTTTAGGATCCCATCAAGATTTGTGATTCTGGAAACCTGTGTGTGTGTGTGTGTGTTCCATCCTGTGATATGTCTGCTCCACCACCCTGCCAAATGGCCGTGGCAAACATGCCTGTTAGCACCTGGGCCAGTACTGGCATGCCAGGGCTACACAATGCAGCACCGTTTCGTCTTTTAAAATGATGCTCTGGTAGCATGGGGCAGGCATGTATGTGGTTACAAGCATTCATTTTAACATGTTTACTTTAAAATAAGTCTGCCCTTCCCTACAATAGAATAGTGCTTATTTCCAGGCTAATGTTGCTTGCCAGGGCAACAGAAGTAAACTGTCATTCTTTCACACATGATGGTGCGATCAGCAATATAGAACAGTTGTAAAGTGAGCGAAGAATGGTGCTGGTGAGGAAAAGAGAGCTCTCACATTGTCTGCAGGCTTCTGTGTACTAAAGACCATTAAACCATTAGGGATGGAATTACCTAGCTGCACCTCTGCTCCTATTTATTGACAGTGCTTTTATCCTGCACTTCAGCCAAAAGCTCCCAAGAGTCCCTGCCCTTGGGCTTTTAATCTAAAAGACGCAGCACAAAAGGAAATGGGAAGGAAGAGAAGAAAAATACAGTATTATCACAGTCCTTAGTTTCAAAGTTCTTACTGGTTCTTTCCGATATCTTCCTCTTATGTGTGTCTGGTGCTGTTTCAGCTGAATTGGAACTCAGCTGATTAAACTATACATTTCAATCATATAAATGATGTTTCCCCTATCCAAGTGTACTTAGTACTTCATCTCAAAGCAACAGCACTGACATTTCAGCATCCTGTCGTAGAATGATCAACCTGTGAGAATTGCAACAAGATTTTCTAAGGTGAGGTGCACCAGTTTAGCATCCCCTTCCAGTTGGGCATCCCCTTCCAAAGTCAGGCACCCGCTTTCTCGGGATGTTCCATGTTAGTTCCTGCTTTGGCCTGTTTCTATTCCTCACCACAACTGCCAGGCAGCATTCTGTGTGCATGTCGGTCTGTGTTGGGGCCTGTTGGGCACATCTTTCTCTAATGGCTTTTTGGGGGCAGTGGCAGCTCTGCCAAACAGCACCGCCTTCAGTCTGCCACTACCTGTCCCTTACCGGTGGGCGGTGCAGCGGTTTTGGGCACCTACAGAGCAACACTTGGGAGACCTGAGACCGTGATAAGCATGTATGATCAGCAGCCTGTGCCATCTTAGCAGATGTGGTGAACCAAGAAGGGGGAGGTGGCAATGGCGGCAGTGGAGGCACTGCAGAGTCCAGAGGAGAAGAGCAGAGGAGACTCGAGGTGCGGCTGGTCGTGAAGCAGAGCATAATGCAGAATGAGTAACATTTTACTCTAGCACAGTATGATCCTTCAAGGTCACTGAGAGTTCTCTGTGCAGAGGCTTAGACCTGAATTCTGAAGGTATATCCTGTATTCTTTCTATATATATCCTGAAGAGAGACACTTAGGGAGCAATCCTATGAATATTTAGACAAAAATGGTTCACGTTCAAGGATCAGACTGCCTCCCATTCCAAAAGTATTGGCAAATGCGTACTCAGACTACATTCCGTCACTCTTCCTAGGATGTGGTTCCTGTGCAAAGTCTAAAAGAAGCCCATTAAGCCACAAGGATCACAAACCTGCATGCAGGTGCTGCAAGAAAGACTAGAGCCAGTGAAAATTATCATAAAATTTTATTAGCATCATCACAGGAATTTTAAAAAAGAGGGTGGGGGCAGCAAAATTAAACGCTTACAAAAGGGAACATGAGGAGGGGGAGAGAAATGTCATTCCACAGGCGATTCTCCCCCTTCTCCTTCCCAGAAGAAAAACAAGCTTTAATTGAGACCCACTTCATTCAGATGCACTTAAAGAGTCAAACCAAAAAAAAAAGAAAAGAAAAGAGAGAAAAACCCAGAGCCTAAAATGTCAAAGCTATGTTAGCACAGAGGCAGGGGGAGAGAGGATTTTTCCAAACAGAAAACACCTTCAGCACCCCACTACAACGTCCACCAGGCCCTTTCATGAAGTTGCAACAGCGGCACCTGCTTCCTTTTGTTAAAGAGCTAGATCACACTCCCCCGGCCTGCAAAGGCACAACTTCACCGAACCCCGCAGACAAAGGCGTGTCTGCAGCGACCAGGCTGAACACCTTCGAAGGACTGCAACTTGGACCTGCAGCTGGCCCACCTGACACAGGCGCTCTGGAGTCTCTTCAACGACTGGCAGGCCTTCTGTGTAGGATCACGTCCTCATCTTCCGCCCCACACGAAATGGGCCAGGAATACAATTCCCAGTTTGCAGAGACACTTGGTCACAGAAAGTCACACTCACAGCCAAACGCTTTTAGAACCGTGGCTCCTCTGGAAAGGGGGAGAGGAGCTCACTCAAAGCGTATCACTTGCCTGGCACCCCCTCCGAATTAAGACATGTGGGTGCTCGGTGCGGTTACGTGAGGCACCGTTGGCTGCCCTGGGAGGCAGAGCCAGGGCTGCATTTCCGCGTGCCTCTCCATGCAGCCGCCCGACGCCTGGCTCAGGAGGCGAGAGGGGGAAAAGGCTGCAGGGCACACACATGTGCAGACGCACGTACGCATTGGTACGCACAGTGCGGCAGTGCTCCACGCTGCACGGCCGAGTCACGGCATGCTTGCAGGGCTAGCTCAAGGCACCCTGCTTGTCTGAGGTGAAGGACAAGGCGGTGCCCCCCCCCCCCCCCCGCAGAAGCCAACTCGACCGCGAGTTGAAGCTTCGTTCACGATGGGCTGCCTCTTCTGCACCCCTGAGCAGCGGGGCAGCTTAGCCGGCACAGGGCAAGCGGAGTCCTCTAGCATCTCGCCCCCTGCTCCGCTCTGAGGCAGCCCCCTCCGTCTGCCTAACGGCGGGGCCAGCCCAATATACTTGCAGAGAAGACAAGGGAAAAAAGGCTGCGTATCACCGTGTTAACCTCGTGCGGCAGAGCAATGCCCAGGGCCCAGTATCAGCTTCTGAAATAGATTACGAAGCCTGATACGAAATGGGTTACATAGGAGCACTTTCTCCCTGTAGAAGTAAATGAAGACTTGAAAATCCTGAAATTCCAGCTTTGAGCAAAAGACAAATAATTTCAAATACAGCAGTTTACAAGTTTACAAAAAACTGTTCCAGTTGAGCTTTGATCAATAGAAAAGCTACTTAATAAGCCATTAATAATCATCACACACGCACTCCTTGCATATTTCCCATCTCCCACCCTAACCCCAGTTTTAAAAATACTTATCATGTGAATAGTTGTGTTTAGCAAAGCATCAAGGCTATAGATGCAGGAACCGACACGATCAGGGCCTGCCCAGAACCATCAGAATATGAAAGTCATCTGTTGAAAGTTATTTCAAAAAAACTAAAATTTCCATATAAGAGATTTAGAAGTTGTTCAGCTATGAATCCACATAGAAACTAACACCTCCACCCAAACACACAGTATTCGGTTTGATTGCAAAAGCCACAGCCTCTCACACAACCGCCATAGAGAGAGAGTGCACCGAGGCATTTCCGAAAATAGAAAAATTATTGCTCAGACATCCGTCTCCCTAGGACATGTTTAATGACAGCAAGAGATGGACTTGTGGACAGGGGTAAGAGAAAGAGTAAGAAAGCGTTATATCCGTGCTTTCACATCTTTGCTCTGGAAGGGCTGGAATGACCAGCTTATCTGGATTTTCTCACAAAAGTACTATTTCCCCAACCCCACCAAGAACGCTTGCATTTGGAGACTACGGCATCTCAGAAAGAGCCCTTCTGAAGTAGACAGGCGAGGAAGCCCCCTGTTCACACCCACGGTGGTGTGAGTGAGGCTGGGAACGTTCCCAGCACTGCCTGCCGTGTTAAAGGAACAGGAACATGGACAGGGGAGAAGGCAGAATGGCTGCTTACGTGGCTGCATGAATCTTGCGCAGGTCGGTATCCTGAGAAAGCAGCACCGATTGAAATGGCCCCAGTGGTGGGTCCCCAGGACACCTCTTGCCAGCCCTCTGGGCCACTGAGTGCTCCCGAGGAGGACAGGGTTCGTCCCCTTTCCCCAAGCTGAAGCCACTTCTGCCGGGCTGCCTGAACCTTTCCTGCCAAGATGCAGCACGCAGCCAATAGTGGTTGCCATCCAGCACCTTCCCAAACAGAGCTCTCACCCTCCACCCACGACCCACCCTCCCCGGCCTGGCTCAGCTGTCAATCCGGGACACTAATGACAACCTCGGCATCTCCCTGCTGAAGGACCGCTTCTGACCGCATGGTCCGTTTCTCCGGATTCGCCACCTCGAAGCATCCCGCTCTGCCCTGCGGCAGGCACCATTCACACGCTCACACGCAAATGCACACACCCCTCCACTTCTCCTCGGTCAGCTCACAAAGGTCGCTGGGTTGCGGCAGTGTCCCAAGAGGCAGGGCATCCCGGAGAACAGCAGGAGGACGCGGAGTCTGGTCTCAGCAGAAGAGCTTCAGGAAGCAGTTCTGGCAGTAGGGCTTGTCATTCTGCTCCTTGAAGGTGCCCTTGTTGAGCTGCTTGAGGCAGAAGGCGCAGACAAAGTGTTCCGGGTGAAACTTCTTGGCCATGGCGGTGATGCAGCGCCCCGTGATGGGCTTCTGGCAGCCGGAGCAGAGCGAGCCGCGGCGCTCGTGGTAATGCACCTCACAGTAGGGCTGCCCGTCGTGTTCGAAGAAGCTGCCGTTGATGAATGGAGTGAAGCATTCCTGTCAGGAAGCAACGCTGCAGTCAACAGTGAAGCCGTCACCAGAGCACGGCTGCGAGAGGGATCCCTGGGAGCTGCATTCCCTTCTTACGTTCCCTCCCCACCCAGGCACGCAAGCAGCAAACGGGCGCTCTCAGGCATGAGCCATGAGGCGGAGAAGGGGGACACGGGCGTTGCCCACCGCTGCTTGGCCGCTTCCTGCTGCAGGGGCCGTTTGCAGTGTCAGGGCTGACAGCCTGGACGGCTTCTGTGGGACAGCAAAGATCGCTTGGCCTGACGCCTGCTCCATCCGTTCCAAAACAGAGTGGTCAATGAGAGGCGATTCATGCATTCAGCACCTTCAAGTGGTAATGTGTCCCCTACCACTTCAGCTCTAAGTGGAGGTTGGGTATTTGGATGTTCCCCCGCAGATAGATGTGTACAGAAAAAGAGCATATGGAACGAAACCGCAGAACCTTTTTCTGTCTCAACATGCATAAGGTTGTACCCCTGAGATGTGCTAACGGAAGGTGGAACAATTCCTCTCTTCTTTATTTGTTGTGAATGTTGCATTCACCCTTCCACCTATGGGTGGAATACAGCTCAATATTACAGTGCAAACTTCACATTCCAAAGGTCTCAGGTTCTGTCCCTAGCAGTCTCCACTTCAGAAAAACATCAAGGAGAAGGGGCTGCACTCAGACCGCTGCCTGGTCCCTGGAGAGTCACTGCCAGCTGGAGTACGTGGCAAGAATTAGAGGGACCAACAGCCCAGCCTTGCCTAAGGCAGCTTCCTTTACCATTTTTTTAGAATACCTTTTCAGGAAAAATACCAGGGTTCCTGCTCTTCTTTGACTACTTTCTGGATGTCTTCATCTGCCTAGTTTTAACATCCAGACTTTTTTTGCTTCTTATCTTCCTCCTCTTTCAAGTTACACTCTTTTTAAATTAAAATTGTTCACGTTCATTTTCATTTGTGGGAGCTCTGTGATCAATACCAAATTCTCTTTCCTATGAACAGCTGGCATTCTAAGCAGCCCATGCATCTGTCTCCCAAGAAAGAGAACGCTGACAGAAAGTTCAGACAAATTCATAAGGGGCAGGCCTGGGAACGGTCACTGGGGCTGCATGGGACCTTCTAAGACCAGAGGCAGGGCTGGGGAGCAACTGCAGGCCTTCTGGGGGCTCTGGGAGCTTCCCAGAAGCACCTGGTTGGCCACTGAGGGAAAGCAAGATGTTAGACTACCTCTGCCTTGCCCAGGTTGGTGCTCTGCAGATATTCAGGCCTTCAGTTCCCATCTGTCCCAGCCAGCCTGGCCAATAGTCAAAAGTGCTGAGAGCTGTAATCTAGAACAGCCTTCTGCAACCTTCAGTAGCATTTGGACTGCAACTCCCAGAATTCCCATCCAGCAGGGCCACTGACAGGGAATTCTGGGATTTGCAGTCCAAATGTGTCTGGAAGGCTGGGGAAGGCTGATCTAGTGGATAGCAGTTTGGGGAAGGCAGGCCTAAGGGGCCCTTGGTATGATCCACCTGGGCTGGATCTCACAGTCCAATACAGAAAGGTATTGTAAGCAGCATTTCTTTTGAATTCCTGTTCCAAGGCTGGAGGCCATGCTCTGGTTTTGCAGCTAGAATAGGCACCTGAGCTCCCCTCTCCAGCAGAGGCTCCATGGAAGGAACTGTGCCAACTGGTCCCCAAAACACTGGAAAAGCAGCTTTAGGGATTGGGAGAAAGGGGGCTTTCGGGGGGAGAGATTAGCTAGGCCACAAGCTATCCCGATGTCTCCCCCAGCCTCTTTCCCTCTCCCTCAAAGGTGCTTGCTCCTGCTAAATGGGTGAAAAAGACCATCTAGAAGGTAAATGTCACCTCTGCCACTCCTCCCACTCTGGGCTGGATGCCCACGGGCCTTCAAGTATGGGTGCTCAGGGCAACCGCCAAGGAATGCACCCTCAATGTCTTAAGCACAATTTAAAACAAAGAAGACTAACAGAGGACAGAGCCCCAAAAAACTGAATTTGGAAGCAAGTATGTGCCCAAGATGTGGCACTCTGAAAAATGAGGGTGCACCCCTCTGGTCTTGCCCCTCCCCTCCCCTCCCCTCCCCTCCCCTCCCCTCCCCCTCCCTATGGCAGAATGACAGCTCACAAGACTGACATCACTGGCAGACAGAACGACACCCTAGGCGAGGTCCTGCGTTGTTCTTACCCGGCAGACAAAACACTCCGGGTGCCAGAGCGTGTTCAAGGCAGAAATGTAGTTTTCCAGGATGGCACGGGCACAGCCTCCGCACTTGGGAGCGAACATGTCGAAGTAATCCTTGCGACAGTAGGCCTTCCCGTCCTTCTCGTGAAAGCCTGCCAAGGGACAGGGACGCAAAACAGAATGCTTGGAAAAATCACCTGCCTCAGCCTGGGCCTACTATTTGGGGAGCTTGTAAATGGCTTTTCCCAGGAACAGGAAACGTGAAAAATGAACACACAGGCACGTAAAAAAACACTCATGAAGCGATGAAAAACTATAGACCCCCACATAACTCCTGTGACAAACAGAACCAACCGCTATTTAAAATTAGGCAGTTGGATTTAAAGGGCTGGGGAAATTAAGAATTCGGATAAAAACACGGCAAAGTTGTTGGGAAGAAAATTAAGAGGCAGGGCATCACACTGCTGCTGCTACCTGCCACCCAGTTCTCTCCTGCTCCTTATCCCCTTCTTCTTCCCCACTCAGAGGGCTCCTGGGGGAAGGACAGATTGCTCTTGCCACAGGGATGAACCCACTGCTTGCAAAAGCCACATCTATTGTATCTATATCCCACCTTTTCTCTTCCAAGGAATTCACACCCATAATCCTCTTCCTCCTCACCACCTGAACGTCAGAACAACCCCATGAAGTAGGTGAGGCTGGGAGTCCATGCCTGCTCCAAGGTCACTCAGTGAGCTCCATGGAGGAGTTGAGATCAGAACAGAGTGCTCCCGGATCCCAGCCCAACACCTTCACCATTACACTACACTAGTGGGCTTAAATTGTGCTGAGCATTCCTGCTCTACAGCATTGTGGAACATTTAGACAGACAGGTGGGGATCCACCAGTGTAGATGCAGTCCTCGCTTCCTGCCCTGGACCCAGGAGAAGTTAATCCTTCGATTGACTGAAGTTACCTGGGAAAATCTATTGAAGGATCAACTGCACAATTCAAACATAGTTTAGGGTGGAATTTTGCCAGTGGGCCAAAGACCCTTCATTTGGGGGAAATACATTTGGCTTAAAACTCTGGATTCATTCAGAAGGTGCATTTAGGTTAGAAAGCTTTTCCTCCTGGGTCAGATCCACTAGCCATTTTAAGGCATTGTTTACTGTTTACCATGTGCTTCATCTTTAATTTTACCAGATTTTATCCCACTTTTTTCCTACAACAAACTCAAAGAGGCGTACGTAATTCTCCTCCTCCTGCTCGCACTCTTATCCCCACCATGACGACGCTATAAGGTACTTTGGGCTGAGAGTCACCCAGTTGCCTCCATGGCTGAGCCGTAATGCAGAGAGGAGTGAGCTTGTGTGTGCACAGTGCTGAAAAGACTCCAGCCACTTTCCCAAACATCAGCAGATTTCACGTTCTTCGGAATGCACACCCTCTGCTTCTTTACTGTGGAAGAAGCCACACCAGCAGGAAGAACGTGGGAGGGGATATATGACTAAGCCTCCTTTCCTGGGGTGATCTTTGGACTTACAGGCAAGGGGTGTAAAGACTTTATGAGAAGGCTTATCACAACATTTGCCCCTTTTTCCTGTGTTGATGCTGAAATAACAGAGCTCCATCCTCAAACCATTTGGCAGAGTCCATTTTGTCCTTTTCTTTTTCTTTCCATGGCTTTGTTTTCTGGGTTCTACTTGCTCCTCCCATCACTTTATCCACTGTTTATGTGTTTAATTCTGCCGTGCTTTTGTTGTCTTTTTTGTTTCATAGGTCATTCCCTTTGCACAAGTTGAGTTACCCGAGCCACATTGAAAGAAATATAATTTGCTTGATTCCCTGTTCTAGGAGAAGGGACTATGGAGGCAGAGGGTTTTAAAAAATTGACTCAGCAAGACAGCCGTCTTGAGCTGCAGGGATGCGAACTAACGTGGCGACCCTGTGCTCGCACATCCAGGAGTAAACCATGCCGAACGCAGTAGGAGTTCCTTTCACGCAAACATGCAAAGGACTGGCTTGAGGAACAGAGAGTGGCTCTTTGGCTGCACATCTGCTTCCTGGAGAATATGACTGTACAGCCTTACACAAGAGGAGGAACTGCCTTGTGTAAAGTTTGCTTGTGTAGGGCTAACACCCTACACTTTGACTACAAAATGAAGCAACAACATGTGTGTAAGAAATGGCACTCAAGTGATCTGGGACCGAGTTTGGGGATCAGCTCACAAGCCTTGAAATTCACTATCTGGGGCAGCCAAACATTCTTGCACATGTCCATTAATACACCTTGAGTTATAAAACAGGCTTTAGGGACCGTACCTTCTGGGCCGAAGAAGGCACCACACTGAGCACAGAAGAAGTGCTCCGGGTGCCATGTCCTGTCCAACGCTGTGACCACTTTCTGATTGGGAAAAAAGCAGAAACAGTGAACAAATAACCCAGGTTTTAAAAACTTCAGGGAAACAGAAGGTGGAGGAATATGAAGAATAGCCAGAACAAGAAATACACTCTAAGGGGTAGGCAAGGTGGTGGATGGTGGGGAGAGACATCCTGTGTGGGCTCAGGAGACTGAACAAGAACTCTGAACCATTTCTGTCCTGTGTTTCCTTGAAAGGATTAAATCTAGAATTTTATGGAAGTCCATGTTTGACTGACTTTGAGTATTTAAGCTTACTTAATACAGATGAATGAATTCCCGAAGAACAGCTGTGTTAGTTTACAACAGCCGAAGGATGGAAACATTGGGACATGTTTGGAGATTAACTGGATTGCTGCAATACAGCTTCTCATGAGCATTCCCTATTTGAGATGAGCTAAAAAGAGAGCTGAGGAAACAGAAAGCATGTGGACTAGGCATACAGGCACACACAAAAGATAATGCCACCAAGAAGGAAATGTTGTGAGACAATTCAGGTAAACAAAACTCTTAAATTCCCTTCAAGTCCCTACCCCACTCTTTCAACACATTCTTAATGTAACGTGGCATGGGAAAGATGACAGAAGACAGAACCAAGAACTGGTAAATTATGAATTAACTCTACTTGGTCTGCACACCCTTAGCCTGAAATCTTAACTTTTTGTACAAGAGGTCCCAAAAGAACTCTACTCTCCAACCTAAAGCAACCCTAATATTTAAACTCAGAGAGCTCCCCTGTGCTCCCCTTCAAGCCAGTCTTCCAAAAACCTGCTTTTCGGTGTCAAAGCAGAACTGACACACAAACGGAAGGACACAACCATCAGCACCGGAATGCGGTGTGCCTCGGTGATGTACTTCTTACGCTCTGTTCGCATGCAATGCGAATCCATTGTCAGGGGATTTTCTGTTGAGATTTGTCTTCTGGTGGCAGCTTCTGCCACCTTTTTTAATATTTAGGCAGTGGACCTGGATAAAGAGCATGCAGGAGTGAATTGCTGTGGTGCTAAGCCAGCCACCTGCAACCCTCAAACAGCCCGTGGGTTCTGGGCTGTCGAACACCTGGGATCACACCAAATGATGCTGTGGCACGGCTCTGGCACTACCTGAGTATCTGAACTGGCAGCCACTGCCATGAGAGGAAGTTCAGCAGAGGGTGGAATCCACCCACAGTGGCTCCTCATTAAGGGGAAACAGGATGTGTGAGGAAGTGAAGGATGAGAGTATCAGCTAAGCAGAATCTTCTGCGACTTGTGGAGGGCACCTTAGTTTAAACTAAGACACCCTAGCACCCTAATGAGCCCTAGGTTTGTGTTCAGGAGAAGCACCAGCAAAAAAAGAATACAGACTTTAAAAATGGACATTATTTACCATGACTGAATATTAATTTGCACATGTGCACCTCCCTCCCCTGTCAAAAGCAGTCCCCAGTTCAGTCATGCAAAGGGATGGGTGAGGCGACTGCATATACTAAGCTTTGGGTTCTCCACATTTCATAAAAAAAGAACCTAGCAGTTCCGCAGGAATAATATGAAGGACTGCATTAAAACCAGGATTAAGCCTAGAACAGAGTCACTCCTACCTCCCCATGAACCTGGCTAAGGCCTTGACTTGCTCTTTCCAAGGCTGGCTGGACCTGTGCTGCGTGCTGTATTCCAGGAGACACAAAGAGTTGCCACCACATACAAAGAGAAGCAGATGAAGCATGGGGAGGAGAGCATGAAATCCTCCAGAACTGTAAAAACCCCAGTTCAAAGCTCACCTTAGCCATGAGCTCACTGCATCCTTTAAGAGAAACCTCCACTCCCATTTATCATACAACAATACAGTTTCTCTTACAGGGATGTTGTCAAGCATGTCGTGTGCTCTGATTGTTTGGAAAAGCTTATATAAATAGAACTGATTTAAAATATATATTTGTACACAGATGCTGGACTGTCTGACTGGTTTTTAAACCAGACTGGTAACCCTGTGCAAATGTTTGCAGACATGTGTGCAGAACACTTTGATGTAAAAATCAGAACGGGGGCCAAGGCGGGATCACGGGCATCTACTGGGCAAGCAAAGGGAAGTGTGTGAGTCAAAACAGAACAGGTGAGGCACAGAGAGAGGAGCTGAGAGGGTCTGGTGTGTCCCACAGACCATCTAGAGAAGGGGAGCGCACCACGCTCTGCAGGGACTCACATCCAGGATTGGACCGTTGCAGTAGTAGCAACGAGGGGAAAAGAGGTTGTGATAGTCCTTCTCGCAGTAGGGCTGCCCATCACGCTCGAAGAAGTTCCGCGATCCAATCTCCTCCTGGCAATGGGTGCAGACGAAGTGCTCAGGATGCCACGTCTTCCCCATGGCGGTGACCACCTGCGGAGAAAAGGCGGCTCTGGCTCCAGCAGACGCTCTGCGGCTTACCGGGTGACGATGAGGCAGCTCTCACGAGAGGGAGGGAGCTAGGAATGTGGGTGGGTCCCTGGACCGGGGTGGCAGGAGAACCGAATCGCCCACCACCTCGGGAGAGGGCAGTCCCTCACGGGCAGGGCAGAGGTCACTGGAGGAGCTTGCAGCGTCCCTAGCCAGTGGAGAAGCAGAGCACTTCAGCTCCTGAGCAGGGCCAGTCCGTCCAGCCACATGGTTTAAAGCCCTCCCAGAGGCAGCGCGGGACACGCAGAAGGGGGCTTGGCTTGTGCCTCTGGCTCACCTGCCCAGCGATTGGTTTCCTGCAGGCACCACATACTCCTTTGGCAACGGTTGCCACGCCGAGCTTGTTCAGGTCTGACTGGAGGCTGCCAAGCATGCTGTCCAGCTGGCTGCCAGGCTTCGGAGGAGTCGAGGACGGGCAGCTATTCCCACCTTTCCCTTGGGACATGAACTGTGAAAGAAGGCCAGAGGAGAGAATGTCAGGAACGAGAGGGCAACTCGGGGAATGCAGGGGGCATGCAGGTTGTGGCGTGAACAGAAAATGCTTAAAAAAAGAAAAAACCTGTTCCGGGGGGAAAAACGACCTGTAGCTACTCTGGAGTGCCACAGCTTGGCCACAAGCTAAAGCTGACCCTCTTGCCATTCCATAGTACCTACAGAATGCTAAACGAGTCACATTTAGATTACAGTCAAGCTAAATGTGGTCTTTTTGGTCATTTGTAATGCTATGGGGTGCCTCTAAGATAGATCCAGGGGGCAGAAGCCCCAACCCCTATGAGAGCCAACCTGGATCCTTTCTCCCCAGGAAGTTCCACAAGTTCTGCGCCTAACGGGTAACAGAGAGGATGATGCAATTTCAGGAGCTAGCAAGGGAAAGCAATAAAGGCTAATCAGGACTGGTTTCAATCAGTTTACCAGAAGTAGCTTCCCCGAGTCAAGAGCCTATGGATTCAGCAACTGGAAGCAAAAGCACAGGCCGGGCAAATTAATAGGAAGGACAAGGCTACCCAGGTTTATGGCACACTTTCCAAACAGCAGAACAAATTTCAGCTTCTGACCAGCCAAAGTTTGAAGGTAATCTACACAATGATATATAGTTTCCAACATGAGCCAAAGGTAACTCAGCTTAGCATCATAAGGTTACATTAATGTGCGTTTTTATTACAGGGCCCTCTTTTTGGATACATGCATTCTGTTCCAATAAGTTCCAAGGTGGCTCAGAAGTAGGTTACAGACTGGCCCAAATCACCACTGAGCATCATGGCAAAAGATAATATAAATTCCGTAACAGTTATATTTATTTTAAATGTAAAGCATTTATATCCTTTTCATCGAGCAGGGCTTCTGCTTGTCATTTTGTGTTGCAGTGGTGTTAAATTAGTTTTAATGTTTGATATTTTCTATCAATATTTAGAATTATATATTGTATCTTAATATATATCATTTGTTTTTAATGCTTTTAATTTGTGAGCCATCCAGAGATAAGTGTGATGGATGGGCTAGAAATATCCTAAATAAATAAAAGTTGCTTGTAAAAAAAAAAAAAATAAAGACATAGCGGGAGGGCTGGATTCTGGATAGGAGGAGGCTTGGAGAGAAGCCCATGCACCTTGTCAGCCAGCCAGACTTCCTGAACCTTCTAGATGTGCAGGACTGCAGCTCCCAACATGCCCAGCCTCTGGGGTTGTGGGAACGGCTATTCAATGCATCCGGAAGATTCCATGATGGTCAAGGCTGCTCTAACTGATACCTCACACTTGCAAGAGTGCTTGATTTATTGATCTACGCACACACTGCTATGAACTTGTACGGCTAAGGTATAACACAAGCACAATGTATCACAAGCACTTATCTTCTCCTTCAGAGAGCCTAGGAAAATGAAGTGTCATTTCGCTTTTACTCCTAGAAAAAGCTATGGTATGATATAAAATTCTAATTCTACCAAGAAACGCTTTGGCATGGAACGCTGTGGCCACAGAAAGAGGATAACAGAGGAGCGACATGTAACTGTCATATATGGCATAGGACTGCCTAAAATGCAGGGAGCTTCCTGAAGGATTGGTTCTCCTCGGCTCAGCGCTGCCTGCCTCGGCTGCCTCTACTGGTGCCCCAAACTGCTGCACAGGGCAGCACCCACACCTGGCCCCATGCTGCTGATTAAGACAGCCACACTGCCTTCAGTCCAGCCAATCGTCTAAAATACCATACGGACGCATGCTGCTCACTATCATAGGTAAGCACCGAGGCACCGGACACATTCGGACAGTTAAAGGATATGAATGAGCTTCATGTAGCTGCTTCGCCCTCTCTTGGTCTGAGCAAGAAAACAAGTCCAGAAGCCACAGTTAAGTGGACTTCCCCATTAGTTTCCAGCTGGGAAACCATCATCATTACATCGCTTCTAAAAATACCAGGTTATGCTCTGCCTTGTTCGGAAGTCAGTAGGTGTGCCTCTGAGTTCAGGCATATGGAGAAGTTATGGTTAATTGAAGTTTTCATACTTGTCCTCCCACTCTTGCCAGGGATGGAGCAAAGCAGCTGTGTGCATATACGATCCTCGACTGTATCCTGGATTGCTAATTGAGATTTGATTACCCAGACACAGCCATTATTACAAATATGTCCACACAACAGAGCGACTATTGCACAAAAGTGAACTGCTTTCTCCTCAAGAACACATGGATGATTAGAAGGAAGAGACAGACCAAGACAAGGCCTATGGGAAAACTGGGAGCTATTCTCCTGGTGGTTCCACATAGACCCATAGTCTAAATGGAGTTCACCAGAAGTAGCGGCTTCACTGTGGTGGCCCCACTTCCATGGAATTCCTGGCTTCAGGAGGTCAGGCAGACATCAGTACTGTGCTCTTTTTGGCACATACAAAAGCAATCTAATTCTGGGAAGTCCTTTTATTTTGTTTTTTTGCAGACCAGCCATGGTCGTAATGTGATTTCATTTTTATTCTTTTATTTGTTCATACCATCACCACTCTGGAATCTGTTTGGATGTGAAGCAGTACAGAAATCCCATCAATAAATGAAGGAATAAACAAGGGCAAGTTTATACTTTAACAGAGAAGGAAACCAATCAACAGGAGCCAGCGCTGCCACAGTCCTTCCAAATATCTTCACTACAGATTCCTCAGGAGCAGCTGTGCTGGCCCGTGATTGCACAGAAAGAGTTCTGTGATGGCTTAAAAATGAACGTGGATAAATTAATTGGTCTAGTGCGACTCTCAGGGGAATAGAAGCACTGATAAATTACCGTACAATTCAGTTTCTTCTATTGCTGGAACAGTTATCATGATTCCCGCACTTAGAGGAATATCGAATGGAGGTCCACGTTGCTCTCTCTATATATATGCACACAAACCTTTTTTAACTTAAGAAAATGCAAGCTTCAGGGATAAGAGGATCTTTTGTCAGCACCCCTTCCACATCTCTGATATATACAAAAGCCTCTTGCTCGATCAGAAAGCCCCAGATTGGGAGGCAGCGGCCCCCTCCATTAAGGAACGGACCCCCACCCCCGCCGCACCACTGAAATTTGGCAGCCCAATTAGGAGATGGTTGGGGCGCTGCAGGGGCCATGGAAAAGGCTGGAAAGAGCACACGAGGTCCATGGACCATGAGCCTGCCTGGACCCTGAGATCTGCCATGAAGGTCCTCCTCTGAGAGCCCTCCTTGAAAGAGGAAAAGACGGTTGTTACAAGGAAGAGGGCCTTCTCCACGACACTTTATTCATTCAGCTGCCAGGCCAAAACTTTTTTATTCTCCCAGTTGTTTTAATCAATAATGTATTTTAATAAGTTACACTTAGGAGTTTTTAACTACTCTATGGTTGTAATAACAGTTTTTATATATATTTATGTCTTTTTATGTAAACCATCTTGAGATTTTATAATAATTAAACAGTATAACATAAATTTTAAATAAAGAAATAAATGTTGCCCAACTCTGCACCATAAGCCACCCCTAATACTATTTTTATGATTAGTTATTACTGAAGGAATATATCTGCAATGTCTTTTTATATTCCTTATTCCTTTCTTGATGGAATTCAAGGCTTTCTACAAAGTATAAAAGCGATTCCACCCCCTGCCCCCAGTCACTGACTTTCTGCTTTGAGGAAAAAACCATGGAAAAAATGCTAAGAAAACACTGCAAGGTCATGAAGAGAGGACAACATCTGGACCCTTCATGAGGTTGCAGGAATGAGGCAGTGCAGCTGCATGATAAAATCCTCATCCCTTAAAAGGTCACACCATGAGTTCTCCAAAGCCGCGCTATGTTTACAAGCCCTACTGTAGCTGCTAAGCCAGCGGTGGGGAACCTATCTGAGGGAAGGGGCTGGATGACTCCGATACAGGCCTCCACTGCAGAATAACTCTGGGGGTAAGGCCACAACACCGGATGTTAGCCTGTGGCTGAACTGCCAGGTGAAGGCCAAGTTCTGCAGCCAGCAGACTTTCCTGGGCAGGGAAATTCCATGTGCAGTGAGGCCGCAGGGTGGACAGAGGCAAGCCTACTCAGTTCCCATTCCTTCTGGCAGCAGAGACCCCAGGCAGAGCGAAGTCGCCCCTTTGCACCTGGCTTTGCTGCGTGCAGATTTTCTCTGATTGGGGAAGATCCACGCGGAGTGAAGCTGCCCTTGCTGAGGCACAAGGGAGGAGCAGCTATGCATGTCCTTCTCTACCTGGAGACGGGGCAGATGAAGCTGAGACAGCCCCACCGTTTTCACTCCTCGGTGGGCTCAGCCTCTCTCTATCTGGGGTTCCCAAGGCTTGGAAAAGCCCAGACAACACAAGGCCTGGCCAGGCCTACATAAGGGGAATGTTATAGAAACAGAGTGAGTCAGAAAGGACCTCCCGGGCCATCTAGTCTGACCCCCAGCTCCAGTCACAAATTATCTGCCGAAACCCGGGCTCGAACCAGGAACCTTTAGATCTTCAGCCTAACACTCTCCCAACTGAGCCATTTCGGCACAGGGCAGGCAATCATTTTAACACTGTGGACCCAGCTGGTAATCTGAGAAACTGGGAGCCACCAGAACATGGGGGTACTGCAGATGAAAGCATGGGCCAGCAGCTATGTGACATATTCATTTCCTAAGAACATCTCTGCTCCCCACATATGGCTTGGAGGAAATCACGGGAAACAAAGATGGTAGTAGCCAGAAGTCTTTGCTTCAAAGTGATTTCAGCAGACAGTAAGTAGTCTTTTGCTGCTTTAAAAAACCCGAAAAGTTGGGTATCTCATCAGCTACCAAAAAAAGGTGTCTGAAGATACAGTGGTGTCCATGGGTGCCTCGTTGCCTATCTCTAGAAGTACTTATCAAATACGGGCAGGCAGAGCCTCCAAAAAGCACAACCATTTCATCTTCAGTGGACAACTTGCAGTTCTGTCCATGCAAGAAGCTCAGGGAAGCCTTTCCCACATGCAATGCCAGAGT